AGCCGCTGTCGGCCAGCAAGTTGCAGCTAATTACAGTACCTGGCCGGTCGGATTAACTTTGACTGCCCAACATATGTCAATGCATGTACCTGTTGCTTCTCATGGGTCACTTCCTCTTCATATTCGTTAATTACCAGCGTGTTGTTTGATGGCCATCAGGTGCGGAACGTCATCACCTTTCCAACCGAAAACATCTTTTCTGAGAGGGGAGGCCTCAGAATTTTCATTTGATATGCCTTGTATAGCTATATTCCTCACTAAAAGCGGCCTGAAAGATGACGAAGATCGGTATGACGCGCCATCCGGATGCAGGTTGAAAAAGGTTATTTGCGCGTTCAGGCTTATGAGGAAGTGTTCCCAAAAAGTGAACACTCATATACCATAAAAACATGCTTTTAGCTGGGCCCAAGGTTGCGCAATCTTCAAGTTAGAATGATTTTGAGGGAATCTAGAAAATCTTGAAAAAAAAGGAAACTTTTTTTGTACATTTTGGGTGCAGAATCAATAGTTTTTGATTGAGAGAAAATTTCCGATAGAATTGTTTTTCAGAATTTGAAAGTTCTGAGAACTTCCAAAAAAATCTATTTTTTTCACGACTGTGAGAGGAGAATTTGAGTATGCTTCATTTTTTTCCGAAACTCGCAGTTTTTTTCGAGGTATTTTTGGAAAAAAAGTTTGGCGTGAATCGATAACATTTGGTGCTATAAAACCATTTCTTCTCGAACTCGAAAAAAAATTTATATATGATATTTTTTTCGGAAGAACTATAATTGATGTTGAAAACATTACTTCAGCTTTTTTTCGTGCCTTCTTTCAGCTCTATCAGTAAAAAAAACTGTATTTTTTTGGTCTTGATATTGATTCCCTAACAAAATCCTAAAATCTAAAAGTTTTCCCAGTGCGAGGTCAGAAGGCTGACGATTACAAGACGCCGACAAATGAATTAGGGCGGCTGTACCTTCAATTCCGTTAGAGACACCTTTTGCCTCCGCAAAAACCGTTCATTTCGCCCCTCATCTCCGTCATTATCCCATTTGCAAAAAGGCATACCATCGGCGGTTCACCTATTTGATACTCTACACCAACAATTGTTCCGGATCCGCGCATCTTCCCCTCATTACCTGTAATTTGAGGCGCAAAACAAACCCATAAGTGCGGGAAAACCATTGTGATGAGTGAACTTGGAAGTGGACGGAGAATAAGATATGATTTTGGCGGGACGCTTTTTTTTCCAAAGCTGACTGTATTGCATCAGTCGGTACTAGTTTTCCACCTCAATAACCCGATATAGAGGTTCAGCTTCTTTTTTTTTTTGGAACAAGCTCTGAATTTCATTTCGTGACTTATCGGTAGCACCACTATTAAGTTTTCAAAAAATAAGAAAGCCGAATTTTCGGAAGACTGCTCAAAATTCTTTTAAAAATCGTGAGAAAACTGGACGTGAAGTTCAAAAGATAGTTAGCAGCGTTTCGGCGCAAGTCGCTAACGGTCGGTTGCAGCGATCTTGCGTTGATTCGACAAGTTTCATAAGTATTTTTTTGTTAGCTCAGTCGATTTTGAGCAACTCATTTTTTCGAAACTCCCAGCGAAACCTTCTTTCCTGAATGAAATTCGGTCCAATAAGACCACCAACCTTCACTCTGCCAATACTGGAAAACGTCAGGGCTCCGCTTTCATAACAACCTTTCCTGCTCTGAGCATTTTTTTTCATTGAAAAAAATCACGTTCTTCTTTTGTTTTATGTTCTCCCTGCATATTGCTCATATTTTCAATCCACTCCTTCAACAAGGAGCAGACCGGTTGTCACAGAGTGGCGGGCCACAATGTTTCAACACGACCAATTAGTTGAGCCTTCCTGACCCTAAATTGCTGGATTCATGAAATCAAGCTGAGCCTGGGTGTAATGGCAGGGCGAGAAGTGACAACCAGTAGCAGATGGTCTAGAAATCCAGACAATTGGTTGTTGAAAAAAGTGAATGAGATGCTTCATTGTTGGCCTGAAGTTGATTTCGCATCGTTTGAAATTCAAAAGAATCGAGAAACAACTTTCCGGTTTCTGGATCGGAATGAATGATTTTTTTTTAAATTCACAAATTCATAAATCTTTATCAAAAATTCAATAAATTATTTAATTATAACTCGGTAGGATATAAAAATTGAGTTTTTCAATTCCTGCAAATAGAATTATAGCTGGTTTTCTACGTTCTTTTTCGTCAGAAAGTGCAATGATTTCTACTTTAAATACAATCAGAACGAATAAGCTTTTTTAAAAGTAGCCTCACTGGTAACCAATGAAAAGCTAATTTCCTCAAGAAGTACTGCCATTTAAGACCCTTAGAATCTTCCTAGTTTGAAAAGCAATGTTTAAAGTGCATTTTCGAAATATAACGAAGCTCCAAATGAAAATGCCTCATTTTTGAGGTTCCAGTTTTTTTCAACCGGAAAAGGTTTTCGGTTCTTTCCGGCAGTTCACGACGAAAATTCCGGGTCATTCTTTTCTCTGATCCTTCTTTTCCTCCCCTGATGCTCATAACAGTAACTTACTCACTTGACTCAACTCCACCAACAAGATACTCAAAAAACGGGACAAAACAAGGCGGAAACCAGCCTCGTGGCACTTGCAACACGTCGAAATATCGATCAATCATCCATGCAAGTGCAATCAGCAGCGGGGCCCGCGTGCCGCCACACCTACCGTAAGCCAGCCGGCTGGCGACTGCATCCAGCGTATTTCAAACGCTTGAGACGGCACTGTGAAAGCTGGTCTTTTCGAATAAAATTAAAGTATATTTGTTTTTGAAACATTAAAGTTATATTGAAAAAAATTTCGGGATTGAAGTTATTTTTGAAAAAGAAACTTCTGGAGTTTTTTTATATCTAAAATTAAGTTTCACATTTTTCTTATCTTGTAATTGTAAAATGATAAAAAGATTAAGGACGCTTACCAAAGTTGAATAATAATGAAGGTCTGAAGTTTCGAAATTTGAGTAGAAACATTTTTCTTGAGCTCCAGTATAACTTTTTTGTTTTCCATTTCACTAAAATTTTCACAAATCCGATTAAAGCTTACCGAAACAATTTTTTAAACTTCTAAAAGCAATAAAACCACCCGGTAATATAAGTTCTCTAAACTTTTGTTTTTTTCCCCACTCCTGTTTCATCCAGGAGTTTATCTATCAAAAAAAATTTTTCTTCAACTGGAGTTAAAAGCATGAAATGGACTTGCTTCCACCTACCACTGGCTTTTTTCTTTTGAAAACTCTTCCAAAATATCTAATTTTCAACTATTTTTCAACACAACTCCCCATAAGGCGAACGAGACAAGGCGTGAAACGGAAGCACGTGTTTATTACCCAACTTTACCTGTCATTTCCTGTCATATTTGTCAGTCGCGCAGGTTCTGTCGCGCAATTATCGCCTCAGATATATCAGTCCATGCGTCCGTTGACTGTCCCGTAGAGTTCAGATAACGGAACAGAGCAGCCAGTTGATCGAGACACGATAAAAATTAAATGTTGCGTATGGGAACCACCCACGCGCAATCCTCTCCTGACCTACAGTCAGGTCCTCACCGGAAACAATCACTTTCTGATAATATTTATAATAGGAGCACTTTATTGAACAGAATAAACAAAAAAAGGAGGTTTTTTCAAATAAAAAATTGAAACCCGAGCTTTGAGAAACGTGATTTTTTTTTTGAAAATATGATGATCGAAGGAACTTTTCTAAAAAGAAAAATTTGTAGGATTCATTGAAAAATAGGGTGACTGATAGAGTCTGAATAAAGCTGGTCTCTTGGTCCTTCGTCTTCTTCGGATTCTCACCTAGGTTGATTGAACTTATTGTAGGCTGTCAGATCGTGAAAAATTAGTTTCCAAGTTTAATGCAAACAGTTTAATTGTCAAATTTAATAAAGCCGCTTTTGGGAAACTTTTGGAAACCTAACTTTAACGCTCCTGACTTTTTTCACAGGATCAAAATTTTTCTTGTGGTAGTAATCTGAAGGTCTTTTTTCTTCCGGAGGCAGGCTTAGGGGAATAATTTTGAAAAATGAAAGTTCTGATTTAGGTCGGAACCTGTCGGCAAGCTTTACTTTTTCTCAATTAATCAGAAATTTCTTGAGACTCTCATTTCGCAGGTCTTTTTCAAAATAAAACAAAAAAACCATTATCTGAGCCGTGTCCAACAAAAATCACTGCAAAAAAGTATCAAAACAAGAACATAAGTTTGCTGCCACCATGGGATAAGGCGACGAGAACGATGTGAAACGAAGCGCGCAAGGAGGAGCATTAGTCGTTTGCTCAGCCAACCGAACAATTTTCGCCTCCGGAGCTCCGGCTCCAGAAAAAACCTAAAGTCTCCTAAAAATTCCAAAAAAATTCCATATCTGTCTCGAATCCCAAAAAGCACAGGTGCGACTCTGGCCGTCTAATGGAAAGGTACGCACGTTGGTTGAAGGCTTTTTGGCGTATGTGTGTGTGGGAAAGAATAGTGGGCGTGGCGAGATACGGTGGTTCAGGCGGCCGACATTGGCCGGGGCCGAAGCAACCCAAAAACCTTTGCCTCACACTGCAAAAGCACTTTTAATTCGATCCGAGTACCATTTTCAAATCCTGGTTTTAAATCCTCGCTTTTATCATTTTTTTTTTTTCCGATCTGAAATCCTTCACCGGTTAGTAGGCTCGAATTTTGCGTTTTTCTTCTGGAAGTTCAAACTCACCTATGAGCTTTAACTTGTTGACTAGATAAGGTCAATAGGTCGAAAACAGGTGAGTCAAAGATGGCGTAATGATAAGCTGATTACAGCTTAATCCTTTTTTCCGTTGAATAAAAATTAAGAAGCCAACAGGTTACCAATGAATAAAATCAGCAAAAAGTTGAATAAATGGAAGGACCAACCAGCCGGGGCCGAGACGAACGCTTGGACTGAATTCCGCGTCTGCAGCACGCCTGATTACTTCTTTCACATGAGTTGAGAATCATTTGATTTCACGCGTGAAATGAGTGCAACTACACGCGGCCGGCGGCGAGTCTCGGCCCTAGGCCTGATCCAGCCATCTCCCAGTCCACTAAATCCTTATCATCACACTTCTTTTTTCTTCCCAACTACTTACTGTCCTGTCGATCACATGGGGAGAAGGTATCGATTTCCAACTTTCGATGTTGATGTAACTTCTTCTCAAGTTTTTTTCTCTTTTTTTTTTAAGATCTCGATTTGAGAAAATCATAATGAAATTTGGGATTTTAAGTGCGTCACTGAAACCGAAATCTGATTTTTGATAAAAGGTTTCAAATAGGTTCGTCCATGTTTACTAGGCAAATCCATGGAAAATTGCTGGATTTGCCCTGTTTTTTTAAAGCTTGAAAACTTGTCTAATGCTTCATAAAAATAAATCCTGAGAAAACCATTTTTTTGCGCCTTTCATTGAGATTTTTACAAAAAAATTCGTATTGACGAAATTTTTTTCAGGCTTTCAATGAGAAATATTAAAATTCTCTTGATTCTGAAAAAGTTAAAACCTGAAGCTCCCCAATGAATCTAAAAAAATGAAAAATTGAAAGTTTTATCCTTCGACTAGTAAATACTTAGAACTCATTCCAAACTGTCAGCATCCTCAATAACTATCGGAGTTTCTTGTCTACATAGAGTCACACCCACCGCCGAGGCCTAATGACTAATAATCGGGTTGGCTCCAAATGGTCGGCGGCGTGCTGTTTTTAGGCTATCCGATGCTCACAATTGACCAATTCTTGGTCTTCATATTACTTTTTACTTTCATTTTCATGCTTTGATGACTTTGCTGTTTCAGAATTCTCGGTGACGCGCTCTCGCGTGGGTTCTCGCTCACCTATGACGGTCGACGACGAACAGAGCCGCCTGGAAAAAATGCCATCAGCAGGTATTTTGCGTTTTAGAATATATTTATTCGGTATGATTTTTATTTCTCTGTTTTCGCCTCTATTTTCTTTCACTTTGAGAATTTGTCTGAGGTGCCGAAATTTCTGTTTCAAAACTTTTCGAAAACGTTTTTTTGCAAAAATAAAATCCGATCATTTCCATTTTACTCCACAATCTTCCAACTTTCCATCAAAAATAACTGGGTTCAGCCTCCGAGTTTTCCTCCTTATCAGTGCCTGAAATCTGAGCTTGATTCTTCTTCCCGAGTAATTAGCTATTTCTAACTAAGAATCTTGGAGCTTCACCCCCCTCAGAGCCAAATTTAATGAGGTCTAGTGACCTCAGAGTTCATTTAAAAATGGGGAAAGAATAAGCCAAAAATTTCTGGCTTTCAGTGATGCTACAGTGAAATTAAAGAATTCTTAAATTTCTGCCATTCACGAGAGCAACAGATTTTCCAGCGACTCTGTGGCGCCGGTATAGGTACCGCATAACCAATGAATTGAATTGCTTTCCTCACGCCATTTTATTCAAGATTTCCATGCGTCAAAAAATTAGCTCTTCAACAAACCGTTCTAGAGAAACTTTTGTAGGGTGATGGAATTTTTTTTTTCGAAAAACGGCCCTAACTTCTTTCACTGACCTCGGCCTGAAGGCGTCTCATAAAAATGAACGGTTATTGTCGCATCGGCTGTTTTGCGAATGTCCTCCTCACTTCTTCATGTTTGAAACCTGGCCCACTGTAGAATTACTTCAAGGGATCATTTTCTGTTTCCAAGAAAATTTGATGAAACAAGACGCAAGGAAATCTTGACAAAACCTGTCGCGTTGCGATACCGTACACGGATTTCTAATCTTGACACATCTATTATGGAATCTGTCAAATTTCTCACTGAGTACCTTGCAAAATCTGTCATGTTTTGTGAAAATACGACTCTCCACTTCAATGGGACGTTTGAAAAAGATAAGAAAAAAAAATGTTTGAACTTGGAATTTATTATACTGAATACATCTATAGTCCATTCGAACATACTGAAAATAAGATTTTGAAAAATCTTAGTCTAGCCACACTTATTACTCGAGACTGCAAAATTCAAACTAGGTTTCAGAAAAGTTAAATTAGACTTCTTTTTCACAATTTATTCCATTTTTTCCTTTTATTGCTTATAACGAAAATCGATAGACTTAAAAACGTAAAAAAAAAGTTCAGGCAATATTTTTTCTTCAGGCCTTTTCTTTTTCAGTCTGTACTGCTTTAAAAGCTTCAGCTGACTGTTGCGAATCTACAAAAATCGAATCAATTTTAAAATTAACGTTCGCTAGATATATATGCCACAGCTTAGAAATCGATGATAAGCGCAAAATTTTCAAGAGGAAAAAAAACAAGAAAGCCAAAGAACCTTCTTTTTTTGAAAACCTTTTCTGTCATGACCCACTCCATACAAAAGAATTTTGTCTAGAAGTACAGTAAGATCTAATAAAAAGTGGACTTTTTTCTCAGTCGGAGGTATTAGTTGCTCGATTGTGCGACCTCCGCTTTTTTTCTGCCGGTTTTAAGTTGTCACCTTTTTTTCTGGGTAGATCGCCGTCGCGTCGCAAAGTGGTCCGTCGAGGCGCAATTGTCTCGTCCACATATGCCCCTATGGAGTGTCGATTTCACACTTCCGTGCTCACGCATTCATTCAGGAAGCGTAACACCTATAATTCAAAGCATTCGAGCCAGCCTCTCTATAGAAAGACTGAGGGTACCATCTCGACCTGTGGATCGAGGACAGCTGCAAATTGACTTTGCTGTTTATGACCCTCTAGCTAAAGCCCTATGGGTTCTATGCAATGGGAAAAATCGAGAATTTCCTCATTAGAGCAGAAAAAACTCACAAGAAAAAGCCCTGTATCGATTCTCGTTTTTTGATTTTCAAAGTCACTTCACTGAACTCTTAAAGCAAAAGCTCTCTAAAAAGATTTCGCTCAGTTTTTTCGGCCGTTCCTGACACATTACACCTTTTTTCAGTCATTATTTGCAATATCTCATTTTTTTTGATATCTCTGAACCGGATAGTGTGAAGAAGGAGGCAAAAATGACTGTAATTTTCAAAAAAAAAATTTTTTCCTTCCATTTTGTAGTGCCATATTTGATAACTTTGAGCTTTTTTTTTTTTTGGCAGTTTTTCTTCAAATCACTGTCTATCGATAAAGTTCTGATTATTTCATAATTTTTGAAAGATTGAAATCTCATTCTCTTACTGTTCCCTTCAGTTCCGAAAATTTTGAACAGACTATTTTTTCCCCCCTTTTTCAGGTCATTTCAGGTTTCTTGATTTTCTCATCATTTTTGAATCCTTCAACTTCGAAGGTTAAAAATCAAAATACTTCAAAAAAGATCTAAAAGATGTACCCAAACTACCGAAATTTCAAAAATAACCCTTCTCCCGTACTACTACAAGACTGTACAAAGACTTTACGCTCCAATTACTCGAATTAGTCAAATCATCATTGACTACGGTAGGACTGAGAAAGTGTGCAACAACAGGAGCTCAAGCGAGTTGCGCAACGTGCTCCAAGAGAGTTTCCGCGTTGGCTCCCCACCGGGAGGTTGACGAGTTGATAGGAGTGCGGATTCCGCCGCTGCATCTACCATATGGACAGTCCTAAGTCTCACTAATATGTTAATTTCCTGGCGGCGTGTCTTTAGTTCAAACAGTTTGGAAAAGGTTTAGAAGTCATATTGAACTTTAGATAGTAATCAACGCAAGCTTAAAAAAATTAACAACAAAACGGCTCTTTCTTCTCGCTTTTGGAAACTTAGCTTTGATGAAGCCTCAAACTATTAACGAATGAACTATTTTTGAACTGAACGAAAGAAGTTTTTGTTGAAAAAGTTTCAGCTGAAGTTAACTTTTAGTGTTGAAAGCATGTTACGATCCCTTATGGTTTCAAAAAGACGAAGCTTTCTTTGAAAAAATCAAAAACTTCATTCAAAACGTCTCTAGAAAAAATTGACATTTGAACATTTCCAAAATGGTTCCTGTTCAATGTTAGGTTCTTCTCCATGCCGTCCTAGTCAACCCATTTTCTCAAGTTTTAGGGATCTAGCATATCATTTTGAAGCTGAAAAAAAACCCATCGCTTCAAAAAAGCCAAGTTCGCCATTCTCACACCTTTTAATCCAGTCAGCTCAAAAATTCAAATGTTGCGGCGACAGTCAAAGTGCGGCGAACGCGGACATCTAGGTGTGCCGGTCCGGACCATAATGGGCTCTTTGTGACTTCCGGTTGGCGGAGAGTGGAGAGAGCCTGACCGATGTCCACGAGGCACTGACCCGTGCTTCAATTCCAATTATCTTCTTGGCGAAATCTCCAAGAATAACTACGCTGGCGCGTGCCCCGGCAGCCAACTCTTAACTGGATTAATTGCAATGATCCTTGTTATTTGAATCTGTTGGGCGAGGGATGAGTTTCAAACCTTATTTCGAGAGCGGAACCCCTGGAATCACCGAAAAAACTGCAGAAAAAGATTGATTGACTTTGAGATGGTGGAGATGGTTTTTTAGCTTTTGATACTTCTTTTTCTGCATAGTCTCAAGCCCAACAATTGCTCATTGGGATTTTATGTTGATTGGAACTTTCACTCTGATAATTTTGAAAAATCACTGGAAAATCTCTAGCGTAGTACTTCTATAGAAAAATTGCCTTTCTAAGCCCCTGGAAACTTTTCTTACATACCAAAAAAATTTTCAAATCAAAATCGCTCTCAAAATAAAACTCGAAAGTTTAGCAGTTTCTTTGCTCTGTGCCCACTCGGCTGAATTAAGCACATATTATTTGACAAGAAAAAAAAAACTGAAATATTCCAGTTGATAACTTTATCGTATCAGCTTAACTTCTAAGCATCCAGAAATTCCTTTGGAATCGCAAATTTCAAGATTAACGTGAAGGTCTGATCCTTTGACATTTTCAGTGAAGATTTGGGAGTTTTGACTGTGAATTTGTGAAATGAAGGTGTTGATTACTATTATTCGAACAAGTGAGACCAGATTGTGGGTACAGAAGGTGTTGGCCAAACAAGTGAGTCGAGTGGCGAGGGGAGCGCTTTCAAGAAGAATGTGCTTTAATTGGCAAGTGTGGTGGATGCCGCGCCGGCTGTCCTAATCCGGCGATCCATCAATTTTTTCGGTCCGTAATATACCACTTGCTGTGATGTAGACTTCATCAGGGTGAGAAAAAAAAAACATGCGCGATGATGAAGGAATGGAAGGAAGTTGAAACGGCAAAGCGCAATAATGTTTTTTTCGAAAAATGTTCTCGAAAGGTTATTTTCGATCTTTTCTCTGAAGCTTCAGGCTTACTGGAATTCAGTGATTTTTCTCAGGTAGTTCTGCTCAAAACTTTTGCTCGAAAAGTCTTAAAACGGTTCGAAGCGAAAAGAGGCTTTCAGTATACTTTTTCTTGACTTTTTAAAATTTTTGTGCAAAAGGAAAAATTAAATTTATTTTTCACTTACCTCTCATTCTTCATTTTTTCCCTCTTTCTCTGAGAAACTAGGACTTCACGAAAAAGATATTATTATTAAAACTCAAAAAAATATGACGAGTTTTATTGAAAAGTTGCCTGCATTTCTCTCCAGCTTTCGGCAGTTTTCTGTTCTATTTTCAACTTTTTCTACCGCTTTTACATATTAATATCTTGCTCGGCATCTTCAGACAAAAATTCAACTTCTTCTACTTTTCCAACTGTCTCTTTAAATATTCTGAGCATTGGCAGATTCAGATGGAGGCCACACGGGCGTCAACCAACTCGGTGGCGTCTTCGTCAACGGCCGGCCCTTGCCCGACGCCACCCGCCAGCGAATCGTCGACTTGGCCCACAGCGGCTGTCGGCCTTGCGACATCAGCCGGATTTTACAAGTTTCCAATGGGTTAGTTGAAAAAAAACAATGTTGATTCACGTGGAAGCGTTGTGGTCATCTCTCCAACTGAGATTTTCGTTCTCCTCTTGAACCTTTTTATCAAGTTTCATATCGCGCAAGTAGTTTTTTTAGTCGGGTGAAGTCTCGAAAAATCATCCCGTAGCCATTAAACTCGAATGCGTGACCGGAAAAAATTACGTTTTGAGAATTTTTCGATTTTACTTTTTTTGGTACAAAAAGCTAGTAATGCAATAAAAAGTTTTGATTTTTTTGATTTTAAGTTTTCACAAGGGAGGTCATTTTACTTTGTGGTCGGAATTTTGGGAAAAAATGGATAAAAAACTTCTTGATGAACCAGAAGAAGTTTCTAAAAGCCTCAACCTGCACAAATTCCCACATTTTGAGTAAAGACGCTGTAAGTTCAAACAAAACGCTCAAAATCCTTCAAAATGAGCTGTTTTGGGGCTTCAGACCTTTTTTCTCTGAAACTAGAAAGTTGTGTAGGTTGAGGTTTCCCGGACCTTTTTCTGGTACATCACGGAGTGTTCTGGCCGATTTTCAAAGAGTTCCCAACCGCAAAGTAAAATGATCTCCCCTGTGAGTTTCGTACTGAAGTTTTCGAACATCCTTTATTTGATAAATATTCTTTTTTTTTTTTGAAAACCGGAGTATTTTTTTCTAGAAAGGAAATATCCGATTTTTTTGACCTAACTTTTTCTTTCCTTCGATCAAAGATTTTTGCCATTCTTTCCTAGAAAAAAATTTAATAATATGACATGTATAAATTAAATGTCAGAAAATCTAATACTTACTGTGTGTGTCAAAAAAAGTACATTAAGAGAGTCTAATCTTCCATATATGTTTTTTTCTTCTTCTTTTTTTATAATAAGATAATACCAGACTGCAGGGGCGGATAATCCCTTTACATGTCTCTTTCACGTTCTCAAATCATTTTTATAAGGAAGTTTTTCCTCTTATCTTCTCAGTCTTTGGTCTGAATTTTTAATAGAAAATGAATTTTTCGTCTAATTTTTCCAGAAAAATTTCCCCCAAATTTTTTTCTGGTAGTTTCTAAAAAAAGGGGTTTGTTTGAAATTGCGACTTCGGAAAACTTGAGCGGCTTTCTCAGAGCAGAGATATCCAAAATTATTTACGAAAATTCCATTTAAAATCATCAGTCATGACGTCTTCTTCCTTCAAAAAGCAAAATGTCCCCACCCTAACGTACCTTTCTATTTTTTTCACGATTTCGTGGGCTGACTTAGTATTTTGCGGCACGCACTTTTCCGCAAATCTTTCCGTTTCCAAAGGCTTAAGTTTTACCCCATGGTAAGTGCGTAGGTGAGCTTCTAGAAGGTAAGTTTCGGAAAGCCCCGATTTGACAAAGAACGGATAACTGTTGAGAAGTCTCCCATTTTGCTATAAAGATATAAACATTCTTTTTTTCCGCCATTGACGTGGTAAACGACGCTTGCAAAGGCTTGTGCCGCGGATTATGTACAGGAAGAAATTGGAAGAAAGTTGTTGAAAAAATCGAAAACAATAAAGGCTCAATCATCATCTTTTACACCCCGCACAATGAGTTTTTTCTCGAATAATCGCTGAAACTTTAAAAAAGTTGAAAGGTTTAAACTGAAATCAGAATCAAAATTTGAGCTTTCCAATCCCAGATATGTACAAAGAAAATCCGTACTCTGCTTGGTCTGAGCTCCGAAAACACTGGTTAGCTCTGTCTAATCTTCTTTTCGGTCTGATAATTCCCACCAACGCCGCGATTTTCAGTGTTTTAGTTTGATTCCAATTCATTTTTATTTTCAGATGTGTGTCCAAGATTCTCTGTCGATATTATGAGTCTGGGACGATAAGGCCGAGAGCAATAGGAGGATCCAAACCGCGGTTTGTTATTTTTTCAGTTAAAGTGGGAGAAACTTCACCATATAGGTATAAAGTGAAAAAGTTGAAAAAGGAATTTTTTTTTAGTTCCTTAACGGAATGAAATATTTGGCCTTAGACAGTCATTCTCATATTATGTTTCACGATTTCGAGGAATTTGTCTAATTATGACCGCAAGGGAATGGTTCAAGGCATATAAGGTGCAAAAAAAAAGTTTTTCTTTTAAGCAGTTCACTCAAAAAATCGACGACTTGTCCGACCTGAAAAGTACGTCGAAAAGTCGAAATTTTTGCCGCTTTGGACATTATTTTGACCATGGCGCCTTGAACCAATCCAAACGCGACCACTGAATTCTAAATCCATTAGAATAACATAGGGACCGCAAAGCCACGCCCCTTTTCGCGATAGAAAAAGTGGCTTTTTTTTGGTTTTCAACTTTCATTTTGTTGTAGTTGCAAAATATGTGGAACTGGATAATGAATTTTGACACACATGTACAGAAAAGCTTCCTCTTTCGTTTAAAAAATATTTCACGCTTTCTTGATGCGTTCGCGCGGAATGTCGTACAAAAAAACGTGAATGGAACTAAAAAAATTTTTTTCGTTTTTTTGCTTTTTTTCATGTGTTTTTCAGGTCGAACGCACTCTTTCTTTTTTTAAATAATGATTTTTGATTCAGGTAACGGTAATTTTTAAAACAATAAAATAAAAAAATTCGTCTTTGCCAAAAAAATTTTTAGGGAGTGCCGAAAGTCATAATTCAAAAATATCGTTAATAAGCGAATATAATCGAGTTTTTTTGTTTTTTTCAAAAATTTAGACTATGGGCTTACTTAAATTTTTTTCTCCACAGCATATGTGCTTGAAAAAGTTGTTTAATACGCAAAAAAATGCTCTTGAAAATAGAGGATAAAATTAGCGGCGTTTATCCCACAGAAAGCGGTCGAACGCAGGTTTTTTTCAAACGATTATATACATTTATTAGTAAAAAAATCTTTCAATTAGAAGAATAAAATAAAAAATTCGTCTTTGCCAAAAATTTACGGGGCCGTTTTAATGCAGCGATCGTTAAACGAGGCAAAAAGCACTAAAAAAAACAGCTTTTTCGAAGTGAATTTCCACGAAAAGTTTGAGTAAAGATTTGCGAACATATTCTGATAAAAAAATAGCTTAATTACTTCAAGTTTTTCTTTTTGAAATAGGCAATCTGTGCTTTTCAAACAGGTCAAGGATATGGCGGATGGAAACTCCACTCGCTGGACCTAACAGCTTGGCGCAGCGCGTGCGCTGCGATTTCTCATTTTGAGGTCGCGAGTTCAATGCCCGCAAGCGCCAGTTTTTTGTTTTCTGGAAAATACCGACTTTTTCGGCAAACTAGCTGATTAGCATCATTTTAGCACTCTATTATGATTTGTTACATCATAATAGACCAGTATCAAAAGTTGTTCTGGAAGAAAAATCGAGAAAAATGTCAAAAATGGATAATACCAAAATTTCAGTACTAAAAAAATGGTGCGCGGCGCGCCACATTTTTCGTCATAACTTTTTTCATCCTCAATCTTTTTCGAAAAACTAAACGGTTCTGAATTTTGAATCGAAACAGCTATCAAACCATACAAAGCTCAATGCTGAAAAATTTTTTTTGAAAGTTCGTCTGCGGTCCCTAGAATAACATATCAAAAGAAATCAATCGAAAAAATTCAAAAATCAATGATCTTGATGGCTTAAAATCGTATCAAAGTACTATTTTTCAGTGTTGCTACAAACGGCGTAGTCGAAAAGATTGAAGAATACAAGCGGGAGCAGCCGAGCATCTTTGCCTGGGAAATCCGCGACAAGCTTCTCGGCGACCACGTTTGCACCACGGAAACTATCCCTAGCGTCAGTTTCATTCAAAGTTTTCGAAATATTCAAAAAAACATTGTGTTTTGGCTGCCGACTGGCTGATTTTTTCTACATAGGCCATTGTATCAATGCGCTTCGCCTTTGAATAGAAGCTCAATAACTGGAACAACACTTTTCGCACAATACAAGCTTTGCTGGCGGTTAGGATTAGCATCCGAATGAAAATTACATGATTTTGCTGTCCTGTGGGTCGTCGAGGTTTTCTTCTCTATTTTATGATTTCTAATTGCTTATAATCTGTTGGGGTCCATTTAGAGTGAACTCCTTAAAATTGAAAAAAATATTTTCAAATGTTTTTTTCTTTTTAGACAAATTACGAAGGAAAAAAATTAAATATACCTCAAAGCTAATTCCAATAGATTTTCAGCAAGTTTTTTCATATCTTCTTGCATATTTAAAAAAAAAACGTCGACATTCTCAAAAAAATGCCTCTGATCCTGTAGCCCCGAGAATATAAAAACCATCTCTCAAGATTTATCCAGATTCTTTTTGAAGCCTAAAACAACCTTTTGCAAGGCTTTTTTCGCTGAGAAAGTACTGTTATGTTTATCTTAAACGAAAAAAAAAGCGAGATTGAAATCTCGAATGTTATTTTTTGGCTCTCGCATTCGTTCATGTTACGTGCGTGATAACATGTTTCACTTCTTTTTTTTTCCCTTATAAACTTAATTGTGAAAAAATGATGGTCCTTTCACAACTTTTTCTAATTCGAATCTCAGTTTTCAACTTCCTAAAATCACTCCATGATGTTGTCATCTTCTCAAATATTTTTCTCTTGCTCCTATGACGAATTCTCTATCGACTGATGTCCTGGGAAAGTCTTCCTCTCATATAGCGATTCTTGTTTTTTTTTTTTATTAGTCTGTAACCTCACAATCACTCAATTGTCAGCAAAAAAATTCATTGAACATTTTTTTGTTTTTTCTCTAAAAGAAGCCATTCCGTGAATGGATCCAATGACAGTCGCCTGTTATGTTTATTTATGCTCCAAAATTTGTGTCGGTCTCACAATGCTCATGTTATCCAACACTTCAATGAAAACTTCCCATGTTATTTTGGTTCTCTCCGATAATATTTTTCGTTGCTCGATTCACGACCTCCTTATAGATTGATGGACCAGAAAGGGCATCATTCCCATATAAAATGTCCCTTCTTTGTTTTTCATTCGTGTATGAGAATTTTCGGTTTTCTTCTCAATGTGAGAAATAGTTGAAATAAAAAACGAAGTCAAAAGAAACGTTTTTAACAACGCTCAAAAACGGCGCTTTGCTTTGATACCTTCAGGAAAAAATTATTGCTTTTTAAAATAGATCAGCAAGGATTTGTGAGCAAATTTTTTTGGCCGGTGCTCTAATAATCGATCAATTTGTAGAGAAGAAACCGTCTTCCAAGGAATCTTTTTTTTCCACAAATTACGATTTCAAATCAATCCATGTTTTTATTGCTCGCTCAAATACTGTTGTTTTACCTAACTTGCGGCCTTCTCATCAACATGTGAACTGGAGAAGCCCTCATTTCCATAACAATCCTTGTTTTTGTCTCCACTCTTATTTTCAAACACGTGTATTTTTCAATTCCTGACTTTCTTTCAACTGAACTTCTAAAGATCATTTCTTAAAATGGTGATCTCTACTTTCGCTAATAAAAATCGTGAAAAGGCTCTCCGGCCATAAAATTCACTCATGTTGTGTCGAAAACCTCAAAAAGGATTTTTGAACAGACTCTAATCGGTCCGCCCTGTTAAAAGAAAAGGGCGTGTGTACAAAGGATGATCGCTTCCAAATCCACGAATTTCAATCTTTTCATTATTTTCGAGTCGACCAAAGTTAGCTTCTCTCAAGGTTCAGCAACCTTTTTTGGAAGGACCAGATCTACTTCGACGATTATTTTTATCAGAAATAAAATTCTAGGGGTCTATTGCAATCTCACTGTCAATTACGAAAAACAAAAATTTTTAACTTTCTTTTTGTCTGATATGTGCCATAATAAGCGTACAAACTATCCGGTTCCTAGCGCCGATTTTTTTTAAAAATTCCCTGGAGTTTTGTAGTTTTCAATTTTCCCCTTTTCAAGTTAGGTTCAGTCTTTAAAGTGGCTTCTTTTCGGAGTTTTTTTTCTCTCATCTTCCAACTCGTGACCTCATAATCGATTGATTAACCAAACAGAGACCTCATTTCCAAACACGCGCACAGTAATTCAAATGGGGGAAAGAAAAGATGAGAAAACGCCGCTTACCGTAGGCCTCCTTGTGGGCAAGGTTTCCGCCGCCCTGATAGCCATCTTTTCCCTTTCTGAAAACGCCTTACATCAGCAGACCATCGATTTGTTTGCCTTTCATGGTCCCATCTTAAGGCTTTTCTTCTCGAAAATATCATCTCTTTGAATAATTTTTCATGTCAGCATATTCCAGGTGTCTTCGATAAATCGAGTCCTCCGCAACTTGTCCGCCAAGAAGGAACAAGCTCAAATGCAATCCGACCTGTACGATCGACTCCGTTTCGTCCAGCAAGAGTTCCCGTGAGTTTCCAATCACTTAACTTTAGGCTGAATCGCAGCACCTACGCCTTCAGAAGGAGAAAAAAAAATGTTATGAGTGATTCTGAAAAAAGTTTATTTTTCTTTTATTGATCAGGCCCCGAGATCGTCTGAAAATTTTTTAATCTTTTATCATTTTGCATCCAACTTTTTCCTTCCAGATCTTGATACTTTTGCAAAAATTTTAGACTTTGTGGTTTTTCTTGCAGAAAAAGAACAGAAATCCAACTTTTTGCATCAAAATAAAGAGTTGAAGTGTTCAAAAGTTCTTTCGGTTTCAAAAGGCATACTAATTATCTTGCTTGTCTCATCAACGTCTAATTAATTGACAGTTCCTTTTTCTTGTTTTCCAAGTTGAAATGAAAAAATATTCTTTGGAAACGCTTTTTTCACTTAAAAGGCTTTCAATTAATCAGCTCTTTTAGCTACAACGCTCAGTGGTACAATCAGTGGGCGATGCCGATGACTGGAGCCGTTGGTCTGAATCCTTTCAACGCCATCCCGGCGCAACCTTTGGTCGAGCCGAAAAAAGACTCCAGCGCTCCCGGTTAGTTATTTTATCTGAAGTTTTAATACGACTTACAAAAGTCCAATTCCATAATCTCCAATCTTCCTGAGAGCTCTCTGGGCTTGAAAAACCTTGCCTGAGCTCTCAAAAAGGGGAAGTACTATAAAAAAGGTACCCCGAAAAAATATTTTGTTCAACTTTATCGTCTCATGATCCGATGTGAGTAGGAGGGGGAGGAAAAAAACTGAATGCTTTTACGAGCATTCGCGAACGACGACAGATGGGATCCGATGGAAGCAAAAAAAAAACCACGACGGCCGACACCGTTTTGCGATTAAGGAAAGCGGAAGACGTCCAGAATTCAGATTTTCCCTCTTTCAGATTCAAAGTCTCGCGGACTACGGTTTGAAGACTTCAAGCGTCAAGGAAAGACTTAAAATCAACACTTTTATTCAACTGAACAGTAAAAACTTCAAATTTGAGAATAGAAGATGGATAGGCAACTTTTTAGGAATTTTTCTCAATTTTTTTCCAGATTTTTATCAAAGCTTCAAAAATTATCTGAAAGTGCGAAAAACTTTTCAACCTCAGTTTACTTGAATCAGGATAACGCACTTTTTGGGTTTTTCTTACTTTTTTTGAAAACCGTAATAATTCAATCGCACAAATACGCCATCAAATTTCTGGCTCGATGAAGAATTTTTGACAATTTCCATAAGTTTCACACTTACGACAGGCCCTCGAAGCCTAAACATCATGAGAAACCCTAAAAGGAAATTTTAATCGAGAATTTTGTCAACGAGAAATTTTTAAGCATTTGGTACATTTTTGTACAACTTGACTGGTTTAGAAAGCTCACCGCTAACTTTTTCATTCATTAATTCTTCAAGTTCTGATAAATTTTGGCGGTTTAGTTTATGAAGGAATAATTCAAAATTTTAAAAATCGAAGTCAAAGACTTTTGAGAACAATGCCCACTATTTTCTCCTATACCTAACAATAAATCGGGTCAAAACGGTGAAACGGCAAGTTTATAGGCAAGTTGGACGGCAAATGGCTGCGGGAGTCCATTTGGCGATAATTCAACATGACACAATCTGTGCCGCTGCTCCTATCGGCCCAAAATATCGGACCCCTTCGGTCCTCACCTATTTATCGCCTCATCCTCATCCCATTTCCATTCTTGTCTTTCACGCAATATCCTCCTGTTCCACAACTTTTTTTCTGTTTTTTTCATCTCCATTATGATCATTTACTTAAAAAAAACTTTTATAAATGAAATTCAGCCTAGGTGAGAGAAATTTAAAAAAGCTTACTTGTGACTTTGATCATTTTCGGAAATGCCCTTTCAAGTGAAAAATATAGCCTAGTTGAGTCAAAAATTTGGTTTCTTGGAAATCAAAATAGTTTGCTGATTTGAGACAATGGAGCTGTTTGGAATTTTAGCAAATGAACCGAAAAAATTTCCGGATTCAGCTGAAAATTTGCTACAAAGTTCAAGTGGCGTTTTTCAGCGGTTCTTTCGGTTTTCCTTTAAAATTGACTAGCTCAGAAATTCGTCCTAAGCCCCTTGATGACCAAACTCAGCTTTCCCTGAAAATCATCAGTTTTTAACCAAATTAAAAATAATCAGAAGCCCATGACAGGTTAAAAATGCGTAGTATATACGAAACTTTCAGTTTTCAAGTTTAATTTTTCCAAGCTTCTCGAACGAAAAAAATCTGGAATCTCCGGATTACCGTAGAAATTTATCATAACGACGTCCCGACCGCATTTGTACGCCTGTTAGAATCGAAATTGACTTTTGAACAAATATTATTCGTGCGCCGATTGGCCATTTCAAGTCGACGACAAACCGAGAGGAACTCGTTTTCCGCAAATTGCAAGACAAAACGTCTTGGCCCCTCTCTCTTCTCAAATACCGTAACCTTGCGCACACCCGCCTTAGTACGTTTTGCTTGAGAAATAGAATTTGCTGAAATAAAAAATGAAGAAAATTAGTTATCTTTCCGATAAGACCTAAAATTAGTTATCTTTCCGATATCTGAAGAGCTGTGAAATTAGAATGGTGATGATGGTCAAGACCGACTTCCAATCAGCTTTTTAAAGTTAGCTCAACTCAGAAAGGAAAAATTCGCTCCATTGAAGAGCCTATACATTTTCACACAAACCAGCGGATCAAAATGGGAATGTTCAAAAAAATAAGTTTTAGTCATATTGAATACAGAAACGTGACAGGAGAAACTGCGAAAAATGATATTCCAAGCCGAGCTTTTTTCAAATAAATTATTCAGTTAGAGGATTCAATATTTATATATTCTCACAGCCAAAAAATTAATTCTCAAGGTCCAGATTGGAGATCATGCTTCAAATCAACTTTTCAAGCTCCTTCCAACCAGCTCCCGATTTTCGTGTGTTTTGCTCACCGATTGGCGTAGTAACGACTCATCTCCTTCTTTCCGTAAACACCCACCTAGCCGGACGTTGGTCTATAAGCGCCCCGTGGCAGACAAATTAATGAGCATTAATGGACACCAACCTCGGCAGAATGTAATTCCTGCCGAGCGGCCTGGCTTATAAAATCGAAAAATCATGCCTAGTATTTATGAATGTCTGGTGTCAAAAATTCCGAAAGGGAAACTTTCGGCTTCAGTAGTATGATATTATCAAATTTCTTGGCTCATTAAACAGACAGTTTCTGTTTAAATGAGCTCTATCGAAAAATCATGATAACATTTCGTCATTCATCATATCTAATCTAGCTTTAACTACCAAAAAACCCGGGACTTTGAAGAGATTTTCACATTAAAATAAAACTATAAGCTTAACGAGGCTCAAAAATTCCAACGCCTCGGATCAAACACCACAAGAACTTCTATTAAAATGATATAAAATATCCAGATCATCCATTTTATAGTATTATCCTTTGCAAAATGCTAACTGAATTTATCAAAAAGAGATAATCGCAGTTTAGAGGAGAAATGAAGTTTTTTTGTCCAAATCTTGGAAGCCTTGAAGTTATTTAATCCGATTTATAACACTCAGCTGCCTCTGAATATCCAGCTCGAAATAGTTCAAGAGAGAAAAAAATGAGAAGCTCTGAAATATTGAATTCATTTTTTTCCATTACTTTCGAAGTCCTTTCTTTGAAAAACTTAAAAAAAGTCTTCAAAAAAAGGTCTTAGCACGAAATTTAAGTAGCTTGATCGGAAACCTTTTTTTAGGCTTTGAAAGCATTGCCTTTTTTTCGATTAAATACTGAATTATATAGATTCCACAAACAAAAACCAACTGCGTTTATAATATCCTTGCGTGAAACAGTCACCTCATGTACTTAAAATAGGAAATTTTCAAACCAACTGATTAAAAATTTCGGTGCACCCCGCTGAGAAGCGATCATGGCCGTTATAATCGAGCGGCCGTAGTCTTGTCGTTTTTTTCCCAACGAGACGACTTCTCTCTCCCACCATAACCGCCGTCTAATTTAATTTATTCACTAAGTCAACATACAATAATCGCAATTTTCGCCATTCATTTGACGGCGTTCGTCGGGTTAGTCGACTGCTGCTTCGCATCGCTCGGCCTGGCTTTTATCTGGCTTTTTTCATAATTTTTTCTCATTTTTCCATAACTTTTGTTTTTTGTTAGTTTTAGGTGATTTCACAGCTTCAAGGCATCTTCAAATCAGTTCGCTATTTTCCATTATCCTATGTTTGAGCTGAATACTGAGTTTACTGGAGCTTTCCTGCTCACTTTTAAGTTAATCTAAAAGCATTTCTGGAACAAAACGTTTTCCAATGACAGAAACTACCGTTCCTGAGATTTTTTAGCGTCTTCCAAGACGAAAAACTTCGAACAACTCCCTCAACCTCTTTCCTCACTTTCTTTCCTTATCATCTCAAAAATTTAAAGTAACTAAAGAAAAAAAAAGGATGGGCTGAGGACTGTGCGACCAACGGTTCTTCTTGCATATTACAACGTTGTTGTCCCGCCAAAACACTGGCGCTAATGTACCGCGAAAATATTTTCCGCCTGACTGGAGCAGCCGTTTGATAAGGCGATGCGCGTCGCCCATCGCCTTCTTATTCTAGTTGAACAAGAAATTTTTCTTTTGAAAAAAATGACTTCTTGTCTTCTTGTCTTCCGATGAAGATATTGGGTAGAACGGACTGTTGAATTTAGACAGTTGGAAGGGAAAAAATGACGAAATTTCGAACTTTCTCAAAAAACATCGAAAATAGATGGTTTGTATTTGGTATATGAGGCTCTCCAAGAAGGGAAAGTTCTCTAATTTGAGATTTTCACAGAACTTTACATTTTCGAACTCTTATCATCATTAGTCATACTTTTTTTTCTGATTGAATTAAAGGAGAGCAAAAATTTGTGACTGAGAAATGAGATTCCTAGCTATTTTGAACGTTATTTAGAAGACGCGCCTTCAAAAAATGTAATGAGGTATTTTTCAGAAGTTCCTCTAGAGTTTAGGAAGAATCATACATTTTTTGCGGATTTTTTGAAGTCCAAACTCCTTGCATGACCTGACCTAACCCTAAAAAGAATTTTTTTTCCCAACAAAAATGGCCCATCCATTCCCAGAAGCTTCATCAAATTTTACCGACAGAAACTTTTCTTGAAATTAGATCAAGCTATTTTTCATATGGAAAAAGTTCGCTTTGCCCTATCTTTCCGTTTCCGTCACATCTATTACTTAACACACAAAATATCCCAGTTTTAAATATTAGCAATTCGATCTCGAATAGAAGCCTTATACTGGTATTAGCTTGTTTTGGAAGATTTTGAAACTCAGAGCCGGTGGGAGGACCGGCAAGCCGCGGATTTGGCTCCAACTCCCTCAAAAATCCGCGAAAAAAAGGGATGGTTGGCTCGGCGAGTTGGCTGCACCCAATGCAAACTTAGATCCATCACCGCTTCAAGAGGGGCAGAGGCTTTGGCTGGCGTCGGTTTGGATTACGGTGGCCGGGGCGGAGCGTCCAGCCGTCGTCCCCTTCTTCCAGTTTTGGCTGCGCCCAACGTTTCTCCATCTGTTGACTCTCTCCATCAATTACTCTATCTCCAAGTGAGGGGCACCGCTGCTGTATTTCTCTACCTGTCCTTTTGCGTTCCGGACTGCCTCACGCCACACATCACTTTTTACTTGAGTGATCCTGATTGCTTGTGACAGTCGCTACCAGCGGCCCGCTGCCCAGAAAACTCGAGCTCACCTGCTCTTCTGAATCGTCGCGACGGCTCACCGAGGCGGTCCTCAGTCAACCATTGAGTCGGCCAGCTTTTCGTGCGCGCCAGACACTTGGTGCTATCCGCCGAGCTCTTCTGGAGACTCCGGAATGCATCGACCTGAGCTCTACTCCATCAACGAGAACATGCCGCACTGCGATCAGTCGCTCATACGAGTTAAGGATCTCTTATATTTTGAAGCGACTAGTTTATATTTTTTAAGTGAGAACCAGTTTTCGTTTGCTTGAAGATCTGAGTGGATAGTTTTTCCGTCTTATAGTTTTATGCATGTTGTTAAAATCAGCTCCGATAGTTCAACCGAATATTTGTTTTTTTCGCGGATGCACAGTCAACAAACTAATTCACAGAATAACAAGTATGTCATTTGAGTTTTTCCAAAATTCCCCATATAGGGGACTTTTTTTGAAAATTCTTTTTTCATTAAAATGAGGATCATTTTGAAAAACTTCCTTAACAGTACATAACTCCTGAATGCTCGAATATATTTTTTTTCTACTCACTCAGCATCGTAATATGACCATTTCCATTTCAGGTAATATCAAAAAAAAAAAACTTTTATCCTTTTTTATCTCCCATTTTCCAACTTGAAACAATGACTAAGTGGTTAGTGAAACAGTGACTACGTTTCTGCAGTTATTTGAGGCGAAGGACCAGAGGAAGTTTCACCTCACAAGTTTATTCGATTTTAGTTTCGATTTTCATGAATCGAGAAAAAATCCATTAGCAATCTGGAACAAAAACTTGTCAGCTGAAATTCCAAAAAAAAAAGTCTTTGAGTCTCAAAACTTCAAGGATTACATTCCATATTCAATAATTCGATTTTTAAGCTTTTCACACTAATATTTTTCCAGCCTCAAATCGTAAGCTCTCAAGTTAACTAAAATTGCCTTCTGTTCTCTAGTTTTGAGGACCTTTCCTTCCGAAAAGCAAAAAATGCCTACCAGTTCCAACCAAGATCACTTGAGAACTTTCCTCAACTCTCCCAACCGTTTTGCCTCGTCGATTCAACTGTTAAGTTTTTTACAACAGTGAGAGGAAGAGGGAGAGTGGGTGAGAGGGTGGAGAACACCGCGCACCTTTTGCATTGTCTCATTGCGCCACCTCGAGAAAAAGAAAAGGTGACTCTGCCGGCCACCAGTCGCACGTCTTCTGTCCTCGAGGCGGTAACCCGCCCCATCAGCCATCCGCGCGCTATCAGTCGGTGGTCGTGCAGTCTCCCACGAGAGATGATATCGGCCCACGCTCCGTTGACGCCGCTGAAGCCACCGCTTCCGCAGGCCGCGCCACGGCGACCTCCGCCAATCCGCAAAATTCGACACGGTACTTCCAAGTTCTTGTCGCCAACTTTTTGATTTGCGTGATTTTTGGGCCTTTTAGCATTTTTCACGCCATCTCTGAGACCTTTTCCGATTTTTGAAGCTCAAGAATGGTAGAGAACATTGAACTTCGGACTTTAATCTTTCAAAGTTTCCAACTAATTGATTTGAAAAAAAACTTACAAGTTATATGTGATACTACATCACAGTCATTCAGAGCCCTTTCTGTTTTTTTTTGAGGCCTTCTGATATGAGTTTTATTGAAATTTCATTCTGTAAAGATCATTCACAGCTGACTTTTTCGGATAGCTCATTCCGTAAAGAAACCACTTTTGAAAGAGTGTGTAAAAAAGCCCAGGAGCTCACTTTTTATTCAGAAAAAAAGCTTCTGAAAGACGACAATTTCTACTTTCTTTCATTTTATTTTTTCATCAGAACAGCTCACAATGGAATGTTTTCAAAATCTTCTGATCTCGAAACAATTCACAATTTCAAACTTACTTTTTCTAGTCCGAATGCTTAGAGGTTGCTGTTTTTTTTTAACTGTGGACTTCTTACGAATAACATCACTTCTCTGTTTCCATCTATCGATTTCTCCTCAACGCATGGGTTGTACACAAATCGATTCATTTGCATCGTAATCAAATTAGGAATGTGAGCGATTTGAAAGCGTTTGATGCGAGAAATAGAAAAAGAGAAAAAAACAGTCGAGACGTCGTTGCTCCGGAAGCCTTTCCACCGACCACCGGAAGCAAGAAGAAGCGTTAATGGCTTGCATTAGCTGCGCTTCCGTTTTGTTACCGTTGCCCCTTCGAGTGATAATCCAAGCCAATGTTATGAGAATTCAAAAAATCATGAAACAAAAAATTTGTCAGTATGAGTTTACTGTTTTAGATGAGGACCAAAAGCCTCCAAACGATCCTGACGAGGACGCGGCGGCTCGATTGCGTCTGAAACGAAAACTCCAGCGCAACCGCACTTCCTTCAGCCAGGAGCAGATAGAGGCCCTTGAGAAAGGTAAAATTCCGGTCAGAAAAATCGGGAAAAAAATCGAATGTTTACAGAATTTGAGCGTACCCACTACCCGGACGTTTTCGCTCGCGAACGCCTTGCGCAGAAAATTGGTCTTCCAGAGGCCAGAATCCAGGTATGGTTCATTCACCGTCACACGGAGAATGGCTCAAGATTTTTATCTTGCCTCATAGCTTTCTGTGAATTATTTGAAAGCGGTATTCTAAAAAAATAACTCACGTTGACTTTTTATTTTTATGATGATATGTAAGTAAATTAAAAATTCTTCAATTGAGCTGAACTATATTTTCAATAATATAGAAGCATAAAATTGGTTTATATTGCGAAATGATCAAAATCGAACCGTTGACGATTCCCACAGTATACTCCGGCGACTGATAGCGTCAGCCCCGCCTACTTCTCACCAACGCGAGAGATAGGAAATCATCCAAATGGGCTATAATTATTACATAAATACGATGTGATCAAGGTTGTACCTCTCCAAGGGCTCTCTTTCCTTGAAAAAAAAAATAAGCTCTTGAGCAAGGATAATCTTTACCTGTTCCTCCAATGCGTCAGAGCAGGATTACAAAAAAAAATAAAACTTGAAGCAGGAAAACAAAAATCTTTTTTTCTTCTTCGTGACGCAGTTTTTAACGGTTTATAAAACGCAATGTCGACGCAACAAAATGCGCGATAAGTGAGTGACGTGCATGGTGAAGATAGTGGAAAAGAAACGAGGTGTCCGTATGTCAATCGCGATCTGGAATCTCGAGGGGAGGACGGCAGATTGGCACGGTTGGCTTCCGCTCAGCCTTGAACAGGATCAGTTGAGTTCTCTGACAAGTTTGAACCTTCAGACAGGTCAAACTCATGTTTTCGTCGAGTTTTCTGGCAGAAAAGTGGAATTTGAAGCCAAAAAAAAGCAACGAAAATTGTTTTTTTCCAGAAACATCAAGGAGATTCTCTCAAATTAGTCAAATTAATTATTTTCCACGGCTAAAAAAAGCTTCGGCATTTATGGAACCTTTTCAAATCTATAAAATCTTGATTACAGTTTGCACAAATATCGCTATTTCGAAATATCAGCAAACAACTTTTGTTCACTCATTTTTTTCCTTATTTTTTCTCGGTCAGACACAATCACCACTCCAGAGCCACTTGCCTCCCCGGCACACTTGAACTTTTCCTTTTTTGGAGAAGAATCGAAACAGGTTGCGCCGGCCGTTGTTTCAATAACAACTTGGCCCAAAATGTTCTCCTTCCTGAAGTTTCAAACTTGGAAGAAAAAAAGGAGAATTTTTCTGTGGCAGATGCTCAAGCATTTCTGGACATTTTGTTTGTTAATTCGATAAAATATTGACCTTCTGGATAGGTCCTATCGAGATCAAAAGACATTTATCTTGATTAGGCTCACCACGAAGACACATGCTCGCAGCGAAAACGTAACAAAAACGCAGCTGTCTGTGTTACTGTGGATTTTGAATATTACAGTAATCATTTCATAAAGAAAGAAGTAGTTGAATCTTACAATAAAAAAGTTGTGAAATAAAAAGTCGAAAATCCGATTTTTTCAATAATATTGGAATTACCCTTTAAAAAAAAGAAAGCTTTGAACCGGAATTCTGGTCCATTAATCGATTTCTCGGTTGAGGAAAGTTTTCAGAATGAAAGAAAAATCAAATAATCATTGATCAGTCAGCAGTAATTCAAAAAATCTGCATTCTACAATTTCTCTGCGCTAACATATTGAAAAAACTATAGAAATCCGAAAAATATGATTTTCTCAAGAAATTCAAAACCATTGTCTTTTCCAGGTGTGGTTCTCGAACCGTCGCGCCAAATGGCGTCGCGAGGAGAAGCTCCGGAACAAGCGTCCTGGCGGCAGCGTCATGGACTCTTCCATGTCCAACGGGACTCCTACTCCGACTCCTGGATCGGGTCCAGGCAGCGCAATGACGAACCCGATCGGCTCGCCGGCTTCAACGCCCAACCGCTTCCAGCAGTCGAATCCTTCGATCGCTGCGGCCAACTTTGTGCCGCCGACCGGCCAGATGTACACTGGGCTCACTCAGCCGACTATGGACCCCTATGCGTGAGTTTTTCGTTGGGATGAGGATTGAATGTACAGAAAAAAAAATTGTATCTAGTAAAATTTTCAACATAAAAGTTGAAACAACCTATTTTTTGATAAAGAAGCGCACTTCAATCAAAAGTTCATTTTGACTTTGAAAAGCCTGTTGGGACCTTCAAAGTAGCGATAATAAATAGTTCGGTTGAAACCTGAAAGTTAGTTAATTTTGAATCTCATTTTGAATCGTTCCGTCAAGATGTATCGAAGATTTTTGTTTTCCAGGTTCGGTTTTGCCAACGCTGGCTTGGGGATGCCGTACCCGCCGGCGGATTTCAGCGCCCATCACATGTTCCCCACCACTCGTTCGCCATACGACGCCTTCCATGTGAGTTGTTTGTTTTTTATACTTTTCAAGGGGATTTTCTAATTTTCCAAGTTTCAGCCGTATGCTCGGACGATGCAGACCAGCGTGGCTCACAGTTTCCCGCCTGGAATGAACCCTGCAACGACCTCTTCTGTCGGTGGTGAGTTACCGGGAAAAAAAGGAAAAGAATATTATCCCTCCAGTGGCAGCGCAAGTTCGTGAAGGGTGAAACAGTATTGTCATTTTTTGAAGAGGTCATTAAAAACCCAGTCATTCCCAATCAAGCTTCCCTCGCTTCAAATTTCTGTTTGATTTTTGAAAGTGAAGCGGGAAACTCATTCAGATCTGTCAAACCCAGTCAGGCTTCCAGGTCTTCCGCTAATTAAAGACCTTTAACAACTGTTCCAAATGGAGCGGGGAAGCCATTTTTTACGCTGGCTGAAAATTCGGACGTTCTGAAACATTCTGTTTTTTGTTCTTTGTGGAGCGGTTCCCATTCGCTATCCCTACAGTAACCGAGCGCGCCTTTGTCTGTCGTGACACATGCGCCCAGTCTCTTGTCAACTCAAATAATCATCTCAAACCCGTGAGTCCGCACGGAAGTCTTCAAAACGCCTCTCATCGCGTCTCTTTCCTTTTTTTTACAGTCCGTCAACTGATAATCAGTCAGCACTTTAGAGGGCAATCTGATGTCTCAGACTTTCCAAAAAAAGAACTGATAAAAATGTCCGATGCAATCAGTCAGAAATGATGAGAAACAATGAAGAAGAACTTTTTCGGACTTATACGGGCATGAACTTTTTTTTATTTGTGAAAGTCAGATCTAACTAGGATTCCATTCGAAAGTCGAACTTGCAAGCCGACTGCCTGCGAAAAACTTCAAGAGGCCGACCCGCTTTAGGGCATTCTTCTGAAATTTATGAGCGCGTTTGGCGAGTTTATGGCGGCATCATTTCTAGCAAATGTTTTCGGCCTCGTTGTTCTACACTCATTTTGAACGCTCAAGGAATATTCCAGTGCATAAACCTAGTTTTTAAGAAAGTTCCCAGTCTTAGTTGAGTCGTAAAGTTGGCTTGATGATTTTGAAGTGTTATGAAGGGAACAGGCTAGTTGAAACTATTATAAAAATACAAGACAAGTATAAAAAAGCTGTAAATCTTTAATAAGGTATATGGTTGGGTTTTTCCGGCCTCAAAATTTTCAAAAAAAAGTTGCGCAAAGTTTTTTTGACCTAGTTTAAGAACTAACCGAGGCTTTCTCAAAGATTTTCTACGCTTATAGATTTTTTTAATCGCTTTCAATTTTGCCTGCTCAGATGACAATAATGTTGTCTCAAAAAAACAATTTTTTTAGAATTTTTTTGGTTTTTTTGAAGCTCAAAAAAATATCAAGATACAAATGAAGAGAAGGGAAAATCGTTTTTTTCACACCGAAGGCTACAGCATATACAAAAAAAATCAAATTTAAAGAAAATATTCGAAATTGTTCAATTTCAGTTATCACGCCTGGAATGAGCGTCTCGGCGGTTCTGAACACAATCGACCAGTCGTCCCTCTCCTCGGGTCACCCAACTATGCACGACATTAGTGAAGTTCAACCTCATGATGCCGCTTCGCAGTACTGGCGCCAGTAGAACCCAGAGTCCCAGTTCTATAATTGCCCCCATTCACAAATCCAAAGTTTTATTTTTTTTTTTTTTCCATGTAGTCTCAGTCAAAATGAAAAAAATCTCCCCATTGTGTGTACAGTCTTACCTTCAAAATTTGGTTGAGCAACTTGAAAACGGTGACGATGTATGTAATGAGCTTCAATCAGTTTTCTTTCTCCATTTTACCGTTTCAAAAACTCTTGTTTACCTTCCCAATCGTCCCCGTGTGCTCTAATTAGCTTCAATTGTCTCTTCTTCTCAACCTTTTTCTTTTTTTTTGTTTGGTTAAAACTTGTTTTTTTCTCGACTATTACTTCAAGGGCCTGAAGACCTCGCATCTTTTGCCAAAACATCAAAATACAGGCCCAGAAAATGTAAATTTCTTACATTTTTTGGCTAGATACGAGCTCTTCGGACTGATTGAGTCCATACTTGACATTTCCCCAGTTAATCCAATCCTTTTCCTAATAATTGTTCGCATAATCCCCATCTTCTAATTAAAATCAAATTGGGTACTCATTTTTTATTCTCAAAAAATCTTCTTTCGAAATTCGAAATTTCTCGCTAGAAACGTAGCCAGGGACATTTCAAAAAGCATAATTCGGTGGTATGGCAACGTTGAAATCATCCAAAAACCTTCAAGTGTCATCTGAATAAATTTTGGAACAGCATTAAGTCATCTGAAATCTTCACCGTTTCCATAATTTTCATGTCGTTGCAAACGTTCTCTGGTCGTTCAATTGTTTTCCATTGAATTATTCAATTTTTTCCTTTTCCGTTCCATCATCTGTTACCAATTTTCATATCATTTGATGTTTCCTCTCTTCTTGCATTCATTTGTATTTTGACTGTTGTAGACTTGATTCTTTAATCCGAAGTTCTAGTTTTTTGTTTCTTTCTGCAATAAAGTAAATGAAAAAAAATTCCGTGTTAAAATACAAGAAATGGTAATTAATGTAATATGGATGACGGCTATAAGAAGGAAAAATCGGGATGAAAAGTCTTCTTAAGAGAAAAAAGGAAATTTTTTTAAACTCAGATTTGTTCAAAAAGTTTGAGAGAGACCAATTCTTTCTCAAAGTTTTCAGAAAAATGTAATAAATGAAGTAGAAACGTCATCATGCGGGTTTTTCAAGCAAAGATCTTTGGACTACAGTAATCCTTCAAATCGGATGTTCTATCAATCAATCCTTGTCAAAAAAAACAGGTGACAAGACCTTTTTGAGAAGAAATTTCGTGTTCCTAAAGCGGAAACTAGAGTGCACGGAAAATTTCGCGGAAATTCCAGTCCAGAGGTCATTTCTAAGCCTTCTCGGGCCAGCCCGACCGAATAAGTGTTCGAGTGACTATAGTGTGACAGAAAAATCTTGTAGGAATTTGAAATGAAAAACTTTGGTGAGGAGCAGTCGGTATTTGAAATAGTCATGTGCAAATGTGCTCCGCGGACAATGATGAACTGAATGGTTTTTCTCATGATTTTTTTTTGTGGAGCGCCTAGTCACACGGTTAATATTAATATTCTATTTCATTCAAATTGATTTTCTGATCAATAAAACCTGCTCCAAGTAATTTAATCAAAAACGGATATTTATTTCATAAAATTCAAACTTTCATCCTTCCTCGGTGCTTCAAACGACCGTAATCCGTCAACTTCGCTGTCCAATTAATCACCTCATGTCACAAAAACAGTGGTGATAGGCCATTCGTCAAAACAAGCATCGCAATGAGTGGTGCGCAAGTGGCGGAAGGGCGAAGAATTGCGAGACCCTTGGAGACTTCGATCAAATGGCGTCGCGATAAGAATCTTCGGAAGAAGGAAGAAATACCAAAGAAAAGCGGGAGACTGAGAACGGCAATCAGAAGACGTCGTTTGGCGCCAAGGTGAGAAAGAGATCGACGAGATGGCCGATGGACGAACACCCCAGGAAAACCGTGTAACATTTGATGAATGGGCCTATAAATGGTATCTTTATTGGGTGGCGCGCGAGGCGAAGTACCGCATTGTCTACCATTTTTTGAGCTTTTATGGGCTTTCAGCCATTAATGGACAGGTGGATGGATTTAGAAAAAAGAAAGGTGTTTAGGGAACTTTTTAATCTGCAAAACAAGGGCATGTTTGGGTAATCTGAAGGTCAGTTTGAAGGTTTTGAAGAGCTTCTGAAGAAAAAAGCAGTCTGAAGAATTTCCTAATCTGCAAAACACGTTCGAGCAATCTGAAAATTACATCAACTTTCCTTCAAAATATGAAATTTTAGAAAAACAGAGTTCAAGCTAAAATATAAAGATTTATTGCTGACGGAAATTAGAGTCGAATAGGATTATAGAACTGAGACAAAAATAAAGTCGTGCAGAAAATGTTGGAATCTGTAAAAAAATCCGCTAAGAGACAAATACAAACTATTTACGAAAATTTGAAAGACTTTTTTTGAAAAATATAACCTTAGAGCCCATTTATCAAGGAAATTTTTCTTGATCTAGCTTTCTTTCCAAATGATATTCGAAAATAGCTGAGTATACAAATAATTTTGCAAATATATTTTTTCCGCCTTCAAAACCTTACAGATCACCTCATGAGGATTCACCTTGACCATTTATGGTGCCATTCCGTCTAGATTCAAACGAAAGGAGACTCATGAAATCGCGGATTTTTTTTTCGTCTCCCAACCTGACCCTCGTAGGCTTTGAAGAAGTACGCAGAAGGTGAATTTGCGGCCGTTCGGTCACTTTTATTAGCTTACGCCCTTGTCAAACGCGTTATACGGTAATCTCAACCGACAAATGCACTTCCAGGTGTTTTTTTTTCCGAGTTCTCAGTCTGGCCTTTCGCAGGAGGAGACTTCTTGGGGCGCTGAATTCTTGCAAAATAATTTCCAAGTAAGAATTAAATGAACCCTATAGGGGCTGTTGTTTTCCCTAATTCCTATAAAAACAAATAGTGCCTTAGGGGCGAAAAGGTCAGACCCAAAATCCCTATAGGGACCAATCAAATTTTTCTCTTAAAGGGACCACTCTGAAAGTCCAAGTTAGAATAAAATGCCATCAAAAATGTTTGAAACTGTTTTGCTCATTTGAAAGCGTTTGATGAGATTTCCAAAGCCAGCGGTATGTAATTTTTTTTTTGCTATTTATAAAAGCTCTATGTGTGCACGTGGAATAGCTCAAGTTTTCTGTAGGCTAAAAATTCTGCAGTAGGATACAGTTTAAATTTCTGCGCTCCAAAGTATTTCATGTGCTACATAGACTTCCAAAAACTATCAGCTTTTTGTAAATTTATTAAGCTTCTAGTCAACAAATATGATTTTTTCACTGCTCACCTGGTAAATCTATCAAACAGAAAAAAAACAGTGATTCCTCAGATTTCTTCCCTTTTTCTTTTCTGCATTACAATCTGCTGCAGATTCCAAGCCGAATAAATTCTGAAGCAAGGCTTTCCTCCAAGCGAACCGCAATACTCATGCTCTTATGATAGCTGTCGTTTTCCTTCATGCACTTTTTTTTGGCTTTTCAAATGGGCTTTACGGTATTGACAACATGATCAGATTTGTGCAGTATTCAAGACCTTTTTCAATTGCAACCCGAGAGTGAAAAACGAAATTTATCGAGAAAAGCAAGAGAAAACGAATAAATAGTCTAGCGGTGCCTTGGGAAGAATAACGGGTTGGGAAAAGATCATCGGTTCATAACTTCTTGGGATTTTTGATTTGTAATACCCGCAAAGAAAATTGAAAATAATTAAATAATTCTCAAGTTGAATACACGCAAAAATGAATGGCACGGGGAAAGCAAAAATGAATAAAAAGAGATTCAAGTAGGTTGGGTTGCATCGAAAAGTGAAGAATTATTCGGCCTTAGGTCGAGCCGTAGAAGGGGTCGAAGTATCCTTCTTTTTCTTCATAAAGTAGTTGATCTTGTCAAAAAGATAGATCGGCAAAGCCACAATGAGCAGCCAGTAGTAGATCGACGACCAGAAACTGAAAATAATGCCTTTTTGAAACGGGAAGTTGAGAAAGGGTGCTTACCGATGGGTGTCATGGAAATTCTTGAGCAAGAATCCAGTGGCAAGCATATCAAACCCACGGGAGCGCAAAGTCAGGATATAACTTAAATATTTTTTGTTTAATTCAGATAAGTTGAGTTTTTGCTCCTATCTACTTTTCTGATGATTTTTTTGTCATCGAGTTTTTAGGCTCTGCAACTCCAAATTGGGTGGGGAAAGAAGGAAAATATGTGAAGAATATTCATTTTCGATCATTTTCCAAATTTTGTTTAAGCTCAGAGCTTTAAAAATCTCTTTATATTCCAGTCAAAACTTACATGATTCTGAACCAAAACGGACGCTTGCCAGTCTCAGGCTCAACCGGAACCATACGGAAAATGATGTCCTCGATTGTGGTGCACATAGGGACGATCAAAAAGGACCTGAAATACTTTTGAATTTGAAAAAAATCTTTTGTTGAGAACGCACATGAAGTAGCCAGCATAGGTGCCGTGCCACAGGGCGCTGACAAAAAGAGTGAGCTCAACACTGAAAAATACACTTAAAAGAAGAAAAAGAAAAATATTTTTTTACCGGTAAGCCTTGGGGCTACGAGAATGGACGTAGAGAGCCAGCCAACTTTGTACAGACCGATTCCAAGACCGGATTCCTTCGCGGAAGCCATCGCTGGCTTCGACCTGAAGAATGTTTTCCCGTTTCAATATCGAATTTCTAATCGATCACAGCGTGCCCCAAGCGTTTTTCGAAAAAGGTATACTTTCAAAAAAGACTTCATAACTTCATTCGTTAATTTTTTATGTTTTGGCTTTACCAGAGATTTGTTCTTTCTCAAACTCAAAAAATCACCTTTGCAACCAGGCCTTTTTTTGGTAACGATATGTAAGTTTTTTTTTCTATTTATACATTTTTTTCTCATCGATTTAACCTTTGGAATGTCCAAATTGACAATGGCTTCCGTGGACATTTCAGGATTCTCAATGGTCAGACTCTTGTTGAACTCGGCAAGATCGGTTGGGCCAACGACGATTTTCGGCTTGCTTGACGCAGGATAGACACCGATTCCGAGCAGGACGCAGATCGATTCGGCAATCGCCCAGGCACTAAAATAATCCGTTTATTATAAAAAAATATAAAAAAATGTTGAGTTTGACAAACCTGTAGACACGAGCTCTGAACACAGCGAAGACCGCGGCGGCGTAAACGAATCTGTAGAAAAGAGTCATTTCCCAAACGGCATCCGTTCGGAGACCCTGAATTATCAAATTATTGTTTCTAATTTATTTCCCAACTCACATCCAATGGGAAGATTTTATTAAGGATGACGAACATTGGCACGGACCAAAAAAGTCTCTGGAGGCGATTGAACACCTCAGAAGATGGGTTCCAGTTTTTCAAGTAGGCGTTTGTTGAATCATGAAGCATCACGTAGGTGTAGTACGGTCCTGAAAAAATTGAGCTGAAAGATGAAATGCACATGATACCAAAGCAGGAAGAAAAAAAGAAGAGAATATGAAATTTTTTTGGGCAAAGAAATGTTTAAATAAATTACTAGAGAGACCGCTAACTGTATTTTCTTATGATGCTATAAAAATAAGCAACTGACAACTTTTTTCATGAAGCCTACACTTTTGAACAAAGTTACGGAATAAAAAAAAATTCATAGCTTTTCTATATAATGTGAAAAAATTGGTTCTTCCTGAAAATAAAAGCCAATAAAGCCCATTTCACTTTTCTCAAAAATTAATTAGATTCTATGTGATTATATGTATTTTCCATCATTTAAATATATGTTTTAAAAAACATTCAATTCAAAACCTACCAGTGAAAAGCCCGCAGAAATGATAGCAATAAAAGAACTTTTCGAGAAGCGTCGGCACGGCGTCGATCATCCGTTTTTCAGCGGCTTTTCCGGTCTTCTTAGCATGATGATAGTCGCTGATTTCAAATGTCAATCCAATTACCTAAAAATTTTTATCAAATAAAAAAATATATTTGAGTAACTAGAAAGAAAAATGAAACGAAAAGCTCACACGAAGCGTAATGATGAGCTGGACGACGTTCGCATGGCTGGCCAACTCGACAACATTGAAAATGTAATGAATGTAACGAAGGAAGACCAAATAAGCAAAAGAGCCAACGAAAACAACACGCGTCTGAATTCTGAAATGAAAATTTGACTACAAAAAAATAAGAAGAAAAAATTTCTCACACAGGAGGAGCCAGATGATGAACAGAAACCATGAATGCAAAAAGAACCGAGGAGTAAATCAAGCTGGTGCCTGGAAATATACATTTTAAAGCATTTTAATAGGTTTTTTATGCACAAGAAGCGTTTTGGAATTATTTTTCACTTTTCAAAGTTGGAAAAAACGCAGAATTTTAAATGAAACAAAACGAGTGGATCAACTAAATACATGGAAACTCCGTCACTACTATTTTTTTGAAATAGAACTATTAGCCTTCAATATAAATTCCCTTCTTGCAGGATTTTTTTCAAAATTGCAATAAAAAGATTTGAAACCAATCAGTTTTTTTAAAAAAATCTAAAATAAAAGACGTACGGAGAACGCAAATTGCCATGAAGGCTCCAAGCGCCCCGCCGATCCAAAAACTTGTCAGCTCTTTTTGGAAATAATCGATCCAACAGCAAAAAGAAAATAACAGAATTCCTGAAAAAAACAATAAAAAAATGTTGTAAAATTTACAAAAAAACTATACTTGAAACTAAAAAAATAAAAAAACCTGTATAAATCCAGTCATCTTTTTGAGAGGAGCCCAACGATTGAGTTCATCGTGTCGCAGAACACTGAAATTAAATGTTTGAATCTTCAGAGACAAGAGAAAAACAAGAAAACATAAGAAAAAGATAATAAAACAACAAAAATAGATTTTTGAATTTAGAGAGGGTGCGCGCGTATGGCGTCTTTGCGTGCGTCGTTTAGCGCAAAAACACGCCCCACGCCCTTTGGCTGAACGCCAGAGGTTCTTTTCCGCCGAAAACTATGAGCAGCTGTGTTGGCTCTCTGAATTTGACCTTTTACTGAACTCCTACTCGTTTGAGTCAACATGAACGTCGAATGTAAGTCATTTTTACGCTTTTCTCGCTATAGAATCGCCTCAAGTGGTTTTTTTAAAAATAACTCAAACATTATTTTTCTTAGTTGTAAAATGACGACTTGTTTTTTTAATTCAGCAGTTGGCAACAAAAAAAGGCGCAGCATGTTTTTGAAAAAGAATCTTTTTGCTTGAATAAAATGCAGTATTACATATTTTTCAACAAAAAAAGTTTTTCGGGATTTTTAGGAACTTGCGACATAGTTTTTTAGTTTAAAACAGTATTTTTCATTGTTTATTCATTGCTAATTTTTATATAATTTCAGATCGCATCGATCCGGAACCCGAGTTTCGAGAATGTGACGACTGCGGCAAAAAAAGGAGTTGAATGGGCTTCTATAAATCGTGGAGTCTTGATTTGCTCGAATGCTGCTCCGTTCATCGGAACTTAGGTGAGATAAAAAAATAATACAGAAATAATTGGAGTCATTTTTGAGGTTTTTGTGAAAAAAATGAAAATGGGTAAAAATAAATGCAATTCTCTTGCTTAAGTTATCTTCGAAGTGAAATTTATCAATTTTTACGTTTGTGGAAAGGAGACATTTTTTGTTTCCTAAATTTTAATTACAGTTAGATTTATTTCGGACTAGTTTTTCATGGATGATCAGACTTTTTTTAAAGACTAGTCACTCAGGTCGAGCTACAAGTTTCGTCCGACACTTGAGGCGCAGTTTCTGGGATGAGCAGCATTTCAAGCTCATGGTCGCCCTGACCAGGTATATCACTTTATTTTCTTTGAACTACAATGTCTCTTATTTTCTTTCAGCAATCACGCAAACCGAATCTGGGAAAGCGCCATCAACGAACCCAACAGCAAAGCACGCAAACCGCGTTCGAAGTGAGATCCACCTGTCATCATTTTTCACCCCTTGTCGTTTTTTTCTCTTTTCAGTGACCCCATTTACCCGCACAAGGACACATTTATCCGTGAAAAATACGTCAAACTGGCTTTTCTGAGTAAGAAAAAAGGCGACGATACGGAGAAGGATAGCTTGAACCGGCAGTTGTTCTCTTGTGTCAGGAGCGAATACGTGAATGTCACTTTGAGGTGAGATCAATGTCATGCAGTGACAATTTGAAGATGATTTGAAATAAATTAGGATCATGGCAGGTTCAGAAATTCTACAAAGATGCTTGCAAAAATTAAATTTTTATATTCAAAACTGCATGCCTGTCCACAAATAAATGAATCAGAATGAACTTTCTTCCCATGAAGAAAAATTATCAAAAACTTTCTTGAAATGTATGAATTTTATAGTTTTTTCAATTTTTAAAATATTTCATTGTTGAGAAAAAAATTGGAAATTTTTGTTTGCAAATGGCCATGTCATAAGGACTCCATATGGACTATATTTTTTTAGTCTCTTCCTTTTGTGCAAGAAATTTTTTTAGAAGTCGGTTTTTTTATAGTTCCTTTTTTTAAAGATTTTTTTAATTTCAGGCTGCCTAGTGAAAGTCTGAAACGAAATAAATGAAAATTTGAAACTGTATATAATCTTTATAGACTGATTGCCCTTGGAGCCGATGTCAACTATGTGGATCCTGAAACCGGAGAAACTCCACTTCATGTGGCGGCGCGAGAATCTTCTGAGCTTCAGGTTAGTTTCAGTGATCCTATTGAGCCAGCAGTTTGTGTAATTTTAAAAATAATGATCTCTTTCAGATCGAACTGCTTTTCCTTTTCGGATGCTCTCTTGGCTCAAAAAACAACGACGGGGACACTGCAAAAGACGTTGTCGTTAAAACTGGAAATGTAAAATTGCATGATAACTACCTTTTGGATAATGGATATATGAGTTCAGAGCGCTTTGGAAAACCGCTTTTCTGAACTGGAATACTACGCTACGGACCGTTTTTCTCTGTTCCTTTGTGGTAGGAAGCCGACTCATTGGGTTTGTTCTTTCTTTAGGTTTTATCAAAATCTGAAAACTTAGGACAACAAGCATTTCTTGATTCCGGATCTGATGGACAAGTCGTTTGTGGGCAAAACGCTCCTTTCCAGAAATTGCATGCAACTCGTTTCTGATGAGCACCTGGCCATTCTCAGACAGGATCTTTATGACGAGGTTAGGATTTTTTGTTTTCTGAAGCTTTCAATGATTCTTTGAAAATGTTGTCAGTGAGAAAAATTCATAGATTATACAACTTTGAATATTTAAATTTTACTAATCAATTAACTTCAGGTTGATCGTCGCGAGTGCGAAAAAGCCTGGAGAGAGGCCAACTGCCCCTGTTCGCCTTTTATCACACTCTTCCTACCGGTAATTAAAAATAAATGTCTAGAAACAGTTTCGAAAATGATTTTCAGCTTGAAAGTCATCTATCTTCAACCAGAAACCAATGGCGCCAAAAATTGGCCAAAAGCAACGCTCTGCAGTTTGCAACTCTGCTCATCGATGTGTTGAAGGTAGAACTTCAAGAAACACAATCTAGAAAGTTGTCTGAGTTTCAGGAAAAAAAGCGCAGACAACTGGGAGAACCCCTGTGGAAACTGACCGCAGTGCGAACGAATCTCTGATTTTGAGAGGGTTAGTGAAGGATATTGATTTTCTCTTTCTTCTCATCAGCGTCTTTGATAATTGTGATTATGCCTCGGCGCAATCTTCTGCATCTTCAGGAAAAATAGAGCAAAAAGTGTTTTAGATAGAAATTAGAAATTTCTAGAAAATCGCCCAAGTTCACGGCGCGCTACGACGATTACGATGAAGTTGCTGGTCAATCGACAGTTTCTCCTTCCACGGGACACCGAACTCATTCAGCTAGCGTCTGCAAAGATGACACAGCTCCGCTGCTCGACGACATGCTTGAGCTCAAGGAAAAACTCTTAACAACCGAGCAAACTGTCGCCCACTTGACGACTCAAAACCAGGAGTTAACCAAGTTAGTTTCTGTTTTTTGAAAAAAGTAAGAGCCTGGAATGTTCCTTTAGAGCTTTTTCTAACTTCCATTTTTTTAAAAAAAAATCTTTTTATGACTACTTTCAAAAATTCAGATTGGTCAATCAACTCTGTGCTACCACCACCAACATCAATGCGGAATGCGTCTCTCTTCGTGAGGAGGTTCATTGAGATTTCAATTCAAAATAAAACTTTCCTGTTTCAAGGTGGCCCGTTTGAGCCGCCTCACCTTGACTCGACGCATGCCTTCTCCTTTGACGACAAGTAATTTTTTTCTCACTTCATCCAGATTTTGTTTGGAATTAAGGCGACATCGCTACCCCTCCGAGGCCAATCATTCCAACACCGATTTTGAACCGACCTTCTCCTAACGCTTTTCCGTCGGCGTTCCAGAAAAGGTGAGAGAAAAGCTGAGGATTTCCCGTTATATTGAAAATTGTTTATTTCCTCAAACGTATTCAAAATTAAATTCTGATCTTCAGAGAACCCGAAGAACGCCCTCGCGAAGAAGGGAGCCGTTGGAGATCGGCCTCGAGTGACCGCCGCAACTCAAACGATCGCCCAATCCGCCCTGATGCCAATCTTCGCCTTCCTCCTACCGATCAATCTGCACAGCGCCATTTCCATGAAAATGGATCGTCCAATCATTCCGGCCATATCTCCCGGAAGCCAAATATTCGACCGGAAGGTTTTCTTTCAAAATCACATTGGATGAATATCGATGAAATTCAGATCTCACTGCCATCGTTCAACAGGGCGACCTTGTGGCGCAAAAAATCCGTATTTTGCTCCAACATGGTGTCGACAGCACGCTTGATACTTCTGACAACGCTGCTAGATGCGCATACGATGTGAGTATTAGTTAGAAGACAACTGAAAATGATTCAGAAAAGGAAGGATTTTCGGCCTAGTACAAAAGCTCTGTCACAAACTAAATTTGGTCTTTTTTTAATCATTTAAAAAAATAAGCGTTTTTAAAAAGAATAATATATTTACTGGCCACTTCTGTCTTTATTTCCTAATTTATGTAATAATAAATGTTCTTCCAAGCCTTTGACAGTTGAAAAGCCGTTTTTTACACCACTGTTACTTGCATAGCACTATGTTTTCAGGTATCTCGCACCATCAGCCAAATGGTTTCCATGATCCCGCACACTTTCTCAAGAGATGGAATCAACGATCTAATCGACACTGTCGTGGTATGAAATTTTCTCGAAAATATAAGAAAAAATTTAGATGCATTCACAGGTTCTCAACGCGAAATGCAACGCGCGACAGCTTTCTCCGGACGAAATCTGCAAGGCGGCTCATCAAGTCGCCGACAAGCTCCGTCACATTCTTCTCTACATTTTCTAAAGAGAAAGTATCGAGCAAAATATCTCCAGAACGCATCCGATTGGTTTTTATCTCTTTGACCGAGATGAAAAGCAATTTCGAATACTTTTTCATTTTTTCGTGTAATTATTTCACAATACGGTAAATTTTTCCCAGCTTGAAAGGCGAGTTGGGTAGATTCACGAGAAGAAAAACATTGCGTCTAACCCGGCTTACTGACGGAAAACTCAAGATCAAACGCGGTTATGGACAAAATGCAAGAAAAAAACATGAGTTTTATCATTTTCATACTGTCATTCGTTGAAAAACAAAGTTTAAAAAAAAACATCAAAAAAAGGTTTTGAAAATCGTCAAAAATAGAGAAAAAGATGAAAAAAGTGGTTCACGTTTGACCTCGAGTTTCCCGCCAAAAAGCCGCGTCGCGTACGAAACGCGTCACTCTTGTCAATCGACACGTCTCACCTTTCAAGTGAGAAAGAATTGACCATAACCTGCTGAAATTTTCAGAGAAACTGGGCAATTTAGTATATGTATCTTATAGCGATGCAAAAAATTTCTTTCTGCTCAGTTTTTCTGAAAATTTTCGTTGACCGATTCCTTCGGCATTGTTAAACTTAACAACTGAATCGTCTCCTTTTGCATTTTTTGTAGTTTTTGTTTCTCAAAACCACATTTATAGAACTCATACTGTTATTTTTAATTCACATGCGTAAAATGCTCACAACCTTAATTTTTGTGTTATGATCTAGAGATTCCTATGCAATATCTTTCGAATTGTGCCTTCCATGACTCTGATATCTATTTGTTTTTCCAATTGGTGGAAATTTTTTGCTCGGATAAGCCATAATTTCAGTTGAAATACAATTTTAGTTGATTGCATTCTTAGTTTGGTGCTTTTAGTATGTTAATCCCGTAATGTAGTGTCATTTTTTGATGCTTTTGGTTGGGTCTCGCAAGAGGTCACATGGTTATCAATTGTTCTTTGTTTTGTTTCGAAGAATAAATAAGTTGCAGAAAAATGCGGGAAACGAAGAATAATGTGATTAGAGGACGATGAGATCAACCAAAAAAAGATTTCTCATTATAAACAATCAAGATGATTATTTCAACAGTCTGTGGGTGTAAAAAAAAAAGCGCTGTCCAAAAAAGAGCCTTTTTTGAGGTAAAGGAAGAATGAAACAGAAGAAAAGGCCATAAATGCTAGGTGAGGAGGCTTTGATAAGAGCTGTCGGCAGAAATGTCGGCAAAAGGATGGGAGCACGCCGGTCGCCAGCTTTCAACCACTTTGCCTCGACCTTTTTTCTTCAGCTTCTGTATAATTCCTTGCCCTCTAAAAATAGTTCTGTCTTTTTTTTTATCTCTTCCAAGTTTCTCTTTCATTCAAAGTCGAACGCATATCAGTGAGATCGAAGCATCGTTTGTCATGGTTGATTGGGATCGATTCAGTTTTTTTTGTACGGCTAGAGAAGCTGGCAACCAAAGGAGAAACAAATTATTTCTACCTCACTCCTGGTGTAGTTATATTTATAAGTAATACAGTTGATTCATAAAGAGATGATGAAGTGTTAAAAGCTATTAAACCACTTGAAAAAGCTTGCGAAAATTTTGAAGGAAGTCAACCCAATTCACTGTTTTCTATGGCTTCATTGAAATTGTAAACTTCTTAAAACCATCAAAATCTTCAAAACACGTCGATTACCACCTGAGATCCCACTAGTGATATTTATTCTAGCTCGCGTTTGAACTGCATCATTTTTATGTATAAGTTTTTTTTTCCAGCCCAGTGGTTATTTGAAAGCGGAAACCAACGAAGAAAAAGTTCCCGAGCCAGCACCAAACTTGCGAAAATGGCCGCGCCGACGAGGACGGCAATCCGCGGCCGCGAAGGTCGTCGTCCGATGGTGCCCCGTCGAGCAATGTTCGCCGAAGAAGAGAACAAGCCGAGCGAATGGCGACACAGCTGGCTCATCGTTTTCGGCTTTTATATTCTGCTCACTGAGACCGGTGTTCGGCAGGTAAGCCGCTTTACCGCTTAGAAAAGGCTAAGCTCGATTGGTCTGATAAAAAATGAACTCGAAAAATATTGGGAAAAACGTCTTTGCAGAGCACTGAAAGTGCATTTGTGATCGAACCGTAGTTTGTTTCGGCTAATTATTGAAGAAATCGAAACCAGAAACTTACTGTCGTTAAGAAAATTGCAAAAAATAAATTTCATCTAAACTTTAACGAAAAGGCTAATAGCTCCGTGCGTTTCTAAAGCTAAGAAGGTCGACGTCATAAAAATTTTTTTTTGCGATAATTTCTGTCATTTTCAACTTCTGAGCATTTTTAGAGCCTATAAAAGTGCTGCGAATAGACTATAAAAATTAACGTCGTTATGTGCAACCGTTTTCTCAAAAAAAATCGATGATTTATCAATTTCGAGTTGCTCTTTATCTCTTTTTTTTCTCTCACTCTCTAACTCGAGTATAGCCATTTGCTACTGCAATTATTGTTTACGATGAGAAAACCTATCGAACTTAGGATATTTTTTGAATCGGAAAGGGAAAAAGTTAAAAATCAAGATTTTTCTAACGCAGAGCTTCTTTTTGAGGTCCAAATTTTTTAAAAAATTTTGAGAAATCTCGAAGTTCAAATGAGGTTTATTTTTGAAAACTAGAGTCTAGTCAATTTCTACTGGACTTCTTGTTTAAGGTGATGAACGGTTTTGTAGTACCGGTTATGGAAACATACAACTGTACAAAGAGAGAAGCAGACACAGCGGTGCTCATGATTCCAATGTCATCCAGTTTAATATTTGGTGGGTTATAATTTTCGAATTTAAGCTCCTTATTTTTCTCTCAGGACCATTATGTTCAATGTTTTATGCTTACGCCGGTGCTCAAATCAGTATAGGCCTCGGCGCAATCTTTTGCATCCTCGGATTCGTTTGTGGCGCTTTTGCACCGACAATTGAAATTCTTATGGTTTGCACGTTAGCGATAGGTGGAGGAACTTTTGCGAGTCATGAACAATATTACCTTTTCAGGTGTTGGGTGTGGTTTGATGCGGAACTCTACGATTTCAATTCAGTGCGAGTACTTCAAGAAAAAAAGAAACTTTGCCATGAGTTGTATATCAATTGGTCCTGGAATTGGGATTTTCGCACTACCGAGGATTCTAAAAAAAATTATGGACGTGGTGAGTACTATCTCAAGATTCACTCACTATATTTTTATTCATCTTCGATCAAGAGCATCCAAGAAACTTTGCTGATAGCTATCAAACTAGACCTAACGCCGTTAAAAACCTCACGTTAGGGCGCAATAAATTGATGAAAAAGATCTTAAGGTCTTTGTGATGCAAGATAAAACGACGCCTTGCTGAGACTGTGACGTCTTGGTCCTTTAGACTTTGACTGTAACAAAAAAGCAGTTTCTGACTTGATTTTTGATGAAAAAGATGGTTAACGATAAAGGTGTTTTTCAGTCTAATGGCTGGACAGAAGCTTGGATATTCCTTGCTTCTTTATACGTTATTTCTGGAGTTATGGCTCTATTCATCACAAAGAAACCAGGTGAAGGACAGCGCAACTTCTTCCACTTTTCCGGAGTCAAAGTACTTTTTTTCTCGTTTTCTTATCTTTAATTGCAAAGCCAGAAGACCGAGTAGAGCTCGTAAAATGGTTATAAGCACGGAACATGTTTTCCCATGTAACTTCTGATTAAAGGTCACAATACAAACTACTCACAGCACAGAATAAAAAAATAAGATTCTGACTTTTTGCTCAGAGCTTATAAGGCAGGTCATTTTACTTTGCGGTTGGGAGTTTGAAAATTGGCCGGAACACTTCTTGATGTTCTGGCCGATTTTGATAAAGATCTTAAATGTCTCAATTTTCATAACTTCCCAGTTTTAGAGCAATGAGAGCTTAAAGCCCCAAAACATTTTTTCGTGTGTTTTCCGACTTCAGAGTGGTCTTTTTCAAAAAATAGAAAGTGGTGCATGTTGAGATTCTCAGGATCTTCTTCTGGTATATTTAGGAGCGTTCTGATCATTCTTCAGAAAAATCCCAACAGCAAAGTAAAACGACCTACGTTATTAGGATCGTTACTAGAAAAAAAGTAAAAACAAAAAAAAGTAAAAATTATCAGGTATTCACAAAACTGGAGTTCATTCTCCATTTGATAGCTTCGTTTTGTGCGTCTGCAGTCACTTTCATTTATGTTTCGAACATTCTTGTTTTGATGATCCAGGAAAATATAGAAAAGTAAGTTTTTTCCACTTTTCGCAGTCCCATTTTCAAAATTCAGCCCTGAAGATGTCTACAGCTACCAGGGATTAGCCAGTATTCTTGGTAAAACAATTTTTGACCATCATCATGGGTGTCAATGAGCGGGTTTTTTTCTGAAACTCTCTCTCAATTAAACAAGAAAAAAATATTCAGATTCATATCTCGATAATCATGATCTTCAATTATTTGATCGCCCAAACGGCTTTGTCATCTGGAGGTTTTTGCTACGATATTTGGCAATTCCGACTTCAAAACTTTTTCTCCGGTTTCGGAATCGGTTTTTTTTTTGAATGGCGAGACATTTTGAACTAATAATGAATTTTTGAGGCCTTTTCCAAGCGTGTCTGGGGCCTTTTCTAGTGGCGATCGTAGGACCTTCCCAACTTCCTGGAGCACTAGGATATACCAACCTTATAAACGGTTTCGCAACGTTCTGCGCGATTTACATTTCATGTGAGTTTTTTGTTGTTCTTTTTTTTCCGGTCCGCACAGAAGCACTAACTGCTGACTTTGATGCTCGCTTATCTCGGCCAGCTGATTAGTAGGAAACAATTGTGTGAAGAATGCATTTTCGTGCTGTTATAATTGATTGGGAGCCGCGTTGGAAAACGCGTAGGAACTCGTGAGAGATAAGACTCTTGTCGAACTCTGGACTTGGACTGTTTGATTGTTTGGATGAACGACAAGTTGTGAACATTTATGGGAAAGAAGCAGGAAATTATCGTGTTTCAGTCTTTTTCAAACGAGGGACCAAGCTTTCTGAGAAAAAAGGTCTGAAAAAGGATTCTATTATTTTTGCAGATGGTGTGAGTAAGTTTGAGTCCAAAACGACCGGCTGAAATAATACCAACTTTCCAATTCTCAGAACTGATGAACTCGTTTCTAATCATTCTATAGAGACCATGTCGATCTAAAAAAAAAAGAACCCTAAGAAAAATACCGATTTTTTCAAAAAAACATCCTTCTTCAGCTTGGTCTGGAGGCGACGGCGACGTGAGGAACACTTTCTACGTTTCGATATACTTCGGCATCACCGCCGTTGTTGTTTCAATAATCAACTCCATACTTCTAATGGCCAGAGAGAAACACAAGCGGAAGCCTTCGATGAAACAAATGCGACATTCCTCTGAACTTAACGCCCTCACAAATATTACTTCTGTTGAGAATTCATAGTTTTAACTTTCTCACTATATCATTGTATTATACTTTCAATTTTTTTTTCTCACTCTCGCTATTTTGGTTTGTTTAGCGTTTATTAAGCTTTATTCGATAAAATTCATGAGTTACGAAGTATTACTCATTCTTTCCTTATTTTTGATTCAAACTTTTTTTATTGTTTTATCCCTTCTTTGAAGAAATTTTTAGGCGACAATTTTTTCCAACTGTCCATATCAATTTTATTCCAACATTTATGTTTTCGTCTATTATACGTACATGTGTTGAAATGTATCTTTTTTCTTTCGAATCTCAAGAGATTATACACAAGCTGTGCTTTTGAAAAGGAATTTCGCGTGGTTCCAATCAATTTGATAAAGAAAAAAACTTCTGACGTACTTTAATGTTATTTCTTTGGGGACACCTCTTCAAAAACTGCTGAACAACATGTGGTAGGCTTTTCCTAAACACTGGTGATCAGAAGTTACAGAAAGACATTTCAATTAGATCTTCAACCTTTCACAGATTTTCATTGGGAGTATGCAGCAAAAGCCATTCACAACTTCTCTGAAAATGAAAAGTATATTCAAATTGAATTTTTTTTTTGAAAATGATGAAGACGATCGACTAATCAAGTTCCCCTTTCAAAAACCATTTTTTTCATCGAAACTTTTTTTTGACTATTTTCCTCTTGAATAGTCGGATAAGTACAAAAGATCAAAAAACGTTATAATACATTCTCCAGTGTCAATATTCATTCAGAAGGTTCTGGACGGAGCGATATCAACGTGGGCGGCGCGTGATGATAGCCGCGGCTCAGTTCTCCATCATTCCGGTCACAAAGTGACGTCGCCTCTTTTCTTAGCATCATATTGCGATGATTTCCCCCTTTTTTATCTTTCGTGTTTTGAAAAACCGTTAATTTCAGTTTTTATCAGTTTTATTGCTCTCTTTTTCTTTATTGTGCTATTGCATTGTGTATTTTGACCTCTCTTTTTGTGATCCTTAGTCTCGGCATGCTAGGCTCGAAAAATAAACTTTGAACCAGGCTGCAAAAAAACCACAAAAAAAAAATTTTTTTTTTCAAAAAAGGATCCCAAAGTTTCGGAAAGGTGAGAAAATTCAGGAAAACTTGCCTTTTTTTGCATTTTTCTCTACCCAGTTGTTTCCATCTGTTTCATTGCCATAATTTCATTTGATCACCTCGATCAAAAGCTAAAGAAGAGTTTGACCGAATTTTGGTAATTGTGCTTTTTAAAAAACCTATCGGTCTCAGAGATCTTTCATTTACTTTATTGAGAAGAGATTTGCTCAAATGTTGACTAGAATTTGTACCGCGTCTCGATTATTTTTTCGAATTGGTCGCCTCTGTCCTTTCGAAAGTCGGTGGCTATCAAAAATAATAATAAGAAAGACCGTATTTACGATACACGTGAACGGCTGCACGTCGGTGTTTGCACACAAGTCACATGACAAGATTAATCTAATCGATACGCATAGTTTGTGCTACGCACCTTTATTAATGTTATGAAGCACAGATAACAGGGTTGAAATTTGCCGCCTTTGGCTCTCTCCTTTATTTGATTTTTTGAATTACTGTGAACCTGCTTAAACTGTTTTATTTTCAAAGACAAGAAAAAGAAAAAAAAATTTACGGTAGAAAGTTTGAACGTCTCTTCTTCTGATAAGAAAAAAACGATGAAAGTACTATTTTTGGTTGTAGTCGCGCAGCTTCTGGATTTACTACTTAAAAAAATGTTTTCAACTTTTGGGAGTGTACATACGAGTAGCCCTAAACTTTTACCGCCAGTTTATCAGTAACACAATCTGATAACTTTTGCCAGTTTTCTCAAACCGCGATAAAAAGTGAGCACTTTCTCGAATTTCTTCTCTATGAAAGTTGCTATTCCCAGTCTTGTTTGCGATCAATGTTTAAAGTAGGCGCTGAAAAACTTTCCAAGTCATTTTATTATTCAACTTGACTGAAAATCAGAGAATTGCTATGCAAAATTAATTATTTCTCTTAAGAAGTCTCATTCATTGCTGTACAGAAAAAAAGGTCAAAAAAACTTTACTGCCTCAACTCTCTCATTTTTCTTGCGATCCGCAGTTTTTATGATTTACAAACCCGAAATTTGATCACAAAAATCAATTCCAAGCCAACGGCTAGAATTCGAAATTTGCCGAGGCCAGTATATCAGTCAGGCAGGGCAATATTCATCGATGTTTGGCGCCAAAATCTTGTTAAGTGGTTCCTCTTTCTTTCTTCGTTTGTTTACAAAGGATTTTTTGAGATCTTTGCTTTAATTCAATTGATGTTTCAGATAAAGAAAATGCTTGGCTATATTATCGCAACAGACAAAAACGACGTTGTTTTTCTAGATGGAGACGAAGTTTTCAAGGTAAGAATCGAAAGTAGGCAAATGTGATGTTCGAATTCAAGCTCCATCTCCACGATATGATTCAAAAGGAGATGCACATGTCGGAAGATGACAGCGCATCTACTTCGAGCGGAATCTTTACAGATTCTGAGAACGGAGAATCATCAAGTTTTACTTTTTTATTGATAACCATTAGGATAAACAATTTAGAAACCGATTCAATACGTGCTAGAAAAAAGTCTGGACAAGTCCAGTTCAACCCGGCGGAAATTTCGCACGTCTTTCTCCCTCTTCTTTCCTTTCACCGAGCTTCTGCCGAATCTTCTCATGATACTGTTGAAGTTATTGAATCGAGTACCGGCACAATTCAATACAAAAAAAATTACACAATGATTATATTATCCTCTGTTTTTTTCTGAACAGTTAGTTTATTTAAAAAAATGTGAGAAGTATTACATTATTAAGATTTAGAGAGAACAAGCGGAAAGAGCTTATGAATAACGTCGAGTTGACATTGGAAACAAACTTCGGACCTTTGATGAGTTTGTGTGCCAGCGATTTGACGTCAGTTCGCAGTGGTCGTGAAAATATGCGCCTTATCTATGACCTCATGCCGCAGAGGAAAGGGAAATGTGAGTACAATTTTTTTAATAGCAAGGTAAGAACTGCCGTAGCTGTGCGTGTGTAGGACCGCCAACTTTTTTTGCGACTGCCGAATCCGGGGACTGCCATTTTTTGGGACTGCCGAACTTTGAGACTGCCAGACTTTAGGACTGTGAGAATTTCGCAGTTAAAAAATTGGAAGTCCCAAAAGTTTGGCAGTCCTGCAAAATGGCAATTCCAAAAAATGGCAGTCCCATAATTTGGCAGTCCCAAAATTGGGCAAACCTGAAAATGGCAGTCCCAAAATTTGGCAGTCCCAAAAAATGACAGTCCCAAAATTTGACAGTTCCAAAATTTGGCAGTCCTGAAAATGGCAGTCCCAAAATTGGGCAGTCCTGAAAATGGCAGTTCCACAATTTGGCAGTCCCAAAAAATGACAGTCCCAAAATTTGACAGTTCCAAAATTTGGCAGTCCTAAAAATGGCAGTCCCAAGAATTGGCAGTCCCAAATTTTGGCAGTCCCAAAATTTGGTAGTCCTAAAAATGGAAGTCCTTTAATTTGGCAGTCCTAAAAATGGCAGTCCCAAAATTTGGCAGTCCTACGAATGGCAGTCCCAAAATTTGACAGTCCTAAAAATGGCAGTCCCAAAATTTGGCAGTCCCTAAAAATGGCAGTCCCAAAATTTGGCAGTCCCAAAATTTGGCAGTCCTCAAAATGGCAGTCCCAAGAATTGGCAGTCCCAAAATTTGGCAGTCCCAAAATTTGTCAGTCCAAAATTTGGCAGCCCCAAAATTTGGCAGTCCCGAAAATCGGCAGTCCTAAAAATGACAGTCCTTTAATTTGGCAGTCCTCAGAATGGCAGTCCCAAGAATTGGCAGTCCCAAATTTTGGCAGTCCCAAAATTTGGTAGTCCTAAAAATGGCAGTCCTTTAATTTGGCAGTCCTAAAAATGGCAGTCCCAAAATTTGGCAGTCCTACGAATGGCAGTCCCAAAATTTGACAGTCCTAAAAATGGCAGTCCCAAAATTTGGCAGTCCCTAAAAATGGCAGTCCCAAAATTTGGCAGTCCCAAAATTTGGCAGTCCTCAAAATGGCAGTCCCAAGAATTGGCAGTCCCAAAATTTGGCAGTCCCAAAATTTGTCAGTCCAAAATTTGGCAGCCCCAAAATTTGGCAGTCCCGAAAATCGGCAGTCCTAAAAATGGCAGTCCCAAAATTGGGCAGTCCTAAAAATGGCAGTCCTTTAATTTGGCAGTCCTCAGAATGGCAGTCCCAAGAATTGGCAGTCCCAAATTTTGGCAGTCCCAAAATTTGGTAGTCCTAAAAATGGCAGTCCTTTAATTTGGCAGTCCTAAAAAAATGGCAGTCCCAAAAATTTGGCAGTCCTACGAATGGCAGTCCCAAAAATTTGACAGTCCTAAAAAAATGGCAGTCCCAAAATTTGGCAGTCCCTAAAAATGGCAGTCCCAAAATTTGGCAGTCCCAAAATTTGGCAGTCCTCAAAATGGCAGTCCCAAGAATTGGCAGTCCCAAAATTTGGCAGTCCCAAAATTTGTCAGTCCAAAATTTGGCAGCCCCAAAATTTGGCAGTCCCGAAAATCGGCAGTCCTAAAAATGGCAGTCCTTTAATTTGGCAGTCCTCAGAATGGCAGTCCCAAGAATTGGCAGTCCCAAATTTTGGCAGTCCCAAAATTTGGTAGTCCTAAAAAAATGGCAGTCCTTTAATTTGGCAGTCCTAAAAATGGCAGTCCCAAAATTTGGCAGTCCTACGAATGGCAGTCCCAAAATTTGACAGTCCTAAAAATGGCAGTCCCAAAATTTGGCAGTCCCTAAAAAAATGGCAGTCCCAAAATTTGGCAGTCCCAAAATTTGGCAGTCCTCAAAATGGCAGTCCCAAGAATTGGCAGTCCCAAAATTTGGCAGTCGCAAAATATGTCAGTCCAAAATTTGGCAGCCCCAAAATTTGGCAGTCCCGAAAATCGGCAGTCCTAAAAATGGCAGTCCCATAATCTGACAATCCCAAAATTTGGCAGTCCCATAATTTGGCAGTCCCAGAATTTGGCAGTTCCAAAATTTGGCAGTCCTAAAAATGGCACTCCCAAAATTTGGCAGTCCCAAAATTTGGCAGTCCTCAAAATGGCAGTCCCAAGAATTGGCAGTCCCAAAATTTGGCAGTCCCAAAATTTGTCAGTCCAAAATTTGGCAGCCCCAAAATTTGGCAGTCCCGAAAATCGGCAGTCCTAAAAATGGCAGTCCCAAAATTGGGCAGTCCTAAAAATGGCAGTTCCACAATTTGGCAGTCCCAAAAAATGACAGTCCCAAAATTTGACAGTTCCAAAATTTGGCAGTCCTAAAAATGGCACTCCCAAAACTTTAGGACTGTGAGAATTTCGCAGTTAAAAAATTGGAAGTCCCAAAAGTTTGGCAGTCCTGCAAAATGGCAATTCCAAAAAATGGCAGTCCCATAATTTGGCAGTCCCAAAATTGGGCAAACCTGAAAATGGCAGTCCCAAAATTTGGCAGTCCGAGAATTGGCAGTCCCAAAATTTGGCAGTCCCAAAATTTGTCAGTCCAAAATTTGGCAGCCTCAAAATTTGGCAGTCCCGAAAAATCGGCAGTCCTAAAAATGGCAGTCCCAAAATTGGGCAGTCCTAAAAATGGCAGTTCCACAATTTGGCAGTCCCAAAAAATGACAGTCCCAAAATTTGACAGTTCCAAAATTTGGCAGTCCTAAAAATGGCACTCCCAAAATTTGGCAGTCCTAAAAATGGCAGTCCCAAAATTTGGCAGTCCTTTAATTTGGCAGTCCTCAGAATGGCAGTCCCAAGAATTGGCAGTCCCAAATTTTGGCAGTCCCAAAATTTGGTAGTCCTAAAAATGGCAGTCCTTTAATTTGGCAGTCCTAAAAATGGCAGTCCTAAAATTTGGCAGTCCTACGAATGGCAGTCCCAAAATTTGACAGTCCTAAAAAAATGGCAGTCCCAAAAATTTGGCAGTCCCTAAAAATGGCAGTCCCAAAATTTGGCAGTCCCAAAATTTGGCAGTCCTCAAAATGGCAGTCCCAAGAATTGGCAGTCCCAAAATTTGTCAGTCCAAAATTTGGCAGCCCCAAAACTTGGCAGTCCCGGAAATCGGCAGTCCTAAAAATGGCAGTCCCATAATCTGACAATCCCAAAATTTGGCAGTCCCATAATTTGGCAGTCCCAAAATTTGGCAGTCCAAAATTTGGCAGTTCTTTAATTTGGCAGTCCCAAGAATTGGCAGTCCCAAAATTTGGCAGTCCCAAAATTTGGCAGTCCCAAAATTTGGCAGTCCCAAAATTTGGCAGTCCTCAAAATGGCAGTCCCAAGAATTGGCAGTCCCAAAATTTGACAGCCCTAAAAATGGCAGTCCCAAAATTTGGCAGTCCCTAAAAATGGCAGTCCCAAAATTGGGCAGTCCTAAAAATGGCAGTTCCACAATTTGGCAGTCCCAAAAAATGACAGTCCCAATATTTGACAGTTCCAAAATTTGGCAGTCCCAAAATTTGGCAGTCCTACGAATGGCAGTCCCAAAATTTGGCAGTCCCTAAAAATGGCAGTCCCAAAATTTGGCGGTCCCAAAATTTGACAGTCCTCAAAATGGCAGTCCCAAGAATTGGCAGTCCCAAAATTTGGCAGTCCCAAAATTTGTCAGTCCAAAATTTGGCAGCCCCAAAATTTGGCAGTCCCGAAAATCGGCAGTCCTAAAAATGGCAGTCCCATAATCTGACAATCCCAAAATTTGGCAGTCTCATAATTTGGCAGTCCCAAAATTTGGCAGTCCCAAAATTTGGCAGTCCCAAAATTTGGCAGTCCTAAAAATGGCAGTCCCAAAATTTAGCAGTCCCAAAAAATGGCAGTCCCTAAATTTGGCAGTCCCAAAATTTGGCAGTCCTCGAAATGGCAGTCCCAAGAATTGGCAGTCCCAAAATTTGGCAGTCCCAAAATTTGGCAGTCCCAAAATTTGGCAGTCCCAAAATTTGGCAGTCCTCAAAATGGCAGTCCCAAGAATTGGCAGTCCCAAAATTTGGCAGTCCCATAATCTGACAATCCCAAAATTTGACAGTCCTAAAAATGGCAGTCCCAAGAATTGGCAGTCCCTAAAAATGGCAGTCCCAAAATTTGGCGGTCCCAAAATTTGACAGTCCTCAAAATGGCAGTCCCAAGAATTGGCAGTCCCAAAATTTGGCAGTCTCATAATTTGGCAGTCCCAAAGTTTGGCAGTCCCAAAATTTGGCAGTCCTAAAAATGGCAGTCCCAAAATTTGGCAGTCCTAAAAATGGCAGTCCCTAAATTTGGCAGTCCTTCAATTTGGCAGTCCTATAACTTCGCAGTCCTATTATTTGGCAGTCTAAAAAAATGGCAGTCCCATATTTGGCAGTCCCATAATTTGGCAGTCCTAAGAATGGGCAGTCCTAAAAGTTAAAATGGCAGTCCCATAATTTAGCAGTTCCATAATTTGGCAGTGCCAAAATTTGGCGGTCACATAATTTGGCCGTCCCAAAATTTGGCAGTCCTATTATTTGGCAATCCAAAAAAAGACGGTCCCAAGAACTGGCAGTCCCAAAACTGGCAGTCTCAAAATTTGGCAGTCCCGTATTTTGGCAGTCCTAAAGTTTGGCAGCCACATAATTTGGCAGTCTCATAATTTGGCAGTCCCAAAGCTTCGCAGTCTCGGAGATTGGCAGTCCCGAAATTCGGCAGTCCTAAGAATGGGCAGTCCTAAAAATTAAAATGGCAGTCCCATAATTTAGCAGTCCCATAATTTGGCAGTCCTATTATTTGGCAATCCAAAAAAAGACGGTCCCAAGAATTGGCAGTCCCAAAACTGGCAGTCTCAAAATTTGGCAGTCCCGTATTTTGGCAGTCCCAAAGTTTGGCAGCCACATAATTTGGCAGTCTCATAATTTGGCAGTCCCAAAGCTTCGCAGTCTCGGAGATTGGCAGTCCCGAAATTCGGCAGTCCTAAGAATGGGCAGTCCTAAAAATTAAAATGGCAGTCCTATAATTTAGCAGTCCCATAATTTGGCAGTCCCAAAATTTGGCAGTCACATAATAAAATAAATTGCCATTTTTGGGAGTGCCAAATTATGGGACTGCCATTTTTTGGGACTGCCATTTTTTGGACTGCCATTTTTTGGGATTGCCAAATTTTGGGACTGCCATTTTTTGGGACTGCTAAACTTTGGGACTGCAAATTTTTGGGACTGCCAAATTTTGGGACTGCCATTTTTTGAGACTCTTATGTTTTGGGACTATCGTATCTTGGTACTGCTAGTTTTGCAACTATCGCTTCAAAACTGACAGTCCAAATAGATATTGAGAAAAACTGAACACTCTGATTTCAGCCCCAATATATATAATTTTAATCTTCTTCAGCATTGCTCAACGTTAAACACACTTCATTTTACAAGAACCAATTGCACGAAGTCGCACCTTTAATACAAATTGTATCAACTCAATTGAAGTCGGCTGTTGGCACAAACAGGTATCGAAGCTTTTTTAAAACTGCAAAAAACTATTTACAGATGCTTGCTTCTATCCAGTGGGAATGTTTTGGCTTCAATGAGCTCTAGCGCAGAGAGAAAAGGTTTAGTCGATGGACTGAGTATCAAAGATTTGCTCTTTTCCCTGGATCAGTTACCTAAGTTACCTGAAGGCCTCGATACAGCGACAGTTTCTCAGGTTCATTTTCCACGTGCTCTCCGTAATTCTTGAATTGCAATCAACTGACGTATTCTGTTTCAGTTTTGGCTACGTTCAAAAGACGGTGTAATACCACATTACGTAAACGCTCTGCAGTATCGATTGACCAGCAAATTGGATCTTCTATGTATATCTGAAACCAAACACAATGAACTTATCCGTTACTTTTTCTCTCTTCCTCAAGCAGCTCGAACAAGTGACAGAAAGCTTCCGTATAACAAAGTACTATTTTAAACTATTTTTGAAATACTGTTTAAAAAGAACGAAATTTAGGATAATTTGAACATCTTTCTAAAAGTGAAACTTTTTTTGTTTTTCCTTTTGAAAAAAATTAACTTTTTTCAGAGACTTAAAAGAGATTTCACGAACGGTTTCGGACTTGCAGAGCATGATCGTCCGCGAAAAATCTTACGGAGGTGCCGTTCCAGCGGCCTTCATGAAAAACCCAACACGCTTGTCCAGCTTCATTCAGGTGTAAGAAATGACTGAAATTTGTATTGAAACTTGAATTTAGACCATCTGGGAGCAAATTGAATTCGAACTGAAAAGAAAGAGCAACGAGCTTTGGCAAAATAACAACGGAATGTCTAGGCTGTCCTTGGGGTCTTTAAGATCCGTGATATCAAACCTTTCGATGACTTCATCAGCGTTTTCTAAAAGTACCCATCGTAACAAGGTGAAGGTCCTATCCCTACTAAGAAAAAAAATCTTGCGTTCTAGGTATGCTCCACAAAAGCAGACGTTTTGATAGCATATGCCAGAAGACAAGTTGTCACTATTATCCACGAACTTTGTGCGATCAGCATACACGAAGCTAACAGTTCTACTTTGAATTCATTCCAAAAAAATGTTTCGAGTATCTTCCGAGGCAACCGTCGTGTTCATCTTGGCGCCCTTGCTATTGGTATCAAAGTATAACTCTATACTTTAAAAAAAAAAATATTTAAAGGCGACGAGTCACTAGAAAAAAATCTCTCGAAAAAAACATCTATCCCCGCAGAATCTTCACATGGACATGATAGCGTATAAATTTGTTGTTAGTCAGAAACAAACGACTATAACTCACCTTCCAGGTGAAAATAAATTTCTTTTTTACGAAAATCTCTATTTTTTTCAGATGGAATCAGTATAGAACTTGAGAAAATGCCAGTAATTTTTTCTGCTGAGGAATATTGTTGCGATTTCAAAGGAGCGTCGGGAGCTGTTTATTCTTTGTATCATGTTTGTCGTTTTATTCATTTCACGGTGAGGTTTTTATTTTAGATCCGTGTGCCAAGCGCTTTAAAACACCAGAAAAAAGGACTTCGCCGGTTATGGAGTCTCCCCGAGAATTTACACGAGCCTAAGAATGATTTATTATTAACGGCTGTGTTTCCACATTATGTTCATCAGCAACTGGCCATGAGACAAGTAAAAAAACTTCACGAAATTCTCTCAAATATTGCTTCGCAAGTGTCGATTTTCTACCAGTAGACTTATTTTGTTCAAAGTCGTTCATTTTTTTCTATTATACTTTCTTTTTTTCTCAAAAAGTTTTGAAGTCCTATGTAATTTTTGATTTTTTTATTATTAATTTTTTTGGAATTTTTTTCTCAACAATAAATTATCAATTAATTTTTTTATGGTTAACCAAATTTGAGATTGAACCGAAAGCACATGAATTGAAGTTTGAAAAATTCAAGATGCGACGAAAATTGTTGTACTCGTGAAAAGAAACGACCCGAGGAATTGGTAATGTTCGAGAAATTATGAAAATTGAAAGGCAGGAAAAATAAAACAAAAAAAGGAATTTTTGAGAAAGTTTTAAAAGCGAAATATCAACTTTTTTTCAATTTTTCGATGAGAAATGGTGTAGAGGCATCGGTAGAGTCAGCGCAAGAGAAGTTGATATACTTGGACTTTATCAATTTATTGAAAAAGTACGACCGCTTTCTGAATCAATCTCGATTATTTTTTTGCGAACTTTTCTTACTTTAGTATCCACATCCAGTAGTAGATTTCTCAAATTATTGACGCAAAAGTCGATACTGACCCGAATCGTTGGCTCACTATGCCAGCAATCTTTCATTATTTCGTACCTGAAAAAAATGATTTCTTCTCCAATTTTTGATGAGATAATGTACTGACACAATTTCTGGACACAAAGGTGGACAAGATACCAGGTCTCCAGACTTTAGAAAAGCTTCATATTCTTCCCAACTTTTGCCTTGATGAGGATCGACTCCAAGAGTGAAAATCTCTTGAAGGACTACTCCAAAAGCCCAAACGTCTGACTAAATGAGTGACTTATCAACTGAACTATTTTAGACCCACCGCAAACGTGGATTTACCACTTTGAAGCGTTTCCAACGGACACCAGGCATATGAAAAAGTTTTTCTTCTCTCAATTTGAGGCTCGTTTTGGATGTTATTATCAACTATCCAAGCCAACCCAAAATCGGAAATTTTGCAAATCCCGTCAGTGGTCAGTAGGACGTTTCTTAAAGCGAGGTCACCATGAACGCACTGAAAATATGTTTTTCTACAATTTTGTTTTCCATTTTTCCTTACTTTCTTTGCCTGAAGAAATTGAAGACCGTGAGATATTTGCCAGGCGTAAGAACATAAATCTGAAAACTTCAACGATTCAATCATTGATTGCCTTTCCTCCTTCTCTGAATGCTTGAAATCGAATGTTACTTTTGAGCTCTTCTGGTTTCAGGAAACCTTTATAACGATTTCCAATTCATACAACCGCTCTTTTTCATCTGTCTTAAAGTCGAGCATTGGTTCTTCGAAGTTCCTCAGAAAACTTTTCAAAGAATGGTTTTCGCAGTATTCTAAAGCAGTGAAGCTGACGTCAAACTTACAACAGAGAAACCTAAATTATGGTCTAGTTCATTTGAAAACACTGAATAAAGTTTACCTGCGATATTCCAAAGAAAAAAAGGTTATAATATTCTCATGTGAATCTAGCTTTCCCAAAACGGCGGCTTCATTTTTCAACATGGTCGTTTCGTCAATTCTTCGTCCTCTCTTACCACGTGGATCTAAAACAGAACTACTTTTTTTTCCAAAAAGATGCGGCTGACATTTCAGAGCAACTTTTTGGTAGATGGGGTCTGCAAGGATGCTGTAAGTAGCCCTATAAACTTTTGCGAATTCCCCTTCTCCTATCAGTTCCTGCAAGGACTTTTTCCTCAAGTCTAAAAAATTGATATTTTTTCAACCTCTTTAGAACAGTTGAAAAAGCGGTCGTTTATACGTATGCGTTCGTGCTTGCTGGAAAATGTTCTAAAAAAATTCACAGAAACTTCAGTTCTTCCCCTCCTGAACTCACACTTTGATCAATTCTCTTCCTTGTGAGTTGCACAATAAGTATGCCAAAATGACAGCCAAAACCATCAACAAAATCCCGATGGTTGAGGAGAAATTTTTGTATCGCAGAATCGCTGATTGCATGGCTTTCCGTGTAGAGTTGAATTTTGGAGGCGGAGGAAAATCGACGAGTTCTTTGTGGATGGCACAGTGTTCAGTTCTCTTTGTACTGTTGATAGTTAGAACGCAAGTGAAATTTCCAGAAAAGTTTTCGTCCCATGTATGGAAAGTTGACTTTGTGCCAATCAAGCGGTTTTTATTAACCACAGTATCGTCCTGAAAGTCTTGGTTTTCAATATCACTAGAATCAGTAGGGACCAATGTAAGTAACCTCATTACATTGCCCTTTCAATTCTGAAGGGCAAACCAATTTTATCGTTATCGTTTCTTCTGTCACGTTCAAATGCTCAGTAAAAACTGCACACCAAACTTGGAAACTATCGTCGTCAAGAAGCACCTGTTATATAAATTTTTTTAAATTACTCAAAAAATGTATCGATATTCACCGAATAAATGTTGAAAGTCGTATCGAGGACGCCAATAACAGTGTAGTGTGAGGTTTCATCTCCATGTAAGCAGGTATATTTATGTCTCTTCATTTCACGATCGTTTATTGTGAAACCAACGCTGGAAATAATTTGGGATAATTTGTAAGGTTCAAGAAAACCTACAAAGGGCTGTACGGAATTTTTTTGAAAACTCCGTCAATCAAAATTTTTGCGTTTTTCACAAGTCTCGAAGATCGACAAGGGATAACAAAAGGTGACATACTTATTGAGAAATCGTCTCGATCAGGAGGTATAAAAAGCGGTGTTGTTGAATCTGTAGAAAGAAAATATTTACCTCAATTTTGCTTAAGCTGACCTCCAGTGAACAAATAAATCGATCGTTTAATTCTTGGGTTCTTCTTCATTCGACAAGTGTAAAACCCGCAGTTACTGATCTGATTAAGAATCAAAATTTGAACTAAATGGCCAAAATGTGTGAACCGAAACTTCAGGAATGGATAAGGCTTGATGTCGAAGAAAAGCGCTACTGCTGAGTAGATCCGGCGGAGGCTGACCCGCCACATTGCTAGAAAACTGGAACGATATCCCAACTAAAATCATTGGAGTAACAAAGAAATTATTTCAATGAACTAACATCGGCAATTCGGATGGCCAGAACAAAGGCATTCGATCTTAATTGTGTCATTCGGTTCAGCTTGTATGAAGAGGGTTCCATTGTACACCTGAATTCTCTAGGGTATTTGAAATTGAACCAACAGCAGAAGTCAAGCCGAAGCATTAAAAAAAAAATGGAAAAATGATAAATTAACATCCTCTCTTCAAAAGGAAAAAGCAGCGGAAACCTCGATCTGATGAGTTTTACGGCTGACCGCAAAGTTGAGAACTGTTGCTCCTTCGTTTGTTAATACGACCGCTAGAAACAGCGCAAAAAACGAGAACATCATGAAAAAAAAAACGTGAAAAACTGGTCGGTTGCCTTATCATCCATCGATTTTTTTTTTCTCGTCGATTCTGAGTACTCATTGATTCAGCTAATCAAGATTTCTGTCGGTTCGAATCAAAAAAAGGTGAAGATCGCTGTAAAATTCCAGCATCAAACCGAGAACAGCGAATGCCACGCAATTTTTTTGATTTCCTTCCTGTCTTGATCAATTTTTTTCTTCCTTTCTAGTTTTTTTCATATGATTTTTTCTTTGCGGTTTTTCAGACTTTGTAGCAATAAAAAAATTCAATGAATCGGGAGCTAAAAAAATAATTCGTTTACATAAATTCACTATCGGATTCTTTTTATCTTTTATTTAATCAATATACAAAATAAAGTGTGAAAAAAATATAATTGACACTGAGATGAGCTCTAAGAGTCGGACTTCACTGAAAAACACCAAAAAAGAAGTTCAGCCATTAGAAAAAGAAAGAATCAGAAAATATTTATTAATGTACTCGTTTACAAACTTCAACCCGAGAAAGAAATTTGCTTGGAAGCTTCAAAATTACGCTGCAAAGGGAACAAAATTTAAAAAAATGAAAGAATAAACATTTAGAAATGCCTAACTTTTTCATTTTCAAACAGAAATGGAGTAGAAACATCTGGCGAGTTGGCGAAAGAAATGCTAACATATTTTGACTTCACCAATTTATTGAAAAGCTCGACGGCTTTCTGAAATTATTTGAACTCTGAAAAAATAAAAAAATGTGTCTCACTTTTGAATCCACATCCAGTAGCAAGTTCCTCAAATTATTGACGCAGAAATCGATGCCGATTCGAATCGTTGGTTCATTATGCCAGCAATCTTTCATTAATTCATATCTGAAAAAAATAACTTCATCTCCAATTTTTGATAAGATAATGTACTGACACAATTGCTGGACACAGAGGTGGACAAGGTACCAAGTCTCCAGATTTCAGAAAAGCTTCATATTCTTCCCAACTTTTGCCTAGATGAGGATCGACTCCAAGAGTGAAAATCTCTTGAAGGACTACTCCGAAAGCCCAAATGTCTGACTGAAACAGTATAATCATTGGTTATCCGTTCAGAAACCTACCGAAAACGTGGATTTGCCGTTTTGCAAGGTTTCCAATGGACACCAGGCAAATGGAAGATTTTTGCGTCGCTCCGCTTGAGGTTCGATATCAGCATCGTCATCAATTATCCGAGCCAATCCGAAGTCGGAAATTTTACAAATCCCATTATCAGTCAATAAAATGTTTCTTAATGCGAGGTCACCATGAACGCACTGAAAATATATTTTTCATTTTTTTTATCAGTTATTTACCTTTTTTGTTTGAAGAAATTGGAGACCTTGCGATATTTGCCATGCGTAGGAACACAAATCGGTAAACTTCAGCGATTCAACCGTCGTGTTCATTTCTTTATCTTCACATTTCTTAATAATTTACTCTATTCTTATTTTTTTAGTGATTCTGGAAAACTTTCAGAAGGAATTCTAAGTTATAAAGACGATCTTCCTCGTGTTTTTCCAGGTCCAACTGCGGCTCGGCAAATTTCTCCAAACAAATTTTCAAAGAATAATTGTTGCAGTATTCCAAAGCGATAAAACTGACGTCAAATGTGCAATAGAAAAATCTATAATCCTCCATTAGATTTTGAAATAATTCCACTTCAACCACCTTGTGTATTCTAATGAGAAAAAGTTAATGATGTTCTCGTGACAATCTAGCTGTTCCAAAATCGCAGCTTCATTTTTCAACATGGCTATTTCGTCGATTCTCTGTCCTCTCTTACCACGGGGATCTGAATTCGATCTTTATCTGTAAGAATGAGAGACTAGAACTGACATTTCAAAGCGACTTTGTAAAAAATGTGGTCCAGCTCTGCAAGAGTGTTGTTGGTAGCCAGATATACACGCGCGAATTCTCCTTCCCCTATTTGTTTCTGAAAGGAAATAATTTTCTGAAGGCTGGAAAGTTGATATTTCTTCAAACCTCTTTAGAAAAGTTGAAAAGGCGGTCGTTCATGTGTATGCGTTCGTGCTTGCTGGAGAATGTTCTAGAAAAAGTCTTAAATCAATTTTTTTTTGTCTAACTCACATTAGGATCAATTCCCGTCCTTGTGAGTTGCAGAGTAAAATGGCCAGAATAAAGGCTGTAACTATCAAAAAAATTCCGATAGTTGAGGCAATTATTTTATATCGCCCAGTGGTTGACTTCATGGCTTCGAGTGTAGAGTTCAGTTTTGGAGGCGGAGGAAATTCGACAAGATCTTCGTGGACCAAACAATGAGCTCTTCTACTCCCATTTATTGTCAGGACACAGGTGAAAATTCCAGAAAAATGCTCGCCCCAAGTAGTGAACGTCGATTTTGTGCCTATCATTGGGTTTTTGGTAACCACCGTGTCGTCCTAGAATAGAAAAAAAATTTTTTTTTGGAATTAATTTTAAGAGATGTTTAGTTGGATCAGAATAAATTAAAGCCAAAGGGAATAAAATAACAGAAATCACCTCATTGCATTGTCCGCTCAACTTCGGTGGACAAATTAATTCAATCGTTATAACATCTTCTTTCTCGATTTTTTCATCCGTGTAAGCTTCGCACCAAACTTGAAAACTATCGTCATCAAGAAGCACCTGTAATTTCTTCATAGAAAAAAATTTTTATTTTTAAACTCACGGAATAAATATTAAAAAGTGGTTTCGAGAGCACCATACATGGCGACTGTGTAGTTTGACGTTTCTTTCTCATACTTGCAAGTATATTTATGTCTTCCCGTCGGTCCTCTCTCTATTTTGAAACCAACACTAAACACGGAATTTAAAAGTTCGTTTATTTGAAAAACCTACAACGGGCTGTAGGGAATATCTTTGGAGACTGCGTCGACTAAGAGCTTTGCGTTCGTGACAAATTTTGAAGACCGGCAAGGGACAATAAAGTCCGAAGTTTTTGTGGAAAACCCGTCTATATCTGGAGGTATGAAGAGCGGTGTTGTAAAATCTATAAAACAATAGTTTTCTAGAAACATGACTAAAACTAGCCTCCAGTGAACAAGTAGATAGAACTTTCTATTTCCGGATTGTTTTTCAATTGACATGTGTAAAAAAACCGCAATAATCGATCTAATTTAAAAGGAGTAAAAAAAGAAAATCTGATGATTTCGGTAACCGAAACTTCAGGAATGGTCAACTTTTGAATTTCGAAGGGAGTGTTATTGCTGAGCAAAGTAGGCGTGGATCGACCTTCAGTATCGCTAGAGAATTGGAATGTTAGCCCATCTAAACGTCATCAAAATAAGAAAAAAACTTTTTTTCAACTCACGTTGGCAATTAGGATGGCCAGCACATCGACATTCGATACTAATTGTGTCATTTGGTTTTGCCTGTATGTACAGAGTTTTATCGTAGACCTGAACAGATTCATTTCGAGAAATCCCCATCGAAAAATTCAGCATATATATGTACCTCGATTTTGTGACTTCCATCGCCGACAGCAAAGTCAAGAACTGTGGCTCCCTCGTTAGTTATAACGACTGGCAAAAACAACACGAAGAAAAGAAACATTGAGAAAAGGCGTGCAAAACTGGTCGACACCCTTATCATTCTATCGATTATGTTAGTACTCTTCAAGTGAGTTAATCATTATTTCCGTCACTTCGAATTCGCGAAAAAAAATTGAGTCGATTGGATAAATTTCAACCAACACGTTGAGTTCAACACTATTTATCTTCAATTTTCTTCCGCTTTGTACATCCTTTTCCTTCCGGACTGGTTTTTCTCCTCTTCATTGTGTTTTTGTGTGTGCGTGTATTGTTTGATGAATGTTCCATCGGTTTATATTTTCTCCTAAGTTTAACTAAGATCTGAAATGATTTGTGAGGCAGGAGTTGTTAAAAAAACCCGTGAGCACATTGCAAAATTTCTAAACACGGAAATGAACTAAAAATCGAAAAAGGTAAAAAAAAACTATAAAAAAGTTTCTGTATTCTGCAAAAGTGATAGGTTTTCAGATACTGGTGATTTAATATTCGGACCTTCAATATATTTTGACGGCACCAGTTTGTTGAATAATGCGACGGCTTTCTAGAAGAACTTAGAATTTTTTGAAGCCTACGAGAAACTTACATTTGCATCAACTTCCAGAAGCAAGTTTCTCAAACCATTACTGCAAAAATCGATGCTGGCGCGTTCGAAAGGGTCAGGGTCCCAACATGATCGCATCAAAGTATACCTGACTAGAAATAAATGAAAAAAATCCCGGATACAAAGGCCCTTACACTGCCTGAGGGCACAAAGACGGACGAGCTTCTATTCCGCCAGACTTCAGAAATTCCTCATATTCTTCCCTGGTCTTTCCTGCGTGAGGATCGCCTCCGAGAGTGAATATTTCTTGGAGGATCACACCAAAAGCCCAAATGTCCGACTTAATTCTTTGATTGAAAGGTTCAAGTTACGTCACCCTACAGCAAATGTAGATTCTCCACTCTTCAGCTTTTCCGGAGAACACCAAGGAAAAGCAAAAAGTTTTCTCCGATTTTCTTGATGTTTCGTGGAAGATTCCGGATCAACGATCTGAGATAATCCGAAGTCAGAGATTTTGCAAATTCCATCCGCTGTCAGAAGAATATTTCTTAGAGCGAGGTCTCCGTGAATACACTAATTATATTCATAATACTCTATTCGAAGTTATCGTGATACCTTTTTTGATTGTAAAAACTGTATTCCTTCCGCAATCTGCCAGGAATATGAACATAAATCGACAAACATCAAGACGTCCTCGGTTTTTTCAGAATTCTGTGAAGAAATTAATTTGGAATGTTGCTTTGATTTTTGAGAACTTTGGATGGAAATTTCAATTCATATAGACATGTTCGATCGGTATTTCCTTGATCGAGAGTTGATTCCTGGTAGCTTCCCAAAAATGAGTTCAATGAAAAGTTCTCGCAGTACTCGAGAACAATGTAACTGAGCCCGAATTTGAAACATAAAAAGCTGAAACGAAAGTTTAAAAGAAAATCGAATTTTATCGACCTTTTATATCCTGCAGAGAAAAAGTTAATGATGTTGGGGTGCTCTCCGAGACTTCGCAGAACTGCGGCCTCATTCTCCAGCATTTTGATTTCTGTTTTTTTCTGACCATGCTTGCCTCGTGGACCTCAAAAGTATTCGTTATGCAAAAAAAATAGTCGTATTTTGTTCAGGAAAATTCAACTCACACTTTAATGCGATTTTGTCGGATTTCTCATGCAACATTTTGAGAGCGGTGTTGACAGCCGAAAAAACAAGCGCAAACTCTCCTTCTCCAATTTTTTTCTATAAAAATGTTTTTTTATGAGTACTTCATTGAAATCACTCACTTCCCTGGCGAAATTGAAGACCCTATTATTCAAACGTATTGTTTCATGCTGATCGAAAAATAAACTAAAACAAAAATTATGATTTGTGATTCACATACTCACTATTTCAGAAAGCTTCTCTTCTCTGAGTTACATAGCAGAGTCGAGAGTATTGAAATCGCCCCAAAAAGGAGGATCAAAATGAACCAAACAAAAATCTTGTAATAATCGTAAGCGGAATCTGCTTGCTTGGGTCGAGATTTGTGTCGTTGAGGAAAAGTGACCAAATGTTTTTTTGTCAACTGCTCAGTTTTATTGAAACTAAGAACGCATTTGAAAATTCCAGAGAAATCTTTGGTCCAATGGAGAAACGCTGTTCTCCCAGCAAAACTTTTAGAAGTCTGATTCACCATGGTGATCTGAAAGTTTGATGATATGGGTTGACCACAAAAAAATGCGCTAACCTTTGCGCAGTGTTCTCGGGCATTTGCAGAACAAACTAAATCAATTTCCATCAAATCTTTGTCGTCCAATCTCTTTCTGCTTCTGACAGTGCACCAAACTTGGAAAATGTTTTCATTCACTAGTTTCTGCAGTTTCATGATGCAATTTCAAAATTATAAGTTAAAAACTTACTGAATGTATAACTACATTCATATTGCGTTTATCAAATGGCACATGAGGACCAATATCAAAAATCGCCTTTTCTTTACCATATACACAAACATAAGAATGCTGTTTCAAGGACGCCTTTTTAATCTCAAAACCCAATCTAAACAAAAAGATTTAGTTGAAATTTTGAAAAAAACTTTGTTCACATGGGGTTGTAAGGAAGATTTAAGAAAACTTTGTCGATGTAGAGGGTGGCGTTTAACGCAAACCTCGAAGCGCGACAAGGAATCACAAGATCTGGGGTTTCAATAGCAAAACCGTCATTATTGGAAGGTAGGAAAAATGCAGTTGTTCGGTCTATAAAATATCATTAAAAAATATCAGTTTGGAACCTTAAAATCATTCAAAAATTTACCTCCAGTGAACAAATGTATAGACTTTGTTATTTCTAAGTTTTGATTCATTTGGCACATGTAACGGCCGGAGTCAACAATCTGCAAATATTAATTCGATCGAGAACCAGTTAGTTATACCGATGGATTCGTAATTGTCAATTTCAGGTAGGCGGGATCATCAAAGTTTTGAAAAAGACGAATCCTAGCATTCGCTTCGCTGAAGTTATCGATTGACGTAAATGATAACCCATCTGAACTTCAACCTTCTCAGCCTTACTTTTTCGTTTTTGACCAACATGTACAATTCGGATGACCAGAACATCGACATTCGATATCAACTGTATCGTTTGGTTTCGCTTGTAGGAAGTAGTTCTCGTAGTAAGTCTAAAAAAAAGCCGAAAACCAGTTTTTCAAAAAGAATCGCGCGAAAATAATTAGTTCACCTCGATTTTGTGGTTTAAATTGCTGGTAGTCAGTTCAAGATTTTTTGAATCCTGTTTAGTTATGGAAATGAAATGGGCATAAAGAAAAAAAACAGCATAGAAAAGAAATCGATAGATTTTCATATCATGAACGGCTCTTATGATATTAGTGCCATCTTTTTTAATCAGTTCTCAAACTTTATCGCAAATGACATTAATCCGCAGTTTGAAAAAATTTTATCAAATCTTGCAAATCTTGAGACTATTCCATCATTGCATGATGATATGCCAGCTGAGCATCTGGGTAAAAAATTTATCTGAAAAATACATGCGTCGTCTTATTTTTATTCAGGTTTTTTTTTGATAATGCTCACCATTTTATTACCTTTGAATGTTTTCACCAGTCTTCTCGTATGAGAAAAAAATGGAAAAGAGTGTCTGAAAAAAACCTCGATTTTGTGATTTTCACCACTGGTAGTAATATCGAGGATCTCCTCGTCCGTTGATACAAAAAGTAGAAACAGCGTGAACAAGAGTAACATTCAGAGAACGCGCGTAGAACTGGTCGTTAGCGCTATAATTGATTTTCTGTTGATTGAATTTCTCGCCATTCAATCCGACTTCCCAAAAATAAAACGACAAGACTGTTAAATGAGAGTAGCCTGTCAAACAAAAAGTATCAGACTACTCGGTTTCTTTTTTTTTTCGTTGAATGTTTATCCTTGCTCGTTGCAAACGCTCGTTGGAATTCACACAAAGTTTGCAAAGAGTTTTTTTAATTATCCATTCAAACAAACTTCAATTTCTTCTTCTTTGATTTTTATCACTAATACCAAGTTATCGCAAAATTGACTGTCAAAAAAATGTTCAGAATTAAAAAAATATATATTTTTTTATTTCTTTATCACATAAAAAAGTTTCATCGAAGGCGAAAAAAACCCCCAGACTACCCGTAAGAAGGTGATGAGTAAATCAAAGACGACCAATATCTCATGCAACCATGGACTGCCATTTGTAACTGCAACCATTTACCATTGATTTAAAATTTCAGAGGTATATGCTTAAATTACCCGTGAAAAAAAAGAGAGTTCAGAAACATACAACGTAACAACAAAAAAGACAAACAAAAACAAAAACCCGTATATTAAATCATAAAGAAGACATTTCTACATCTGCTGCAAGAAATGGAATCGAATCAGAACTTGGTGATTGGATCTGAGAGCACTCGATGTAACTCGACTGCGTTAGTTTGTTGAATAAAGCCCGCGCTTTCTGAAAATTTTGCTTTTCGAGAAGCCAATAAGATCTCACATTTGAATCTACATCTAGGAACAAAGTTTGGAGGCTGTTCACGCAATGACCGATAGTCGCCCGTTGCCTCGGATCCATTTCCCAGCACGTTTTCATTACTTGATATCTGGAAAAAAAGTTTTTGACAGAAAAGATGATACTCACAGAACTACAGGACATAAGTGCGGACAAGGAACCACTCCACCAGACTTCAAAAAGTCTTGGTACTCTTCTAAGGTTTTTTCCGGATGAGGATCGTCTCCGAGAGCGAAGATTTCTTGTAAAATAATTCCGAACGCCCAAATATCCGACTAAACTTTTTCATTGAACAAAAATCCCTATATCATAAAACCTCAAATGTTGGGTAACCGGTATGCAAAGTTTCCAAAGGACTCCAAGCATAGGAAATCTTTCTTTTTCCGTCCATGTTGTTCTGAGGCTGATCGATGAAGAAAGCTAGTCCAAAATCAGATATTTTGCAAATTCCATCGGTAGTTAACAAAACGTTACGCAGGGCAAGGTCTCCGTGAACACACTGAAATAGCTGATTCTTTTTTGAACCCCTTTCCGAATTTTTAACCTTTTTGGTTTGCAAAAACTGTACTCCTCGTGCTATTTGCCACCCATATGAACACAAATCGAAAAAATGCAACACATTTTCAGTCTCTTCTGATCTCTGAGATAACATTTCTGTCCTTCAGTTGTTTTTTTTGTATAACTTGAGATGGGAACTTGAGGTCATAAAGAAGAGAAGATTGACACCGATCGGAAACTGGTTTTTGATAATTTTTCAAATATGTTTTTAGGGAATAATTTCCGCAGTACTCGAGGACAATGTACCGCAGCTCGTAGTTTAAGCAGCAAAAACTGAAAAAAAATACATTATTCAGAGCTAATATTCTTTTTTTAACCTTTTGTATTCCGAAGAAAAAAACTTGATGACGTTCGGATGTCCCCGAAGGCTTTGCAACACCGTCGCTTCATTTTCCAGCATATTTATTTCGGTTCTTTTCTGATCTTGTATACCTCGAGGATCTCAAGATCTTTAATAAATTGTTTTTTATTTTGAAATATTCTCACATTTCAGCGCGACTTTTTCCGAACTTTCGTGTAGTGTTTTGAGAGCGATGTTAACAGCCGAGAAAAACCAGCGCAAAGTGTCCTTCTCCAATTTTTTCCTGTAAAAGTTTGATAAGTAAGAAGTGAAAAAAATTTTTACCTCTTTGGAAAAGTTGAAAAGTCTGTCGTTCACGTGAATTGTTTCATGATCGTTCATGAAAAAACTGAAATAAATTCAAATCGTGAAAAGACTTCATTTCCAAACTTACTATTTCAGAAATTCTCGATTTTCTGGACTGCGTAAAAAGTTCGAAATCAACAATATCGGTACGCACGAAAAAATAACAACAAGCCAAAAAATAATCTTATGATAGTTGTAAGCGTTTGCCAGTTTCGGATAAGAAGTCAAGTGTGGCGGTGCAGGGAAAATCACGAATTCTTCGTGTATCAGTTGCTCAATGCCATCAAAACTGAGAACACAAGCAAAAAATCCAGAAAAGTTCTCAGTCCAATGTAGAAACGTTGTTCTCCCAGTAAATAGGCGGGAAGTTGCATTTACCATAATGATCTGAAGAAAATTCCAAGGAATCAAAAATAGAAATGTTTAAATTTACTTTTGCGCAATGTTCTTTGGCTTCTGGAGAACAAATCAAATCGAGTTTCATCAAATTCTTGTCGTCTAGTCTCTTGTTGCTTTTGACCGTGCACCAAACTTGAAAAATATGATCATCTACCAGTTCCTACAAATTTCATGAGTGGTAACTTTGAAGAAATTCAAAATAAAGGAAACTCACTGATTTAATGAAGATTTCCATATCGTGCTTATCAAACGTTGCATGAGGCCCGATATCGTAACTCGCCTCCTCCTCTCCATACTTACAAACGTATAATTGTTGTGTTAGAGAACAGTTTGAAACCTTGAAGCCTAACCTGAGAAAAGAAACATTAATTTAAAACAATGGAAAATCGGTTCACATGGGATTGTACGGAAAGTTCTGAAGAACGTTGTCCACTCGAAGAGTCACGTTTTTCGAAAACCTTGAAGCACGACAAGGAACAACAAATTCTTCGCTTTTGACAACAAAACCGTCAACTTTGGAAGGGACGAAAAAAATCCGTACTCCAGTCTGGGAATTCAACTATTGATCAAAAAAATTTTTCTGGAAGGAAAAAAAGCGTTTTTCAGTAAAAGTCACATCAAAAAGTAAACTTGAGCTAATTTTTTTAAAAAAATACCAGAAAAAAAGTTGACAAGTTAAATTCAAAAAAATCGAAAAAAATAATTTTTCAAAAAAAATTTTAACCTCCAGTGAAAAAGTGAATTGACACATTTAAATCCGGATTATAGTTCATCTGGCACGTGTAACGCTTAGAATCAAAGATCTGGAATTATATTATTTCGATAAAAAACCAATAAAAATTACCGATATGTTTGTTATCATCAATTTCAAATAACCGGGATCATCGAAATCGTGAAATATGCCTATTCTGGGACTCGCGGGATCAGAATCGTCAGAGACCGTGAATGATAAACCATCTGAACTTTCTCTGCTGTGAGTATGTTGTAATACGAACAAACATTTGCAATTTGGATGGCCAGAACAACGACATTCAATTCCAACAGTGTCGTTTGGTTTTGCTTGTAGGTAATGGCTTCCAAGGTACGTCTGAAATTTGAAAATTCTTACTTTTTGAAAAAAAAAAACGGAAAATTATCAGAAAACCAGGCTATTCTTTTATTTTTGTGTTGATTTTTTCATGAAAAAACCCCTGAAAAGTCAATTTTACTCGTTTTTCTCCCTCAAGATTTTCAATTGTAAATAAAATTACCTCGATTTTATGACTTTCATCGCTGATGCTAATGTCAAGTGTTTTTTCATTTTTGCAAGTCACAGAAAAAAGGAAGAATATTGCAAAAAGTAGAAGCATCAAAATGGAAAGTCGGTGATTGTTAGGCGCGTTTATCAAAGTATTGATTTTTCCAATCAGCGTTTTAATGTCATATCTAACGGCATAAATTTGCAGTCAAAATACGAAATGACTCAGTCGAGTTTTTTGAGAAAGTTGCAAGAATCAGCAAGGATTGCGCAATGTTTTGATAGAAATCTCTGTTCTATTTTCATGGCTACATGTCAAGACATCGGGGTTCTCGCTTTCATAACATTTCACTGATACCTGTTTCACCCATTTCTCGACTATTTTATGGCTTTTGAATCGATTTTCTTCTCGCTGTTGAATGAAATTTCAACGAAACGTTTTCTTAATTGCTTCAAGGGGCATGACTAAATAAAATTGAAGCCAGGGTGAATCACAATTTCAAATTCGATTCTGAAAACTATGACCAAAAAAAAAATTTCCTGAACTCTACAACTAAAAAGTTCTACCTTTCCATACTAATTGAATTTTTTTACCCGGTTATCATTTATTCGGCATTAAATATTTTTCATTGAGAAATTAACACCAAGCTTTGGAGAAACATTGCGATATTTGTGGAATCTTTGGAAAGAATCGACTTTTCGAGTGGTTATAATATTTGCAGGCGCATCGTCTTTCAGCTCAGGTCCAGCTTGCTCTTCAATGTGGCTACAGAACTTTTTCGGAGTGCTCTGAAATTTGTTTTTCCTTTTTTACATGGGGTTGATAAATGTTATATTTCACAAAGTGTTTCATTATTTTCGGTCAGAATTTCGTATAGATACTTCTCTCGAAAGGGCAGTCCTTATCAGTTTTTACATGTCAAACTTCAGCGATTCACATTTTTCTCGAGATTGAAGTCAAAATAAATCTTGTTTTAGACCTTCCAAAAAAAAATCTCATCCGATCAAAGTTTGAATTGAAACCCTCAATGCATAACCTATTTGAAATGAGTCAGTTCTGCAAAAAAATTATTGAAATTGACTCAAATTTTCAACGTGAACACAAATATGAAGTTCTCAAACTGAAAGTTTCGAGTTGAAAGTTACAAAATTCTAACTTCATTATCAGTACGTTTCAACTGAGAAAGCTTCTGTCTCAAAAAGACGGCATGCATGGCTAATCTCGTCGTCAGAGCCGTCGACTGCGTGTCGGCCGGCCGTCAAAACTCGCAATCAAGACTTTGCCGCCGGACCTCAGGCGCCCCCGATTTATCTTATTTCGAAGTGTCCATTTTTCAATTGACCACTTGCAACATCTACACCGAATATTGTACTCAGAAATTTACTTTCGCACAGATTAATTTTTCGTATAAAAAGTGCAATTGTTTTTTTCTTTTTTGAAGCTTCGAATTTGTTAAATAACTGATTCGATAATTGTAAATTCGTCATGAAGTTTGAGATTTTCAAAAAAGCATTGGGATTTTTGAACAGGATCAAAAATCGAACAAAAAAATAATGAGATTGTGAGCTTCTCAGAATTGTTTCACGAATGATGTTAAAGTTTTAGAATGGATTTCCAGCCTTGTTCTCGATAAATATTAATCTTCAAGTTATTAATTTTGACCACCGTGTGGAAAACTGCCCCACTTGAAATCCAGGCTTATTTGGTGTTTTCTAATTGGGTCAGCTGTTTTTTCTCCTTTCCTTTCCTTTATTCTATGTTCGGAGGATGTAGAAGACCTTGTCTAATAAGCCAGTGAGAGAAAAGCTCAGCTCATAATCTCTCTGCAACAGCAGAACTTTAATTGTCGCTAAAAAGGAGGAACGAAGCCCCGCAAAGGATCCGATGCGACCAGCTCCCGCCAAATTGGTTCTCGCCACGAATTATGGCCGCTTCGAGACGTTTTTGACATATGGGGTCCCTCTGTTCTTCTGGATCATCCGCTAGTACGTTATTCCCTGCGGGGCTCTTTGGTGCGAGCATGAGATCTGAGCTCTTTTTCCTTCATTTGGGTTCCGGTTTTTTATGATTTGATTGTACGTTCGACTAAAAAAAGCGCCCTACACTATTCCTTCATAAATCAGGTGTGGTTGAAGACGTCAATTGAAAAAAGTGCTGTCGCTACAATTTGACAGAAAGGGTTTTCTTTCGGATTCAATTTTGTTCATTTTCGTGTACTCTATCCATTCCAATCTTCGCATTTTTTTTTTGATTTGTCAGTTATTTCAATCCATCGGTCGGTCCACAAAATGTATAGGACCCAATAGAATACTAACAAAGCGACCTTAGTACCTATTGTTCTAAAAAAGAGCTCATTTTTTTTGAATATCCAAAATTAAAACTATCTGAAGGGAAAATGTGTAGAGACAAGAAGCGGACGTGTCACCGGCATGTGTATTTTTGGCCACGTAAGAGTAATGGCGCGGCACGTTGGTCGGCTGCAGGAGAAAATCCCTCAGGAATTCCTCATAAGGCGTCGGGTGATCAATTGCTGAGAAGTTGAGTAGACCTACGAAAAGTTCGCAAAAAGTGGAGGTCGATGAAGGAGAGCTTCTTTTTAAAAGTATAGTGAGAAAATTATGTACGTCTTTTTTAACAGGCAGTCAAAAATACTCAAGTACGCTCATACAAAAATATTCATTGATTTTCGTTTTTTCTATAAACTAGTGAGAAGCTGTCTAAATCCAGAAAAAAAATAGTTTCGATGGAAAATCTTCAAATTTGCATGTTTTTTGCAAAGTATATTTTAAGCTTGGTTTGTTAAAAAAAACTTTCAGCAATTTATCTTTTTTTTATTCATGGCGCCACTTGTATTTCAATTACTTTGAAATCAAATACCTGTTTTTTTATTATCTGTTATTTAGCAGTTGCCGGTAGTACAGTTCATTCATTAATAATTGAAGACTTCAGAAAAAATTAGTTTTTTTGTGTTGCAGCGCCTTCACTTGAGTTTCTCTTTCCCCCTCTCAAACTCTTCCGAAAAATGTTGTGAATTAACCATCAATACTCTGAGAAATCTACAGCTAAGTCTTCTACTTGCTATACTAGTTCATGTCTAACTCAACCTAACACTCGTTTAACAGGGCAATCCAGTGGACAATCCACAAAGGAAATGGCGGTTTCCGAGCGCCGAGCCGCTCGTTACGTGTTTCTCCAACGAGCGTCGCGCAGCTTTTGACTTTCGAGTGTTCTCTTTGCGAACTGCGCACGCTATCGTTTTCCTCTTCAGATCAACCATCTATCCTTTGTTGGTTGTGCACGCTTTTTTTGTCGAAGGCATTAGGTTCGAGAAAAAAAGCATCAAAAATCGAATCATTTTTTCAGTCAGTTCAATTTTTTTCACAAGGATTGTTCAGTTTGAGCCAAAGTGAGCCTCGTCCTAATTTATTTCAATCTCCACACAAAAAAAACTTTTTTTGAATGAAAATATGTTTTTTTTCCATTTTTCGATCTTCCTATCAAAATTTAGTTGTGAACTTCAAAGTGCTCACTTTTTAGCCTTGACTGGAAAAAGCGTCAAAACAAGCGGCCTCTCCAAAACGAGATTCACTCCTTCTTCCCGTAACTATGTTATCTATTGCACTTAGGTGCTAGCAAATGAAAGAACATTACTTTTCTCTCGTTATGTTTTCCTCATGTTTTTGTGCTCCCGATTAGAAGAATTATATTACTGTTTCACAGCTATAAGTTATTCCAAGTTTGTTTACCGAATCGATACCTTTGAGAGAAGTGTTCGTGTTGAGCATGTGGTACTTATTCGATTCTCAACTTCATATACTAGATTATTTTCTTCATATTCCTGCTTTTTGTTTTCTTTGTCATTTATAGCCCTTTTTCTTCAAAGCGGATGATAAGTAAGAAAATGAAAAAAACGTCAAAATAGAAATTGTACGAAAATAATCTTCTTTGAGATGATCAAAAACAGCTGATTCGTACTTTGCGGGCGTTATCTCTTTTTTTGCCAATTTTAGGCGGCCTCGAGATTTATAGATTCAAGCAGAAATACTCTTCTATATGAAAAAACGCTTCCACGGTTTCTATTAATCTCAAAAAAAAATCAATCAGTTTCTGTAAAAGTTCACTTCTGGGGGAAAAACTGTTTTGAGTAGCTGTCTAGGTTTTTGTTAAAAAAAAATCTCAGACGGTGATAATTTCAAGGCGCCAATTAGAACTTGCGCCTACTAATTATTCACGCTCCGTTGCGTTCTTTCGCATTGCGGTTTCTTCTATCACTAACATGCCCAACATTATCATGACAACCATTTTTATCTCTTTATTTTCATCAGAATGATTTCCATATCTCCAACAAAAAACTAGCTATGAAGTCGTCAAGGAAGATTGGGGATTATGCAGGCTGTTTTGCCTGAAATTCCAGAGATGGAAAAGCTTTTGACGACCCGCGAACCAGTTTTTCACGCGGTTGGTGGTCGCGAATCGCCGTTCTCGAATCTCGCCTTATCACCTTTTTCTTCCTATCCTGCCATCATGTTTGATCCGTGCATGTGACGAAAAAGCCACCCGCCTTTTTCGCAACATTTTTTTTGTGTATTTTTCGACGCTGTTCTATCCGTGCTTTGAATACGACTTTTTCATAGTGATTTTAATTTTTCATTGATTCTCAGCAGAAAAAAGTTACGCCAGATGTGAAATAATTTTTTTTTCTGAATTCAAATTTTGTTTGAATAGGATCTTCTTCTTGAAATTCTAAGAAATGATTTATTTTTGATTATAATCTGTAAAACTTGTGGATGGCTGAAGGTGAACGGCTGGGACTGCCATTTCAAGAGTCATAGAAGAGCTGCCAAATCGGGAGCTGGTTAGGCGCTGCCACTTCGAGAAACGCTCAAGCGCTGCCGCTTTTTAAAAGGAACTGTCCACTGGAGCAAAAAGTCTCGTATTTATTTAGTGTTCTGAACGTTGAGATAAAAGCTTCTCCTTTCAAAAGATGTTCAGTGCTTCACGAATAATCAAACAAGACAACCTAAAAAAGATCACGCGTGCGGCAAACGAGTAATTTGTTTAACGACCTAAACGACTTTAACGAGGGAGCGAGGAATCTATGACTTAATTGCCTTCGGTTGCGTTCATTTCAGTTGTTTTTCAGTATTTTTTTAGGAAGTCTTTTTGCATGATAAGCTTCTGGAAAATTCCTCAAATTTTTTTGCCGTTTTGTCTCTAGGATCGTTTATTGTTAATCAACTTTTCAGCATCCACAGAATGCTTCGGGTATGGGTAACAATTCTATCGATCGTGTGCGTCGCAAATCCTGTATATGCTGCCAAATGTCACTCATGTTTGACTCAATGCAGCACAATCGACGGCTCTAAGGTTTCTCTTTCTCAAAAATAACGTCATAGAGGAAAATTAACCAGGTGGACCCAGAAAAATGTGACTGTCGGTCAGAAGAGAGGGACATGTGCGAAGCAGACGCTTGCTTCGCCAAGGTTGAGATTTTCCTTGAAGAGTCAACCGCTGTAGTTCAGGTGAGCGTTTAAACGCGAAGCTCTAAGAACCTTTGAATTTTCAGAAAGGATGCGTATCTGATCTACCGGGTGGCCAGAGAGGATGTCACTACGCCAGCAACACAGACAGTATTCATTGTTATTGCGACGAGGACAAGTGCAATGACCGAAAAGGGGTTTGTAACGTCAGAAAGCTTCCAAAGATCAAGAAAAGTTCCAGCTGAAAGACTATAAGCCCATTCGGCTTCCGATGGTTCACTGCTGCTCTTGTTCTGAACGGAATGGGGACCACTGCCCTAAAAATAAATGCGATCGAACCTGCAAAGGACATTACTGTGTTGTCGATTTTGATGGAGTCGAACAGGTTATTATTCTTTCCTTTATTTAAAGTTTTCGTTTTCCCTTCAGGGCTGTGGCCTGGGACTTCCACGACTTCCTCTATTCTTGAGGACTCAAACCTATCCTGAATCTTCTGGCGATTCAATTTGTGCAAGGTTTATCTGAAAACCGTTTTGAAAGTGTTTTTTGTTTTATTTCTAGATATGAAACTTCAAAATCTCAAACAATGAGTGGCTGCATCTGTTCCGACCCGAAAGGGCCTTGTAACACCTACGCAAAGATTCATCACATTCAGGTAGAACTAATTTTTTTTTTGGTTGAATTGACATGATATAAAGGAGACCAAAGTGATACCCGCATCGGCTGGAGCACAGCCAACCTATTGCTACAGTCTACGAAGACAATCTTCCAGGCGGTTTGGCGAAGAAGTTTATAAAGAGTTGGTTTTATTTCCATGAGATTTGGTCTTCTAAATCGCCAACTTTACCGCTAGCTTTTTTCAGCTCCACAACTTGTGAAGGTCATTACTGCTTCGTCTCTCTGACGACTTCAGAATTGGTCCTTGAAAGTGTCGATTTCCGACACAACATTGAAGACCACAAGTCTTTCATTGGAGTTGCTCGTCCTAACTTCATCATTCAAGCTGGTTGTCTCAATGTCGACGATCCACAGGTCATTTTCCTCCAGCTGATAACGTCATTTTACAGTGAACTTTTTCAGAAGGTCACGTTGGGCTGCACAATTGAAAAAACTGGCAGCAACTCGGAAGAAATATCTCGACATTGTGTATGCAGCGGCTCACTTTGCAACTTCCATCATCTGCTCACCAACACCACAGATCTTCGACCAAAGGCCAATCAACAGCAGCAGGTTTTTGATAATCACATTAATTATCAAGATAAAAGAAACATTCCTTAGGAATCATTTGAGCGAGATCTGAACTCGGCTCCTAAACGAATCCGTGTGGAGAACGCACACGCCTCGACGGTCATCGACACGAATTCTACAAAAACTGTCAAATCTGCAATTTCCTCAAGCTTTTTGTTTACCTACTCTGTTATCTTGTTGGTGATTCTCTTCAATCACTAAAATGGTTACCCAAATAACATAATCTACCAAAGAAAAATCTCATTAGATGTTCAGTTTCGGTTTTTACTGAGATTCTCTCTTGAAGCAGTGATATACTTTAAACAATTCACAATTTCACCCTTTTTCATGAAATAACTTTTAGATTAGTTATGACGCCTCAAGGCTACATATGAAATTGAAAAAACAAAACGTTCGAAGCGGGAAAATTATGACTAACAGCTAAAAGGACAAGTTTTCCTTTTTTTATTTAGTTGAATCAGTCGACCGCAAAGTACATCACTGCAAATTTATAAAAATAATCAAAAGTTTTCGTAAAATCTTGTTACCCTGACCGGTGTTCTGCGCAATTGATAATTTGATTCTATTTTGACTCTAGAACTTAACGAAAGAGTCCACCTTACGGGGTTCTTCATTTGTATTCCATTTGTTTGTCTTTCTTCCTTGTTGAAAAAATTTCCAGCTGTAAGTAGATAACCATTTTATTTTCATAATAATGATGCATTGATAAAACAAATAAATATCCAAGAATGAACTTTCATGTTGATTAACAGTCATGGTATGCTCTTCTACCGTAGTTCAATCGATATCAAACATCAAGGAATGTTTTTGGTTTAATGGAAAATAAATCAAAAAAGACCTGTTTCTCGCAGAACGAATAAGCAACGAGGATCGCAGTTTTTTATCGAGGTTATAGGTAAAAGCTGTCAGGAGGTTATGATAAATGATAACAATTATATTCAAAATGTACCCAGGTTCGATTATGTTCAGCTGAGAAAATCATATTAAGCAAATTCGGGCACCATTGAAGTTACAAAGATTCGAAAATATGACACGGAAACAGGTAGGCGTAGGATGGGGCAGTCCATTCATTCCACTCAAAGGTTAGCTTCAAAATGAAGAGGATTTTTGGGAATGGACTGTAAAAATTTAAAACGGCTGATAAAATGACTAGAAATTCGAAAATTAAAGATTTGGGAGAGGGCTGTCTCGTTCTTTTTTATGCTTTCGACGCGTTTTCGGAGCAAGCTGTAAATCCAACGATTTGTACAAAAATCGAAAATGTGAAATCATATCATGCAACAATTATCAAAAATATTACATTATGCAAAAATATAACAACAGTAAAAAGACAAGCGACCCGAGAATACACAAATATGAGAAAAAGAGCAACAACTTCAAGAGCAAACCTAAAATATGGTAGTTTATTAATTGATTATTCAAAACTGCCTATTGAGCAAACAAAAAACAAGGTTGCGGTAATCTGAGCGTTTGACAAAAATAAAAGTTATGGAAAGCAAAAAACCGTGCATTTTGATTATTAATGATTTAATGAGAACATTGAAACAGATAAACAAGGTTAGTTCGAGGAATGCATTACCGGCTGGGGATGCCCTCGAGCTGCATTTCTGTACTCTGCCACGAGTGCGTTGAACCGTTTTTCGAGCACCTGAAAGTTATTTTGATAATTTACTCGTCGCTTACCCTTGGAAAATTTTCAAAAAAGATATGTCGCCATTTTTTTGACATAAGAAGTTAATAAATTATAGTTCTTAGATTCAACTTTATTAACTTTTTCAGAGTTAAATGTCGCATAAAGCTCTCAAAAAATACCTGTCGGCTCTGGCTATCCTGAGCTCCAATTTGAAGAGAATAAGCAAAAGCTTGAGAATCGAAGGTGTCGTCCAGAGCTATCAAGGCGCCGTGAACTCCGCTATCCGTCAGATTTCGAGAATAGGCTCCCAAGCCAATTTCTTCTATCCATCTTTGAACCCGTTCGTTGGACCATACAACAACGTCTGAAAATCTTTCTTCACCTTGGGAATTCGAATTTTGGTTGAAAAGAGCATTTTTGACTTTTCCCAACGTCATTTTGAGGAGTTGGAACGCACCTTTATTCACATTCTCGCAAGCTTTCCTCCTATCGGCCAGAATCTTGCGATCATAGTTGATTTTCTTGAGACACATGATCCCATATTGGAGACTCGCTCTGTGGAAGGTATCGACCATCCGCAGATGATGTCGAAGATCTCGCTTCGACAGGTGTTCCAGCATTCTGGCGTCAAGCAAGCATTCCATGAATGCTGACCTAAAAGTTTTATTGTGAACGAGAGAACTCATGTGAAATTTTCTTATTGCGACAGTTCTTTAAACTATTTTTCAAACTCTTCTGAGCCCATGAAAGGTTTGAATCTAATTCAATTCTTTGCAGAACAAAACTTTGAAGAAGGTTTTTATCAAGCTTTTTTTTTATATTGTTGAACTTTTTTCTCAATTCTAAAGTCTTTGGGGCCACCAGAAAGTCCGATAATCTTCCAAATTCATTTAAATTCACCTGTACTGAGCAAGTCCAAGACTTGGAAGCCATTCATTTCCAATGTATTCGTGGTTCATGTCCCCAAATGCCAGAGTCAATCGAGCCGTTCGAGGAGCTGACGGCGACGTGAGGGACACCATTTCCTGAATTCAACATCAGGTTTTGTTTTCCAAGGTCTTTCTTGTTTACCTGGATGGCTAATCTCAGTTTCAGGCGATGCAGGGGGTTGGAAATGCCGATTTCTTTCTGGATTTCTTGGTCGCTTAAGGCTGACATGATTGCTCCGGACTGTAAGAAAATAAGCAGAGTAATCGGTTCAGGCATTCAAAAAAAACCTTGACATTGGCTCTGCATGCGGCAACGTACCAAGCAGGCATTCCTACCCATAATTCCAGCCAAGCGACTACGGTGGGACCGTTCCAAAGGGCAAATGGAGTTCTTGCTTTCATGGCCTGGAAATAATTATTGAATAACCGTAACTGAACATTTTGTGCCTCTTTACAACTTTTTTGAAGCAGTTCGGAATCGATTGGAACCTTTTATTGAAATATAAAAATTTATCAAATATTGAAAACTTTAAGAATGCCTCAAGAAATGTCACCAGAAATGAGTAAAGTAAGGAGACTTTTTGAAGCTTTGTATTCGGTAAGAAAGCAGTAAATGGACTATACTCACTTCCTCCAACAACTCGTGTTTCTTCTTTTTCCGCCGATCAAAATCTCCTTTCGCGTTTTGCCCTTCATTTCCTGACTGCTCACCATCTGAGTAGGAATTTGTTGGGTCTCCTCTTCTGAAGTTAGATTACTCATTTCAAGAGAAAGTATGGTCCTTTCTGGGCTATGTGAAAACAAAAAGAAAAGAAACATTCCAACTAACCGATAAATATCCGTCGCTGAAGTCTTCTTCTTATTGAAGAAACGGCCAAGAGTTTTGAGGCCACTGGAGCTGTTGGACCTCTTCTTTTTGCCTGGCATCCCGTCTGATGAAGCGACAGAAGAGGCTGGGCTCATCCGGTCACCTTCATCATATCGATGCTGAATTTAGAAATATAGAAAAAAATGGGAGAAAAGTTAAAAACCTGGTCATAGCGAGGATTATATCTCCTTGGGGTGTAGTCCAAGTCTCCTACCATTGTGTCGTCCGTAAACTGAAAAAATCTCCTAATTTTGAAAAAAAGCTCAGAAAACCTGAGGATGACCGTAATGATCATATCTGCTGTCAGAAGTTGTTGCATTGGCAGGAAGCTAAATTAGTAGACTGAAAGAAATAAAAATAAATAAGAGTACCGTGTTATATTTATGTTGGATCATGCCCATCTGAGGACTGGCGCGGGGTGAACTACTTGTTGAGATTCCCTGATCGTCGAGGAATTCCGATCTTCCAGATCTTTCCAGGTGTTCAGCTACTCTTTCGGCATGGTGTTTTTCTTGTTGGATCATCCTGAAGTCGGGTTTTTTCGCGAGATTTCACAAATTCATACTATTACTTGTTTGAAAATTTTTGAATTGCTTCCAGCAAGTTTTCGTCTAGTCAGACAAACAAAAAACCAACCTTATTTCAGAATTAATCGCATCAAGCCGTTCTTGAAGCATTGAGGCCAAAACGTGGGCATCCTGACCGGTTGAAGGAAGGCCGGAACCCATGACGTCTTCCGTTTGCTGTTGAGGAGTGGCAGCACCGGCTCTCGGAAGCGTCGAGGCTCCGACGTCAGCTAGAGAAGGAGAGGACGAGAAAGCTTGCTGGACGTTTGCCAAGACGTGGGCTTGTTGGAGTCGATCCCATTCCTGCTCGTTCAGAGTTTGAATTTTGTTCGGGTCTTCCTGAAAAGGCATATCGTGACAAAAAAAATGGGAAGGCATTCGAGTTGTACTCCATATAGCCTTCCAAACTTTAAATTTTGATATAAATTGTTCGCTTTTTCCAAAATTCTCACAAGGAACTTAAATTCTGCCAGTTTCAAAAACAGTTTGTGAGAGGTTTTCAATTTATTTTTTTAAAAGAGTTTTCAACAAGTTAATTTTTTTGGTTTAACTGTATACTCCAAAAAAAGTCGTTCAATCAATCATTTTTTTGGATTTTTTTGAAAGGTCCGATAAGTTCTACAACATTCCGCAAATTTAAATATGATACGAATTTTAGTTCAAAACCTCAAACTTCAATAGGAATCATAGTCTGTGTGCCACGACTTGAAATTTCACGGAACGACATTCCTCTGTGCCGCTGCGCACTTTTGCAAACGTTGGTGGCGCTTTTGTTTTTTTTTTCTTTTATTAGGCAATAATAATCAATTGAAAGCGTGACCTAGATTCCAAAAACCGCTTAGTGAACGCACGCAGCGGAACAGCGGAATGTCGTTTGGTGAAATTTCAGTACACTAATTATTTGCTTTGTTCTGACAATAAAGAAATAAATAAAATTCGTGGCACACAGACTATACAAGCATAACCTTTTTTCCAGATTAAAAATTGAAGAAGTCCCAACAAACCTGCAAAGCACTAATCCGGCCCTTGTTGGGTCGTCTCACGCCAACAGTAGCGTATCCAACTGGAGTTGGCTCATAAGACTGGAAATTCTGCTGGGTTGGAATCGGCTGTTGAGAGACGCCGTTAGGGATGCCGTGTGTGTAGGGAATCGCGTGCATTCTGAAAATATGTTCAATTGAAGCCGAAAATATTTCTTGTACCTTGACTGGAACTGAGCAGTTCGGGTGTTGTACAGTTGCTGCCTCAAAGATTCAATTTCTTGTCGTAGGCTGTCGTTGTCCCTTTGTAACCGCTCTTTTATTCTTTCGGCCTTGAAAAGTATTCAATATAAATCATTATTACTATATATCTCACCTGGTCATAAATCTTCTTCGTGCTCTCCAGTTGTTGAGTGAGCCGATTTTTATCGTCCAACGCTTGCATCCGCTCTTTCAGATGCAGTTGTAACCGGTCATTTGACTCGGAAAGGAGCTGAAAATCAATATTTTGCAATTGAAGCTATATCTAAAAGTAGGATACCTTATCAACCGTACTGCTGAGCCTCAGGCTGTGTTCTTCATTCATCTTCTCTCTCTGCACAGCTCTTTCCAATTCAGCGGCCATTTCTTGAAGTTGTCGTTCCAGTCTTTGAACGCGTTCTTCTGCTGTCACTTGTTTCTGAAAATGAAGACTTTCATAACTTTTAACAGTTTTATATTGAGGCGTCGTTTTTTAAAGATTTCAAGTTTGGCAATGAATATGCTTGTTTATGGTATCTTTATAATTTTTGAAAGACCTAAAAAATTGAAAATCATACCATAGCCATAATTTACTCATTTTCGATTCATCTTTATTCATCGAAAGAACAAAAAAAGTTGAGATTTTCCTTTTTATATTTAAAGCCGAATTCGAACTACCATTTTGAAAGTTATGAAAAATACCTGCTCCGCGGCTGTGAGAGCCTCCAGCCGTTGCTGAAGTTCCGCTTCGACAGAAGGAAGAGATTCGGCTTTTTTGAGGCTTTGAGCCAATTGCTTTTCCGCCAGCTCCAACCGCTCTTGCAATGAGTGGACTTTCTCCTCATTGAGCCTCACTGCTGCGTCTTTGTTCGCCAACTGCAAAACTATTTGATTATCAGAGAAGAAGGCCAATTTGACGACATTATTCATTTTTTTCTTTTCTGAAGTCGAAACCTCAACATTTTCTATTTTTAATCATGAAAACACGAAATATTGGCTGATTTTTTTGAGGAATAAAATCTCGGAAAAAAAGAAAAAAAGTGAAGATGTTTTTTTGTTACTGAGAAAGGAAACATCGTAGCACTTTTTTTGTCTAGTTTTATCAAAATGTGAATTTTGTGGAAAAATTATTTCGGCCTCATAAAAATCCAAAAAAATTTATTTCCTTTTCTGACAAGCCTGTCATTTTTTTCCCCTAGAAACGAGAAGAATCAAACGAAACCTGGTGCTCCAACTTGTCATTCAAATCCCGAATGCACGTCGTTTCTCTTTGAGCGCTCATATATCGACTCTCCAAGGTATTTATTCGCGTTTCCTGGTCGTTTCTTTGGGCTTCGAGCTGAAAAAAGTGGAGATGAAGAAGAAACGTAAAATAGGAGAAAGAAAAGGCTTACCTCACTAATCTGATTTTTCAGCTTAGTAACTTGCTCCTGAGCCGCATGCATCTCTTTTTGGGAGGATGTCAGTTGGTTTTCAATTTCCGTGTTTCTGGAAAAAATTGATGAAGTCGCGATCTTCCGGAAATTGGGATATATAGGTGTTGATATCAAATATTAAAAAAAAATAATTTTTTCCGTATTTCAGCATTTTAAATTTTTTCGTTGCTACAAAAGGCGTCCAAGACTTTGAGTAAACGAATTTAAAAAATGATGAATTCATTTTTTCTTTTTTGGTTTTGAATTTTTTCTTCTCTAAGTAATGGTAAATGGAGTACATTGAAAAAAATCCTTTCTACGAAAAATAAATATTTTTCATACCTGGCGCCAAGTTCCGCCGACTGCTTCAAGGTGTTGGCCAGCTCCGTTTTCAGCTTCTCCAGCGCTTCTTGCATCTCGATCAATCTGTTGGCGCTTTCCGCACTCATTGCCCCATTTGTCTTGATGCCTTTGGCCTAAAAAGAAATAAAAAATTAAAGGATTAAAAATCAAAAAGTAAAAATCTCACCTGAGCTTCTTCAGCTTCTGCAGCAAACGTGGCGATCCGCGCTTTGAGCGATGAATTTTCCTCGCCTTTGCTGCTCAACTCTTCTTCGAGAGTCGCAACCCGTTCCATGGCAACTCGTAATCTTTCTCTAACCTGTGAAAAAGAGAGGCGTGAAATTTGTTGAATGCGTTGCTGGATAGAGAATAAAAAAATCTAAAAAAAGATGAAATGGTGTCCAACTTGAACTTTGAACATATCTAAAAATTAAGAAAATTTCTAAAAAAATGATAAAAATTCAGCCTTTCATCGAAAAAAAGACTATCCTGAGGCAACAAAGATAAAAAAATAAGGATTTTTAAAACTTTTTTTCGGAATGAAGCCAAAGCAGCGACTGCAACAAAAAAATGATGATTTTTTTCTAAACTTTTGATATTACTTATTTTTCAGTTTTCTAATTGCTTCACCTCGGAATTCACCTAAGCTTGAAACAAAAAAATCAGCCTGTACGATTTTCTCGAAACTAAAGCGACATTTTCAAAAGTTCCAGATTTTTATGAATTGCTCACCTTCTCATCTAGGGCTTTGTGGTGCTCAAAAAGGCTTTTCAAGGCTTTCAGGACTTCGACTTCTGACGAAACTCCTGCCGGACTCTGCGCTACTCGTTTCATAATCGTGACCCTCAGAGATCTTTCGTGTCGGGAAACAAGGCATTCCAGATGTTCAAGTAATAATCTGGTGTTGTTCCTCTCTGCCTGAAAAACTTTTTCTTGGTAAAAGGAAAAGTATTCAAAAGAAAAAAACATTTTTTAATTAATAAAAAAAGTGAACAAAAAAAAGATACCTTTAATTCAACAATTTCTTCATCCTTCTCCAAAAGTTGTTCTCGGATCTGCACGAGCTCTCGCGTCATCACTTGAACTTCCTGAAATTTTAAAATTGTGCCCTACTTGATGTCCTTCTAAAAAAATTGATTGATTTTTTTCAGCTTTTTCCCGTTTTTTTCCTCATGATAGTCCAGTTTACAAATGTATTTAGTTCAACAATAAATAATGAAAAAAATAATCTAAATACTTCTAGCTGGAAAAAAAGTTTCTCAAGAAAAAAACAGAAACTCTACAAGCTATAAAAAAAGTACCGATTTGATGTCTGAGGCGTGAAGAGGCACTGCTGGAGCAGTCATCGCTCATTGCCCTCAATGGGCGCGGAATATCTCGGATTTTCCTGACCGATGTCTTTTTTTCAGCTCTCTAATGTCAGAGGAAGAAGCGAACGCAAGAAAAAACGTGGAATCAAAGAAAGGAATACCAGGTAATGTACGAAAAAGGAATAGCTTTTTATTGCTTTAGCAGATTTGTAGCAAAAGACACGGAGAAAAAAAAATTTTAGGTCTCCACTAAAAATATCGCAGCCATCCTTCACTTTGCATCTCATTTCTCAGCTTTTTTCTCGGACAATGAATTGATTTTTCTCGAAAACTGTGCCTAGAGCTTGGAAGATTTTTAATGATATTTTTATTTCAAATTAAAATAGTCAATTAATTCCTACATCTACTGAGAGAATCGGAAGAATTTGACTGAAAACATTTTTGTAAAGATATGTAGAAAACAGCTTTTGAATCTACTCTGGTCAAGGGATATAACGAATTTTTCCTTCAATTTGCAAGGTTTCGGGAGAAAAAAAAAGTTTTTAGGAACTTGAGAATTTCCCAATTCAAACCAATTATGATTGAAAATGGAAACCTTGCGCTTTAAGATTTACGTTATGAATAACTTTTCAAATAGTTATTTAGTTTTTAGTTAAAACTGAGCTGAACATAATGTATATGGTTTGAAACAGGAATGTGTGGACATGGCATTTTAATGTTGTACCTACTCTGGTCTACTAATTGAATTAGTTTTCCTTCATGGCGACCAGTTTGGGATTGAAAAAAATGTGGTAATAAATTTCAAATAAACAAGATAATTGCATTCTAATTGCAAGGATGTGAAGCTTCCTAATAGAAATGTCAATTTTTAGAAAACATACAAATAAATTGACATACTTGGTATACTATTGAGAAGATGTTCGCTTCAAGTTTTGAATATTTGAAAAAGTTTTTGGAACTCTCAAACTTCAGAAGGTTCAGATAAAAAGGTTTAACATTCCGACAAGAAGAAAGATTGAGGATCAAAAACAAAAACAAAAATAAAGAAAAGGGTGCGGCTCCAGACAAGCGGCGTCAATAGTGAAGCGCGACCTAATAAGACGTGTAGCATGGATGGGAGCACTTACCCTAGTCGATTCTGCTTCTGGCCTTTCTGAGGCCGCGCTGTGTTTTTTTTTCCTTCTTCCTTCCTTCCTTTTCTTTTTTGGCCTTCGCTCGCCAGCTCAGCCCACTGGGGTTGAAATCGCGTTTTGATAAGAGGGTCTGGAGCCGCCTTTTCGAGGGCTTTTGTTGTCCAAAACAAGCGTCTTCTAACAGCTTTTGCATTTGAAGGATTGGTTTTCTAGGTTTTGTGTAAATGGATTTTGCTTTCAAAGAAGGTCTGGTAGGCAAAAAATAGATTTTGGAAGTTTTCAAATGTCTCTCTTATTTTGTCAGGAACTGGGAAAAATAATGATTTTTTTTCTCTATTTTTCGCATGAGTATTATCTAACATATTTATCGATTCAATTTCAGAATTTGAAAATTAATATTATTCAAGAAGATTTTTTTGGATGAAAATTGAAGAAAAAAAGAAAAAAATTGTATCCACCCCCCTCCATAAGGATATGAGCTGAGAATCCACAATCTTGAGTAGAAAACTGTTCATTTTTCATTGAAAAAAACAATCATTTGAATATTTCTTAACATTCCTTAATCATCAAGCTCATCTATCCCTTAAAAAAAGAAAAAAATTTCATTCTTCAAGACCTTGCAATTTTAAAATAATGAAAAAAATTGATAAAATACTCACGTTAGGAAGGTGATGAGTGTGGACTTCAATTTGTCGTCTCAAATTTTCTCTTTCTCGTTCGACTTCTCGTGTTTTGGCCATCGAATCGTCGAGCTGCATTTTGTACTGCTCCAGTTGCTCTTGCAGTTTGTCCCGGTCTTCCAGCATGTTCACCATTAACTGAAAATGAATCATTCACGTAGTTTTGATACCGAAAAGTTATTTATGGTGTGTTTTATGAGATAAGTTGGTTCACTGTGAGCTTTTTTTGAAACGGGAAAAAAATTCTCCTCATGTTATGATTTCCGTTCGAATTGATATTATATATTCCAATTTTTCAGTGTATAGAAAAAAACGCAAAAAAAGTATTACTAGAAAAAAACAAAAAAAGTCCAAAATGTATCAAAAATTGAACGCCCATACGCTGAACATCTAAGCAACCTAAGTGGAGAACCAAATTTTGGAAAATCAAAAAAAAAACACAACAACGGAAAAAGCTCATCTTTCCCGGAAAAAGGCATCTCTAGGAAAGAAACTGGAGACGCTTCCAAATCGACGAGAAAATGGTGCCATAAACCAAAAACCTTGTTGATTTGACTTTATTGAGAGCTGATTTCTCGCTTTTTCTCACGCAAATACTTTCAGTTTGGGGTTCCATGGGAAAAATTGATTAAGGTGTAGTTGGATGATAAAAAATTTCTGAAAAGTTTCCCGAATGCCGCTTTTTTTCGTCTGATGATGGATTGAATTCAAACAAGGGAGAAAAAAAGATGATTTGGGATTAATATCAATAAAATTTCAAAATAGGTGACTTTACCGTTTTTGCTGTGAGTTCTTAAAAAAACGCTTTCTAGACAGAAAAAAAAAAAAAATATTGAGAAATGAAAAAAAGCTGAAAAATGATCTAACCTGTTCGATATTGGCGTCGTGGGTGGCCTGCTCGTCAATGGGATGGTCGACGCCATCTTCCGTGATTGTGGGCATCACGTCGCACATCATTGTGCCGTTGCTCCAACTCATATCGCCTGAATATTTTCTTTGAAAACAAAAAAAATTTCGAAAAAAATAAAATATAGGTCATCAAGTTAAAGTTTAAACCAAATATGGCTTCTTCTAAGAAAAAAATGAATTTTTTTAAAATTTAAATTTCCACAAAATTCAGGCGGAATTCAAAAAGTCTGCGCAAAAAATGCTTTATCCTGCAGTCGAAGAGCTTAAAAAGCCTTTTTCCAATAAGAAATTGTTCGAAATTCACACTTTCAATCATTCAGAAACTAATTTATTTTTTTTTCTTTAGAGAAAAAATCCAATTTTAAATTCCAGGACTTACAATTTATCAATCGGAGTTTAGGATGCAATTTTTTTTTGTTCTACTTTTTAATTAGTTTACTATTTGATCTCAAAACCTTTAGTTGGTAAAGCTTATAAATATCCACTTTAAACATTGAAAAATAACTTTTCGAGCACCTAAACCAGTTATCCCCAAAAAAAATCGGCGGCATTTGTAAAAACATATCTTTTTTTCTCAAGGCAAACAGAAGCCAAACGATACTAATGAAGTGCAAACGGGCGAAGATAAAATATGTGCGCCGAGGTAATAGAAAAGAAGGGAAGAACAGGAGGAAAAGAACGAGTAAGTGGCCCTCGCCAGTGGAGGGACGTTTTTGCTTTAAACTCGACTCGAACCGAGTGAAAAGTACGGCGTGAAAAGCAATGAAAGCAATTTTTGACAGAAAAAAAGGCTCTGAGCGTCGTGAGAATTTCAGGTACAAGATGACCATGAGTTTTTTGGCTTTGAACATGAGATCACTGTTCCAAAAATGGTAACCTAATATAAACAATTTTCAATTATTCTTTGATATTTTGTAACTCGACGAATAATGGTGTTGTCCATTTTCTTCATAGTCCAAACTTTTCGAACTAAATTTTTCTATACATCACTCAGAGAAAAACTACAGTAATACTAATAAAAACTTGCAACCCTACTTCCAAAAACATTTGATCAAAAAAAATTTGTCAGAGACGCTCCTTTTGTGGAAGACGTTTTTTTTCCTTTCTTAAAACACCTCCATACATTGCAAATGCTATGGTGTTCCTGCGGCGCCCTTTCCCTCAAAAAGTCCTTTTGAAAAAATATGTCGTCATCGTGTCCGCATTTAGAATGGGTAGAAGTTAGGGAATAAAACTTCAAATTGAAACTTGGAAGGAAAGTTCTTTGGGAGAGATTTCTGTTTCATTACCGGACTATACTGCCCATCCGCCTTAAAAGCTCAAAAATGACTTCTAGGCGTTTAATTATAATGTTTAGAACCGGCAATATCAAAAAACGCAAATTTCCTCTAACACTCTTCGAAAAAAAAAGTTTTTACCTAAAGCGATCCACGGCTATTTTTATAATTCGGCTCAATTCATGATTGCCTGGACCCAATGAAACGGCTCTTCTGGTAGTGAACCCTGAAAAGAAATCAATTATTACGAAGGTACCAGAAAATATGAAAATGAACATGAGAGGCGGAGGGGAGAATTCAGGAAATATCGGAAGAGATCAGGTTACATCATGCAGCTCCAGAATTCATCCAAGAGAATTTACAGAGGAACACAATTTTTCTGGAAGGCTCTTTTAGAAATAATTGTAGAGCTTTAACAAAAAATTAGATGCTTTAAAAAAGGTTCTGAATTTTTAGGGATTTTGATTTCCTCCGAAGAACTCAAAATTTATCTTTCTGAAACTCGGCCAAGAATAGAAGCGACTGAAAAAAAACACTGAAATGTTGAGTAGTGCATGTGAGAATGCGCAGACGAGACCCTCCTTTTTTGGGGGCCAAATGGAAACGGAGAAAGAGCCATCCATTATGTTAAAATAAATGAGCGAACCGGCAACATTCGGGAAAACGGCAAATTAGGGGGGCCTAGAAGAGGTGGACAAGTGAGAAGAAGGAGGACAGACTTTTTGCCGAATTTTAGATTATTTACTTTGAGAGAGAGAGGCGTGAAAATACTTGCCAAAGCTCTCTTGAGTGTTCAAAGTTTGAAGGAAAACTTGAGAACTTTCAAAACTACTTTTAAAAGCAAGTTAAAATATGGGTTCCTTGCATTTTAGGCTTTGAAAATCTGATTGCCCCTTGTTTCCAAATTTTGAGAAAAACTGAAAAAGTTTGGCGCTCTAAATTGTAAAAACTTGAAAATTGTCAACTTTCGAGTTTTTTGTAGAATGAGAAAAGCTAATATTAAGGCTTGATTTCCACTCTAATCCTCTCTAATACATCTGAATCAGCAAAGTTTCAACGAATTAAGCCGAAGATTATGAAAAGATTTATTTTCCAATAACTTCCTTTATGTTAACCCAATCCTCGCAAAGCTTTTTCTTTGAAGATGAGCAAGTTTTTGGAAAAAACTATTACTCTAGATCAAAAACTTAACTTTTGAAGATTCTGAAGAATCTGAAACTTCTCATTAACATTATTTTCCTTTGACTATTCATTCTATTGGAGAAAGTTTCCGCTGTTTTCAAGGGGTTAAAAACGTAAAAAAAGTTGATAACTTAGCTCAAAAGGCATAATTTTTTTAGCAGAATTATATTCAAAAAGGAAAAAAATTTGAATGTAAAGACAAAAATATTAAAAAAAAATTTTGCCTTTTTATAAGTTTTTTTGCTTTATTTCAAGTGCAACTTTGTTTTTTTAAAACAACGGTAAGATTTCAAAAGCTCGACTTTTTCGAGCCAGTTTTGTTTCAAGAGTAAAAAAACATTGAAATCTGTTTCAGAGAGAAATTTCTTACCTGACCGAGAACAGATATTAGAAAAATTAAGAAGCTCCTGGACTGCTTCAAGAAGTTCGTCAATATTTAAGACAAAAAAGAACATTTTAGATCTTTAGCCATCAACTTAACAGAAGAAACAAGAAAATCGAAGGCTGTAGAAGCCGTGTGGGAAAGACAAGAAAAGCGAGAGGTGGGTGGACGGCGGAGAGTCCGCTGGGTGTACGAGTGTAAATCCAGACAAATGCGTTCATTCGGGATGCGAGGCTTGGAGCTCCGATTGGGGTCGGCCGTGGCGTACGCGCCTGGGTTAGAACCACCCGAGTTACACATAGACTGGTCACTACTTCTCAGCTCTACGATGCTGCGAACGTTCAGAGGAACGCCTATAATGAAAAGAATCAGATAATTTCCTCCAAAAACACCTTCAAAGATGACCTTGCTGTTTCGGTGGTCAAGTGCAAAAAAAAGCAGAATATGAAGAATTTTGTTATTTTTTTCCAATTTTTCCACGTTTTCTGTAATCCTTTTGATTACAGAAAAGATCAAAAGCCTGAGAATGAATTGTACTTGAAGCTTGAAAAAAGTGAAAAAGCAGGATAGGAGGGAGCTTAACTTTCCTGTTTCAGGGGCAGTCTCTAGCTTTGGTGATTTTCCAAAACCAAAAAAAAAATTGATGAATTTTTGTTGTCTTAAAGCTCATGCACTGTTTCAATAGCCAGTTCGCATCAACTGCTACAACTGATGCTTTTTGCTTCAAAAAAAAAATGGAAAAGATCGATCATTTCAAGTTTTTATGAATTGATTTTATGTTTCAGCATTTAGTTTGGATGTTTGAGGTCAAGAAAAAGCAGACTTTTGATTATGAATTTGCTGTTCCAATTATTCCTTGATCTTTAAGTCAACTTTCTCGTGATAATAATAAATTAATATTCTACTGTCATATGACCAATTAATGTAGTTGTTAGTTTAAGGTTCATGAATGAAATTCTCTAATCAAAAAAATCTTATAAAAAAAAGGATAACGAGCAAGTCAAGTGAGAATTACAGTAAACGAATTTTTTATAATAATATATTCTCATGGCTTTCATAATAGTGAAGAAATGAATGTTTCAGTAAGGTGGAACTATTGTGTTGTTGCGCATTTCAACACGCGGGAAGTGACCAGAAGTGGAAAAAAAATTGGAGTAGATGAGGCGGAAACTCGGAAATGCGCGAAAAAACGAAGTGTCAAAAAATGAATGAAGCTCTCTAGTTTGATTCGTAAAAAAAGGAACAATCCAAAGTTTTAATGAAGCTTTGTATTCAGAAAACCAAATATTACGGGTTTAAAAAAACGTCAAAAGGAATGCTCGAAATTCTACTACAACTGGAGAACAAAGATAATTCAAAATTTTTAAACGATACATCACATTTCAATTTTTAAAGTTTGATTTTAAAAACAAAAAAACTAGACAAAAAAACAGTATGAAGGTTCAAAAAAATGAGAGAAAATAAATATAGGGCTGTTTTTAAAAAGATTTTTGATCCAATTTTTTTATTTCCTACATTTCATATTGGAGATCTGATTTGATGATAATAAAATCAAAAAAATCAAAGAAAAAAGATGTGAGGCAAATTTTAAAAATTTTAACCCAGTTTTTAAAGGATTCCAAGCACTACTACGACTGGATCACACATTTCATATCTAATGTTTTATTTGAGAGGCAGAAGACCAGAAAAAACGCTTTAAAAGGTTCAAAAATAAGAGAAAAGAATGTGAGGGAAATTTAAACGATTTTGACCCAGTTTTTAAAGGATTTCAGGCGCTACTACTACGACTGGACCCCAACTGGACACGAGAGAGAGACACAACACGCTCGAGAATCGATGGTTCCGACGGACGGACGGACGGATGGACGGAGGAATTGGTGCGTGTGGTGAAAGGAGAGCGTGAGAGGAGGCGGCAAAAAGAGAGGGTGGATAGCTGGACGGAAGCGGGTACAGCGAATGAACCCCTCCAACCAGTGGTCGGAACAGAGACAAGAAGAGCAGCAGCAGCCTTTTTTCCTCGTCATTTTCTGTTCTGTCGCAATCTGCCTTTTAGGACAATTGAGCCACCCATTATTTGTTCTCTCTCCAAACAGCCTATTAGAGTCGAGAAAACTCGCCTTCTTTTTGTTGAATTTGCCACAAGTCCGCTGGGACTTCCGTTGGAGTTCTTGGCAATGAGATTCAAATCGAAAGATGAGTTAGGCGATAATCTACATCAAATAAAAAGCCAAGAAACACATAAATTTTTGAAAAAGTTCATTAAATCCACTATGAACCATTTACTATATTCATTGCTAGTTTGGGGCAAAAATATTACAGAAATGTCTGAAAATATTCTGAAGTCATCAAAAAAGCTTCACTTCATATTTTAATCTTGGTCGCATTTGAAATGGTTCAGTGCATTGTGGTTAGGCGCAAACCGTTTTTGGTCGGGTCGATTTGAAGCCGTTTTATTTCAAGGGAACCTCAATTGAAGAGATGCACTTTAAATCGAGTTGAATCAAAGTTCAGCGATAATTATACTCCACCAGAGTTCAGCTCAGAGTTCAGCAGCAATTATAGTTTACACGACATGGGCTCTAATTGATGCTCGCATTTAGAAAATTAGAGCGTAACGGCTGTAGAAGGGATGAGTGTCCATGGAAAATGACGAAAATCTTTGTTTCCTACGAAAAATTAGAAGTTTTGCTAAAACAGTTCTTAAATCGACTTGCAGTGGCCGCAGTCAAAATGACCTGCTCATCGCAGATTGAAAGATATCAAGTCAAAAATTTAGTTTCAATTGCATTTTGATACATTTCCTCCCAGCTCAAGTCGTATCAGGTCGGAAGTTCCAAGCTTAACTACGATAGATTCCGAATAGGAGCTTTTGGAAAAAAAAACGCCACAGGAAAATATGAAATCGAGGAAAACAAAAATGATCTCGGATATATGAACTCAATTTTTGAAAAAGAATTGAAATACTTTCAATCCAATAAAAGAACCAGAAAAACAAAGTGAACATCAAACCACTTCTTTATTTGACTTCTCACAGTTTTTCTTAAGGATGAGGCGGCGGGACAAGCAGCGAATGTAGCCTAAGTTGTTTACCGAGGGATGCGAAAGCACCTGGCCGCCGGCCAAAACTCTCGAAAAGCTACTCGCCGCCAGGGTCAGCTTCCTACTTTCTCTCAAGACGATTACAATCAACCTTTTTCTAAAAAAAAGTTGGCGTTCCATATAGCCCCTTGAGATCAAATGACGAGAAAGGAGAAAATAAATAACACATCTCAGGTGCAGTCGTTTAGGCAACGAGAAATGAGTTATGTTATTGCCAGTTGACTTCTCAGCTGCTGTTCCTGAAAATTGCGGGGGCAAAGGCACTAAAGAACGGGACATTAGAGTAATCGAGCGTGACACGAGCCAATCTAGAACCTTGGAGGTTGTAGAACAGCTTTTCGTGTTCGAGTAGCAGTTTTCCCAGGTTTGCGGGTTTTTTTGAGGAAAGAAATTGTGGAAGTGGTAGGGATTCAAAAATTGAAGAGCAGCTCTAGGGAAATCTTTGTTTCATCTGTATAACAATAAGAAAAATCCCAGACATCACGAAGGTTACTTACTCAATTATCCAAAGGTAATGAAATCTCTGAATAAATGAAACTCTATCTATGGGACGAAAATTAAAACAAGCTTTTTCTGAAGCTCTTATTAGAAAGTTACAAAAACTCTACATTTTTTGGAGAGCTGGTATAAAAAAATGGGTTGTTATTCACGCTTCTGCATTCCTTTTCATCGCCTGACCGCTTTCCTCCTCCCAAAAACTGAGAAAACAAATAAATGCGCATTCAACGAAGCTCTAATTGCTGGATCTATAAAACTCTTTGTTTTTAGTAAGGGAAAAAAGGAACGTCTTGTAATCGGCTTTTGAGCAAACCAGGCGGTTCAAAATGAACATTTTTCGAATTTCTGTAAACAATTCAGTGATTCCGTGAGCAGAGACCCTACTTCAAGAAAGAAATAAAATAATGAAACAATAAAAAAATCTAATAAGAATAGATTCAAGAAGTAAATTGTTCCCGCGCGCGTTTTTGTGTCCAATGGAGCGCGATTTCCCTTCTTTGTTTCTCCTTTTCAGATCTGTTACTAGTTTTTTACTCTAGTTTTTATAAGGTGATTCTTGATCAATAAATAGTTTTGAATGATTCCAAAGCAGCTTCGGATCCTGCTCTGTCTCGAAAATTAAGTTTCCTGCCGAATTTTTTTGGTTATGATCCAAAAACTTCCCGCTTTTGTAAAGCGAACATTTTTTTGCTCCCTTGCTTCCGTTTTGATTTTATTTAGTTGATTATAGAGCTACTTTCAATCAGCCAGTCTTATGTATTCAATTCAAGCTTCTAAGCTAAATAACCCATAATAAGTTACTTGTGGATTTTTTTTTCATTGAGACCAAAACTGCTCCCATGAAATTTTTCATCACTTTTTCAAGAAGTTATAATTTCACCTTTACGATTATAAAAATCCAAGCGATTATCATACATTTGAACGAGAAGCGACAACGAAAGAGGCGAAAAAAGGGACGTTATGTGGAGATGGCATAATTCAACGCTTTTGACGAGGTTCTAACGTTGATCAATGATTTTTCTGAATTAAACAAGTCTTGCGTATTGCACAGGTTGGCTGGTTTTGATTTGAGAAGTTGTGGAGGCTGAAGATCGACGGTCTTGGGTCAAACTTTTCGTGCTGGTGCGAGTTGTCTGAATTCCCGTCGGGACCAGAAGAGGCGCTTCTTTCGTTGTCACTTTGCCGTTTTCCAGGATCTTCCGGTATCTCGCGATTTGTTCGGCTAGGGACTGGAATTTTTTTGTCATCATATCAGAATAATATCAGGTTTTTTTTTCGAACTGTATAAACTCACAACGTTCAAACTGCAGAGTCTCTCGATTTCGGCGATAATGTTTTCGCATTCATCTTTGATTTGTTGAGCTGCCTGTCCCTTTGCGAACAGAGTTTCCTTTTGCATTATCAGATCTTGTTCATAGTGAAGTTTGTCCTCCAGGTACTTGTACTCCAGGAGCAAGAACTTCAAAAAAACCTGTTTTACATATGAAAAATTGTTTACCTTTTCTTCCAAAGCGGCTATCTTGGAGATAAGAATAGTGTATTCATCCCTCAGTTTTGGAAGCTGGTCTTTATAATCGTCGATCTTGAACTTGACATTGGACGACTTGATGATGATGTCGATGAACTGCATGTACTTGTCTTCAATCTCGATGTAGTTCTTCTCAATTGCCTGTAATCTTTTTTAGAATCATAACGAATAACTCTTGTATACCTTCAAGCAATCGGCCCTGATTTGCTCCAGAGCTGCCCTGATTTCATCGTGGAAGAACTTGCGGTCACTTTCGTCTCTCTTCCTCTGTTGATAGACGATCTCTTTCTGGATGACCTTAACTTCAATTTTTAAAAGCTGTATCCATAGTAGAAAACTAACAACATCGGTCTCCTGGATCAAGGTGTTCACCTCCTGCAGAAGGCTCGAAACGCGTGTCTTGCTCTCAGCGCTGTTCAATCGAGCGTCCTCCAATTCCTTAACTTTTTCTTCAAAACATTGACTTCAGGATTTCCACAAACCCTTCGCAAGTTCTTGATTTTGTTGCGCAAATCTTCGTTCTCCCGTTTCAGCCGGTCGGCAGTTTCCTTGCTAATTTTTGTGAGATTAGAAAATTGAGCAATTTCTCCAGTGATCCTTCCGTGATCCCTCCCATAGTTATCGATTTCAGCCCGGAGTTTTGGCAGATTCCGATTCCAGTCATTCCATTTGCCTTTCCATTCGTCTAGCTCTTTCAAGAGCAAGGCTACATCTCCGGAAACTTTCTGTCCTCTCGCGAGGACTTCGACAAGGCCAAAGTCGATCATCTTAAAATATGAATTTCCAGGGATTTTGAGCTTCAGGTTTTTAAAGCTATTTTTCACATTTCCAGGTTCCCTCAATTTTAAAAAATCGTTTATCACTTAAAAAATCTGTTTTTTTGTTTTTAAAATGATTGATGAAATTTTTTGCAATAGCCCATTCCAACATACCTCCACATTCTCAAATGGATTCTTCTCGATTTGACGATCCACCGGAGCTTCGGCAAAATATTGCTTGAGAGCATCAATATCATTTTTCAGAATCTTGTTCTGCGCCTCGAGGTAGCGTGACTTAAAACATTATATTTATGTGACCATAATTTCCGACTACGACCTCTTCGATGTAAGCAACAAGGCTGTTGTTCAGGAATTCCAGGCTGCGTCTCTCGTTTTCGCGAGCTCCTCTCAAATCGGTGCTCAAGCCGGAGCTGCCAGACATCCCAGAATCAATTGGTGGTCCTTCGTATGCTTGAAAATGAAAGGGTTTTTTTGATGCTGTAAGTAGTTTCTGGTCGGCCGCACTAGGACAAACCGCAATACAATGATTCATGTAGTGAAGGTTCAAATGGTAAAAAAAAAATAATAAAATAAAAGTTTTCCCGCATGAGCGTGGTCTCTGATTCATTCTTATCTTCTGTTGACCATGTGATCAAAACCCAAACCTTTGTAGCCACCAACAGGAGTCGAGGTTCTCACCGAGCTGAAAATGATTGACTTTTCAACAAATGAATAAAAACTTACTGAGTAGAAGAGGCGCGGTAATGATGGGTGGTACGAACGTAGTGACCGTCCTGAAAATTAATTTTTTTGGATGAAAGTGAACATTTTGAACTTGTCCATCGATATATGGGATGTTAGAATCACGACCCTAAATTCTAAAACTAAAATGATTCTGGAAAGAATCTCACCAGATCGACTGATTCCGCCACGCTTCCGTATTCCGACATTTTTGTTTGAATCGAACTGGAAAAAAAGAATATTACATAATTCAGAGTAATTTGGAAGTTTACGGTCGCATTTGGAACTGCTCAAGTAGCGAAGCGGTTGCTTTAAAAGGCGAAACAATTTGCATTTTGGTTTAAAAACGCAACACGTCAGTGACGCTTCAAGCTATTCCACATGGAACCGAATTACTTCAAAGAGAGATGAAGGAAAACTATTGATGCAGTTTTCCCTTGAGAAAAAGAGAATACAGGTAAAGATAGAAGCAAAAAAAAGAGCGAAAAAAAACTTTGAGGCGAGGAAAATATTAGAAAGAAAAACGGTCTTATCAATTCCAACACAAATATTTATACTCACCCGCGTCTTGCCGTGTTGTTGTGTCATTCTCATTTTTTGACAGCTCTCGTTAGATTAAAAGGTAAAACTCTTAGAAGACGCGCTAAACCTAGAAGAATACCTAAGTTTAATATCGCTAGTTTTTTTACAAATGCTGAGAGAACATTCAACATCAATGAAATAAGGTTCTGAACGATTTTATTATTGTCACCAAAACAAAGCACTAAAAAAAATGTAAAATAATACTCCAAACACTGCTATCTTAAGAAAAAATATACCGGGTGGGCATAAATATTGCACGGACTTTTCGATCATTCCAACTTTCTTTTTTGCCAATGGAATTTCAATCTGTTTTTTTTTTGTTTTTCACTTTGCAAACCGTCGCTGGTTCTTCCACTAAGATTTTAGGTCGAGCTGCAAGTCCAGAGCTGAGCAAGCCTCGTGCGAGTCCAATCTGCCCGATTTCAACACGGTCAAGGAATGGACCGGCTACTCACCAGATTCGAATCCCTTGACAATTCTGCATATTTATATTTGAAGTTGAAGGCCTGGACAAAACTCTATTTCAACTGGGACATGCTGATTGTCTCCATAATCGAGAATGGATGACAAGATCGATCTGTGTCCAAGGGTTGAATATTTTTTCGAGGCCAATGAAAGTCAGAGCGAAAGTTGAATTATATGTGCTAACTTGGATACTTTGCCGATAAAAAAATTCAAACAATCTTGTCTGAATCCGTTCTGTTGAATATGTGAATTGATAGTGATCAAATGATAGATCACGTGAGAGATATCCCAACTAAGAGTATAAAAGAAGTCGGGAACTCAGATCATCAATCACTCGTACCGCCCCCGTTTCGCCTCCAGCCTCGCCGTCGCTTCAAGCCTCGGACTGACGACTTCTCTCCTCAACTTCATCTTACCACACCTAGTTAATAAAACTATTGTGGGGTACTCTTCTTTCTGATAACGCACAAGATACATTAAAGTGGCGATCAGTAAGCGGACTAACTAAATAAAAGAAAGAAATAATGACGGAAAACCCTGTTGTGTCATCAAACTCATACCTGACGAAAGGACCCGGTGCCTACGTACCGGGCACGTCATGGGAAATATATGAGAAGATGTTCAACAATTTTCTGAAGATGCGTAAAGTAACTGTTGATACGGAAAAAGCGTGCATATTAGTATGCGAAATAGGTGTCACAGTTTACGCAGAAATAGAATCCCTGTCTGATAAACCTATAGAAAATCTGTCGTACGACGAGTTGATAATTTTGCTCAGGAAGCGTTACATGCCAAAGAAATTGACGCTGGCAGAAAGAGTGAAGTTATTAAACATTGTCCAAACAGAGGGTCAAACAGCAGAGGAATTCTATACGGAATTAAGAAAGATCGCAACCCACTGCGAATTTGACAAAGTAACAAATGTATTAGATATGATGGTTACAATGTTATTCGTAAGAGGGTTGAGAGAGGAAAAGGTCAGAGCGCAGTTGTTGAACAAAGTTAAGCTTACGGGACCGGAAGCACTCGAAGAGGTGGCTGTGTTAGCAGCCGCGAAAAAAGAGAGCCAAAAGATGACTAAAAATAATGCCACAGTAAAACATTCACTTCTCACGGTTAGTCAACCGGTAAGACGAGATGGCCAATACAAAGATAAGGCTAAAATGAAGTGTTTTACATGTGGAAAATTAGGTCATATGTCCAGAGATTGCTATAGAAACAAAAAGTCAAGCAGTCAACATAGTAAATCACGTTCCAAAATGCAAGGAAACCATAAAAGAAAACATTTCCAAAGTAAAAAATCACACTATGTCACTAATGATCGAGAATACGACAGTGAATCAGTGGATTTCGTAAATTTAGCGGAAATGGAAAATGTGGTTAATGCCATTTATCCGGCATGCATGGTACCTATAAAAGTAGACGGTACGAACGTTGATTTTGAACTGGACACCGGCGCTTCAATGAGTATAATTGGTATCTCACAGTGGGAACTTCTGGGAAAACCAAGACTCACACCCGTTGCGTATACCGCGAAGGCTTACGGGAACTCTCGAATTGAATTCAAAGGAAAGTTCAGTTCGTGGGTTGAGTTCGAGAATAAGAAAGCGCACGTAACACTGCATGTGTTAAACACCAAGGCCGTTTCTCTCTGTGGCAGAGACCTAATATGCCAATTAGGACTCGATGTCACAAAACTGTTAAGAAATCTGGTAAATGAAATGCCTAAGATAAACTCTGTTCAAGAGGTTGAGGCAGTGTTAACTGATTACCAAGAGATTTTCGAAGACGGCCTGGGTACGTGCACAAAAGTCAAAGCAAAATTACATGTGAAACAGGGGGCAATGCCAAAATTTTGTAAAGCCCGACCAATCGCATTTGCTTTGAAACCACAGGTTGAGGCAAATATCGACGAAATGGTACAGAAAGGAATCTTAGTACCAGTCGAACATGCAGAATGGGCCTCAGCTGTGGTGGTGGTTCCGAAACCAGGGGGTAAAGTAAGAATCTGTGGAGATTTTAAACAGACCATAAACCCCTGGCTGGACGTGAACCAGTACCCGCTTCCGAAACCGGAAGAGTTATTTCATGCACTAAATGGTGGACAGAAATTCTCAAAGATCGATCTGAAAGATGCCTATCTGCAGTTGGAATTGGAGGAAGAATCTAAACAGTATCTGATATTGAATACATTGAAAGGACTGTTTAGATATGAAAGACTTCCTTTTGGCGTAGCATCGGCCCCTGCAATATTCCAGAAAACAATGGAAACGATGTTGCAGGGGGTTCCCGGAGTTATAGTCTATCTGGACGATATCACTATAACCGCGCCATCCGACGAAGAGCACATAAAACGATTAAGAGAAGTGCTGAAGAGAATTAAGGACTATGGTTTTCGGGTGAAGAAAGAGAAATGCGAATTTCTCAAACCGGAAATAGAATACCTGGGACATATAGTAAACGCCGAAGGCGTAAAAACGTCCTCAAAAAAGGCAGAAGCCATAGTCAAGATGCCACCACCAAAGAACTTGAAGGAATTACAGTCGTTCTTAGGCATGATAACTTATTACGGGAAGTATATACCAAACCTGTCATCTGAAAGTGCACCGTTGAATCGGTTGCGACAAAATGATGCTGAGTGGGTTTGGGGAGAAAGGAGCAGATGGCCATAGATAAAATAAAGAAAATACTGGTAGACAGTGGAACACTGGCACACTACGACCCTACAGAGCAGATAGTGCTCGCGACGGACGCGTCGGATTACGGGCTAGGTGCAGTGATATACCACAAGTACCGTGATGGTACAGAGAAAGTGATAGCGTACGCATCTAGAACTCTCACCGGATCCGAGAAGAATTATGCGCAAATTGAGAAAGAAGCGTTGGGCATTATCTATGGCATTGAAAAATTTAACCAGTATTTGTACGGAAGGAAGTTCCTCCTGTTTACCGATCATAAACCGCTCCTAAAGATTTTCGGTCCGAAGGAAGGATTGCCGGTGGTTGCAGCAAAAAGACTGCAACGCTGGGCATTAAAGCTGATGACATACAGCTACGAAATAGAATACCGAAACACAGAGAAGTTCGGTAACGCTGACGGATTATCAAGGTTGCCCAACCCAGACGAGAGAGTGTCTGAAGATAGTCAGCAAGTAGAAGGCGAAATACTCGCTCTACACGAAGAAGCCATAGCAGGATTACCTGTAACGGCTGAAGAAATAGCTAAAGAAGTAGCTAAGGATTCTGCACTGCAGAAAATTTTGCCTTATGTGCAAGGTAGAAAAACCGTGGCCAGAAAAAGTGCACGGACGAAGCGCTAAAAACCTTACTGGAGAGTAAAGGATTCGTTAACCTTGCACGAAGGATGTATGTTAAAAGGTACGCGAGTGATTATTCCACAGACCTTGAGAGAAAGGGTATTAATGGATTTGCACAGTACACATGCAGGAATAGTGAGAATGAAAGGTCTTGCTAGGATGTACATGTGGTTTCCCGGAATTGATGAAAGAATAGAACGGGAAGCTAAAACTTGTACACAATGTGCTGAAACCGGGAGAGAAGAAACCCGGGTTCCATTAAAGATGTGGAGCGTACCAGAGTCACCGTGGCAACGAATTCACATAGATTTTTGTGGGCCAACGGCTGACTATATGTGGTTAATAGCGGTAGATGCAAAGACAAAGTGGCCCGAAGCATGGCCAATGAAAACTACCACTACGAAAAACACCACGGAATGCTTACGGAGAATGTTCGCAGTACACGGGTATCCGGGAGAAATAGTCTCAGATAACGGACCACAATTTACTTCAGAAGAATTTGAGAAGTTTTTGTGAGATAAGGGGCATAAAACATACGTTAACCCCGCCGTATAACCCTCAATCTAATGGTGAAGCTGAAAGATTTGTGCAAACTTTTAAAAAAGGATTAGAAAAATGCATAAAATCAGGGCGAAAAGCCTTAGAAGCAGCACCCGATATACTATTAAAATATCGGATAACACCACACCCTGCCACCGGGAAGTCACCATGCATGATGCTCATGGGTCGACAATTACGATCGAGATTGGATTTAGTAGTGCCAAAAGGTAGCTCGGTAAAATTGAACCATACACAGGAAAATATGAAAGTGATGGAAAATTACCGTAGAAGAACTACCGAATACCATGACAGAAAGGCCAAATCGAAGGAGTTCCAAATAGGAGAAATAGTCTTTGCCCGAAACTACCGAGAAGGAGAGAAATGGGTAAAAGGGGCTATTATAGAAAAGAAAGGAACTCGATGGTTCGTAATTGCAGTACCGGGTTTAGGCAGGTGGAAGAGACACTTGAACCAAATGAAGAAGTTCGTGTCTAAAGGGGAAGGAGACTCCGGAAATACCGAAATAGTAATAGAAAAGCGTACAGTAGTACAGCAGAAGGAGCCGGTAATAAAACCGAAATTGCCAGTCAGAACGTCTATCAGGAAAAGACAACCACCGACCCATTTAAAAGATTATGTGACTACGTTACCTCAAAGCGCGAAAGACAAAGTGAAAAGAGTGCGTTTTGAAAATGAGAAGATCCACCACGTAAAAGGGATCTGGAATCATCGAAGTGGAAATGAGAGTAAAAAAGTCGTAGTAAATCCGCGTGAAGATGGGAGGTGGATAAGAAAGGGTATAAAAGACATGATGGAAACAGATAGACACAAGAAGATGTCGGACAAACCATCTCGCAAGAAGAGCAAGAACCACGAAGGACGGCCGCCACCAGCAAAAAAAAACGTCATGAACAAGCGCCGCCGGAACAGCACCAAGAGGAGCTGCCATTCGTGCCTACGTACTTAAGACTGCACAGACTCCAGCAGAGTATAAATAGCTTGAAAGAACAAATGGAGGTACAGTCATTTCCTAAGATAATATATAAAAAAATCTAAAAGGAAAGGAGTGTTGAATATGTGAATTGATAGTGATCAAATGATAGATCACGTGAGAGATATCCCAACTAAGAGTATAAAAGAAGTCGGGAACTCAGATCATCAATCACTCGTACCGCCCCCGTTTCGCCTCCAGCCTCGCCGTCGCTTCAAGCCTCGGACTGACGACTTCTCTCCTCAACTTCATCTTACCACACCTAGTTAATAAAACTATTGTGGGGTACTCTTCTTTCTGATAACGCACAAGATACATTAAACGTTCCACTTGAAAGTAACGGAATTTTAAAGGCCGTGCAATATTTATGCCCACCCCTGTACAACAGAGCCATCTAAGCCTCTTTTTTGTACTCTGTTTCATTGATCTTGGGACAGCAAGAGTGAACGAAGAATTTTTCATGATCTTCTTTGAACATACTTGTTTTTCAAAAAATGCCTAACATTCTTTCTCAATGAATAATTGGAAAAAAAAGTCTTATTGATATCGATAACCCGGTGTTTAATGTCAAGTTCGGTGATTCATTCAAAGCGAAAAAACTCGCCCCGTGATAAACTTGTCAGGAAATCTAGACCTTTGAGGGGAATATAAATACGTGTTTCAGTCTGCTAAAAACATTTTTTAAATTGCTAGCTAAAAAAAGTCTTTGTACATGAAATCTCGCACAATACTGTCATTAAATTGGGCCAAAAATATGAAACTTCACTGTGGTCATGATAAAATCAAAGCAACAACAAAATAAAAGTTTATTGACATCACTGGGTAATAAGAACACGAATAAGCATTTAGGCATCAACGATTCTTTGCTGTAGAATCTGGCGATTCGGTTAAACGTACACGAACCAAGCTCTCTCCTGAAACAGAATAATGATCCATCACTATTTTTTTTTCAAACTATTCTCTATTCTATAAAGACGCCTTAGGCTTTTTTGTCCGATTCTTTCGCTAATCTTCTTATTGCGTCAATCTTGCGGCACATGAACCATAAATTACCTCTCTTTCTTCGTTATAGACCAAAGTCCTCATATTTGGCGAACAATCGAAATATTCAACCGACATGGTAAATTCAGCCGCGGGGTTAACATCTTGCGCGTAAATCTGAAAAAAAAAGGTTTTCTTGATTTTTTTAGTTTTTAGATCTCACTCGAAGCTTCTGTTTGGGATCCAAAACAAGAGAACCGAAAATGGTAGTTGCTCCTAGTTCGACATCATTCACCTTGTAGACAACCTTAATTAGGAATTCCGACAGGTAAAAATTATTTGGGGAAGTTTTAACCTTAAAACCACCAACATCAACCCGACGAATGACGCAAATATTCTCCAGCTCGATGAATTCAGGTGTCACATCCTGAAGACCGATTGCAAAAAAAAAAAATGAAAGAATTTTGGATTGTTGAAAAATTGTTTTTTAAAATATGACAGACGAAAAATGCCTTGATCTATCAGTGTTAGGCTACTGTAATAGTTTCTCTGTTTTTCAAAAGCATATTGTCATAAGAGTGTCTTCTCAATGAATTCAAAGGTACCGTGACTCGGATAGTCCCTTTGTACCAACGTTTGAGGCTCTGTTGCCGATCGTTCACTTCTTCTTCGTCGTGAATTCGGTCGGGTTTTTTCGTCACTGGAAATCGACAATGGTTTTTTTCTTATCACTGTTCTTCATTCCATTGTCTCTGCTGTGTTGGCAAAAGCAGAATCATGCACATTTTAGTTTGAAGGATTGGAATTGCTATCTACGCGTACAAACAGATCTTGATCAGTTTTATTGGCATTGATAAAAAAAAAAGAAAGAGTTGAAAAGAGAAGCGATAAACCACGGCGTTTGAAACTCAAGTGAGCACGACATTTTTCCAACAGTTTCCGCGGCGGGCGTGCATTATCTAATGAAACAAGACAATGGAATAGTCACGCTCAATTAGGTATTGCAAGGGACAACACTAGGCACAAAGAAAGAGTGGAGAATTATCAGACTAACCAAGATCTGCCAGATATCGCTAAGGAAGAAGGGAGAAAAAAAAGCACGTTCGCTTTGGAAAGAGATATCATCACAATGAAAAAAAGACACGGGTAAAAGGATGGCTAGAGGCAGTGGAAAAAGACCGCCTAGCGAGTCGTGCTGCTACGGTACGAGGAAGAAGAGTAGGACGCACCGGCTGTGCCTCCACCAATGTGTCCCCCGACGGAGTAGGTGTTGCCACCGAGGCCGATGTGTCCTCCGACGGAGAGGCCGCTGGAACCGCCGACGAAGCCGCCGACGTGGCCGCTAGACGTTCTGGAGACGTAGCCACCGACGTTGCCCGCAACGTTGGAGGAACTCGTCGAGGAGTAATGGACGGAGTGCTGGACGTTGGAGGATGAAGGCGTGTAGGCCTTGACGGAGTAGGTCGTTACGTTTGCTCCTTCGATCAACTTGCGGTAGCGAGCGATCTCGATGTGGAGGGACTGAAATATTGGAGATTAGCGAATGTTCGAAAAAGGCGCTTTCACTCTCAGTAAGTTTTTAAAAGTGGAATTTAACTGATTAGAGAAGCTTAAAGACCTGATTAGCTCGACAAAAGCCAAAAAAGGAAGTTTTCAAGAATTTTATCTCAATCAGAATGACTACTGCAGTATCTGAAAAAACTAGTCAGCTTTTGGAAGGTGTGGGGCATTAATAAACTCTTCAGGACTCCCAAAATGATTTAAAATAACTTTCCAACTTCCTTCCACGGAATTGTGAAGTTAGCCTTGTAGAAAAGAATGTTTTTCGCCAAAACTCACAATTTGTTGGTCGCAGAGTTTCTCCATCTCCACGGTAAGCTCGGTGCATTGAGCGGTCATCTTCTTGATGAGGGCGTCCTTCTCGGCCAAAGCAGCCTCGAAGATCTGGCTGTCTTCCTTGGATTCGAAGGTGAGGGCGGCGATCTGGCTTTCGAGAAGGAGGTTCTACGAAAACCAATTTTCGATGAAAATTTTCAATATTTTTTTCTTACTCGGCTCTCGAGCTCAGCAAGGCGAGTGCGGAGTTCAGAAAGGGTCGTCCGAATGGTAACCAACTCCTGGCGGCCGTAGGACTGGTCGACGGTGGTCCTGCTTGACTGCTGGTAGATGTCCTGCACTTGGCGAGTGTAGAATCGGGTGAGGTCGTCACGAGTGGTGCGGCAAAGCTGAAAAGGAACAAATCATCAACTTGCAACAGCGAAGTTATCTACCTGCTCGTACTCGATACGGATGTCGCGAATGGCGGCCTCGAGCTCACGGCGGAAGTACTCTCGGTTGTCCTCGGTGGTGTCCCGGCGGATGTAGATCAGCTCCTGTTGGATCTTCTAAAAATTTCAAATTTGGTTTTGTTCTGAACTTGATCCAAACCGTCTCGTTTTCAGAAGTGAAGTGCTTGACGCGGGCGAGGATGTCCTGGACGCGGAGTTGGTATTCATTTCGGAGGCTGATCTCCTGGTCGCGTTGCTAAAATCCATAAATTTTGAACTGAGAGAAAATTTCTTCAACTCACAGCCTTGACATGAGCAATGTCGGAGTAGATCTTCTGGTTGTCGCGCTTGATGCGGATGCACTCCTCCTCGATGATCTTGATGCGGCGGCTGACCAGAGAAATTTCTCCTTCAATGTGGGCCAGCTTCTCAAGATCGGCGTCAAGGTCTCCGCGAGCTCCTTTGCGCAGGTTGAGGGTCTCCAGCCACTTGGTCTTGATGGACGTCACCTCGGTCGTCAGGTGGCTGACGTCCTTGCCGAAACGTTCACGAGCGGCCGCGGTTTCACTCACTGCACGCTGGGCAGCCTGAAGTCCTTTTTTAAAAGACAAGAATTTCGTGATGAATTCACCTCAATCTCGCTCTGGAAGAGGAATCCAACTTGGTTGTTGTCAGCAGAGAATCCTCGGCGCAGGATTTCGATATCATGGTTGAGAACGCGGTTCTGGGCTTCGAGGAAGCGGACCTGGAAATTGAAAAATGAAAAATGAGGAGAAAAAAAAATTTTGATGTGAGTACGCGCGGGTCGTTTTAAGTCGGGTGAAAAATTCATTTTTTTGTGAAGTATTTCATTTCTGTACTGGAAAGAAATGAATAAAAACTGGCTTTTCTGTGAGAAAAGATCAAAAATTTGTATCGAGAAGAGCATATTTCAAAAAAGGCGAAGTCGTTTCTAGTCTCGTGCATTATACTCATGACTTCCTATCCCTTGTATTTTTATGTTAAATCCCGAGAGCTCATTCTTTCTTCTTTGGAAAAAATGTGTTACTTTACTTTTCAGCGAAACACAGACCTTCTCGATGTAAGAAGCGAGGCGATCGTTGAGAACTCCGATCTCGCGCTTTTCACGCTCACGGTTCTCACGGATGGCGACGGTGCAGATGCCACCAGAGAGGCCGGATACGCCGGAACGTTGAACTTCGTAGGCTGAATAGTAGGCCATTTGCGAGGAGCCTCCAGCGAAAGAATGAGTTTTTTCCTAATCAGACGTCGTCTTTTATCGTAGCTTTCCACCCACGAGAAGCTTTTCGCACGTTATCTCATTCTTAACGCTGCCGTGGCAAATGGCAATCGCTAGTGGAGACATTTGTGATAAGACTCATTTTTCGAAAACGACGTTTTTGATGACATTACAGTACATATTTTTACGTTTTTCCGCGTTCCAGCCGGTTATTTTTGTTTATACATTCTTAAAACGGAAATCTTTTTTGAAAAACGTTACGAAACGGTTTAACGTCTAGAGTAAATATTCAAATATTCAACGTCTAGAGGCCCTTCCAAAAGTTCCTCAGCTTTTTTGAATTCCCACGAAGGATCTTGGAACAACTTTGGCAAGGTTTTATTGGAGAGAAATGATGTTTTCAACGAACTGAGAAAATAAGAATGAATCTCATTCAAGAAACCTCCTTCGCAGTCTTATTCGAGACTATTTCACGAAAATCTCGAGCCTGAGAAGCAGAAAGCTTAAAATTTTTCTATATCCCTTATCCTAAATTTTTTCTCGGTAACTTACAATCCAATTGAACGTCGGACATGGTCTTCTTCAGTCCACTAAAAACCATTTTTCCAATTAGTAATTTTCAAGTCGAAAAAACCTGGAGGAACTACGGTGGTAGGAGCTGGAAGAATTGTAAGTCGGCTGAAAAAATAAAATGTATTTTGATAGAATCAATATTTTATTACCATGTCTTGGACGGATTGGTACTCGTAGCGCTGAAATTAAAAAATATTAATGTATTTTTCACGGAAAAAATTGTATTTTACCGATTCAGTGACTCTTTGCGCGCTCTCGGACATGACTTATTCGGAGAAAATTGAAGAACTAGGCTCAATGACAGATTGAGAAGAAATGTCAACTATCGCGGCGTAAAGGGCTCTTTTAACTAAAGCGCATTAAAATTTAATGCTCATGGCGCTTAAACGTGAAATGGCAGATAGTTTTAAGATAAAATTGTCGCCGCGACGGAAAGTTGATAAAAGTTGTAGAAAAGAATGTTGAGGTAGGTTGAGGCGCTTTTTATAGGAATAAGCTGTACAGTTAATCATCGATAAATAGATGAAACTTCCGTTAAACGGAAGGAAAGATAAGCAAGCGAAAGCAAGCTTTCAAAAAGGTATAGATGAGATAATAGCACCTAAAGGAAATTTTGCTTTATGGAGCTTTTTTATTTTTTTTTCATTGAACAAAAACTTTTAGCCACTAATGATCTCAGTTGAGATCGAATAGATCCGCGAACTCTGCACAGAATCTTCAAATTTGCAACTTCCATTTTGAAAAAAGCATGACTCACGTTGTAAGGAGCTGGAGCAGATCGATCTCTCCGCCTTGAAGTTGATAACATCTCTTCATAAGTCCTGAGCCGGTAATCTCTCTCCGCAAAAGTTGAAACTGTTGTAGTATCTGTCGTCTCAGTCCTGAGCTCTTCTTCTCTTTCTTCTTCCTTCGGCTTGACGGGCTCGGGAGCCACGAACGGTTTCTCCTCCTTCTTGAAGAGCTCAGTGAGAAGCGTATCTGTTTTGAAGTCGGATCTTGTTACGAGTATCTCCTCTTCTTTTTGAGTTTCTCTTGGCGTTGGAGTTGGAGTTGGAGTTTCTGGTTCTTCTCTAGGGGCGTGAACTGTCATCGGAGGAGGTTGACTGACTGAGATTCTTGATTCGACTCCACTGGAGCCGTCACGTCGAGTAACTACTCTTCTTTCTTCCTCGTAGGTTCTGATGAACTCAGGTTGACTTGGAGTCGGAGTAGGAGTTGGAGATGGAGTAATCGGAATCGGAGGAGGAACTGCAGCAGGTCTCGAACGCCAGCTTTGTCCGTAGCTTCCGATGTCATCCAGCTCTCTTTTCGGGATGTAGATTTGCTTGAAAAAAATTGTGAAGTTTTGGTATAGTTCTTTCAAAACCTGCTCCGTAACTTCTTGAGTTGCGATCATCGTGCGACTTTGAGTCAAACTTGGCCTCCGTGGAACGTTCTCTTTGTTTTCAATGTTGATTTTTTGATCTACAACCATCAGAGTACTTTTTCAATCATGGGTTCATAAAAAATACCTTCTCTACGCTCGAAAATATCAATGACATTCCTCACAGTTGGGGACACTTGAGGGGAAACAGGAGGAGATTCTGGAGCTTTTTTGCCCGTGCGAGAGTGTGAGCGGACAAAAATCTAGTGAAAAATCTAGGTTTTTGAATTTCAAAATTTCAGGAAATACCTCAACTTCTTCCTCTCGGGTTCGTGATTGCTCGCTTGCTTGAGTTGTTTGACTTTGCTGGCTTGCAGGTCTTCCATAGGTCGTTTTCGATCGGTATTCTTCTTCAATCTGGAAAAAAGCAAGATTTTGGTTAAAACTTAGGTTATCATTAGCAAGGTGATGTGAACGGGATAACTATGTTTATTCACCCTGTACTGTTCGACGCGGGCTCTTCTGCCATATCCAGGAGGTTCGATGTCCACAATCGTCGTGGTGACGATACCGCGTTGGTCGGAGGGAGAATAATAGGGTTTTTCGATGTGTCGGACGCGTTGATTATAATTCGGTGAATTCTCTGAATTTTTCATTTCCAAAAAAAAAAAAAATTAGAAATTACGATTCGGTCGGCTGATGAAGACATTCCTTGAAGAAGGTTGTTTGGGACTTGTTTTCGATCTGAGGGCCTCTTTTTTCTCTTGTCGCGCCGTCGCCTCAAACTGCTCAGCGAGAGCGTTTACTGTCGGCATTTCTGATGTCCTGTCACTTCGAGTCGATCGTATGCTTAGGATTTCGACGTTTTTGAAGAACAAGAACAAATTGAAAATATAAAACCTGAGAAATTTATTCACTTTCTCCGAAAACGGGCAGAACATTTTTTTGAAATGGAAATGGAAAGTAAAGGAACTGCATAACGCATGAAAAGTCTTGGTTATTGGAAAGTAGGCCGATTCGATTGTGAGACTCGATATGCATGTTCGATGATTTTTGTCACTTTCCTTTTTGGGGAACAATTTTCAACTCATGGCTGAATTTTAGAAGATTAACAGGTTGTGAAGGTTTCTCTTTTACTGTTCAAGTTTGAGGGCCGAAACCGCACATGAAGCGGCTCAATGCGTGAATAGCGCATGCGCCCGACAGAAAACGACTTGCGCACATGATTTTTCAAAAGTTGACGCAAACAGCTCCATCTCAAGGTAGTAATTTTAACATAACACAATCTATTCAAAAAGTTCAGCCATTTGACCTGTGCGTTTCAAAAAAACAGAGGTAATCAAGAATGGTGAAAAGTAACCAAAAAGCCGAGAAAACCCACTTTGTCGTGGTAATCGTCGTAAGTTCTTCAATAGTCGTGCTCTCAGAAAGGACAGTACTGTGAGAAACGGCGCTTGGAACTCGAACGGTCGGAGTCTCAACCAAAGACCTTGGTGTATGAATCGGAGTGTTTCTAGTTGATTGAACCGCAGAATGGGCAGAAAAATAAGGGATCTCCTCGGTGCCGTAGCGTTTGACTGCAAAATTGAAGAACTAAGCTAATTTTTACAGGAAGGAACTTCTAACCTAGATACGAGTAATTCTGCTGACCTGGAAACTCGGTCTCGCTTCGACCTGAGGGATAGACCCTTTCGAAGGACTCGAGCTTCTTTGGAGAATATTTCTTTTGGTTGAGCCGCTGCTGGTTCAAGTCAGAGTAGTAGGCGGCGAAGTTGGCTGCAACTGATGGAATGGGTAAGTTCAAGGAAAATGACTCCTTTTTTGAGGTGTTTGCCTTACCGGAAAAAATTGGCAGCAAAAGGGCGGAAATAACAAGCTGCAAGATTAGTCAACGTTTGCACAACCATTTACTTCAACCCACACAACTTCTTAACTTTTTTAATGTTACCATGGAAATTCCTACTAACTTCCAAGAAGCAGTATTAAGTGATTTTTTTTTCTTTTCGATTTTATCGATCTAAAAAACCATATCAAGTCGGAAAATAAGATTTTTTAAAAATGTCGGTTAAAATTTTTTTAATGGTTCAAACGATGCCCATTTTTAAAGATATCCTTTTCAATATGGCGACAAAAAACTTTTTGCTGAGCTCATAGTTTTTTTTTTCAAACCACAATATATCAATTTAGGTCACTCTGCTGTTTCATATGTTTGTTGAGATGCGAACTTCCAGCCTTCTCAAATTCTAAAGAACTTTTGATACCCTAAAGTCTCAATTTTTCAAAGCAGTGCTTTACCAAAAAATCCATCATCTTCATCCTTATGCAAATGTTTGCATTCACAGTTTTTCACGTCTTACTCTGGCAAAGGAATCGCATTAGGCAGTAAGTGTTTGCATTTTCGAGTGTCTCGACCTTCTTTGCGCTCAATATTCCATTTTTTTTTTCACTCGTCGTGACCTGCAATGCGGTTGACTGGCATGTGATCCAAATAAAACTTCTATTTCAACTCCACGCACAAGTTTAAAGAAGGAACACAATTTTATGGATGAAATTTGGTAGTTATTAAGAAAAAGAACTAAACCGACCTTGGTCTCCATAAACTCTGTTATAGTCGGCGACACCATTTCCATTGGAAATTTGAACCGCCAACGGCTCGCTGGGCTTTGTTACCGTTGTGTAAGGAGCCGAATAACTGAGGGACACCTAGAAATTAGAAAAAGGACGTAGCTATTTCAAAGTCTGGTTGTAAGCGGCAAAGCCATTTTTCAAGGTTGGGCCCGACCAAAGACGGTTTGCGCGCTTTAGGGAAAAATATATTAAACTGAGCAATTCAACGGTGTTTTCTGTTAAGTATAACACATTTTGATACCTCTTGTACAATGTGGTTGTCATAATAGCGCGACGGCGAGGAGACAGTTGAGGATGTCTGAAACGGCAAAATCATCTTCTTCCATAGATATTTTCTTCACTTTCGTATTGGCAGTACTTCCCAGACGGGGTCGGTCGTAGATGTCTTCGTCTGTGTATGGTGGTGATACAAGGGACATCTGCGGCTTCGCCCCTAAATTCCAAAATTATCCTTTTTTTTCGTAGAGTTTTTTAAGATGGGAAAGAGAGGAGGAAAAAACAAGTTGAGACGAAAAGTCGTCTGATTTGCCTCAGAACGGCCACGATTCAAGCCATAAAAAAGTTTTTCGTAAAAAACAAGTTGGATTATGATCTGGAAGGCATTGAAGATTTTTTAGCCAAAAAAGCGGCCCTTTTTATTAATTTTTTTACTAGTGGCGCTTAGAACGGTTGAAGAAGTTGCATGTGAATCGGGATTCTTGAAGCTTGTTAGTTAAGTTTCAATGACTCTGAACTTGCCAATAAAGCGTAGCGCGAATCGCTTTGGGTCGGGCGCAGAACTTTTTTTTTCGCTGTGAACCCACCAATGTACGATTAACTTTTTTCGAGTGGGGGTAAATCGACTAGAACTATATCAAGCGTTCACAATCATAGACACAAAGAATTCCATATATCGAGAAGAACTTCAAGAAATAATAAGTAAGGTACACCTGAAACAGGCGGCCCATAACTGCTTTCTCTGTCGGTCGATTGAAAAAATTTAAGCAGCATTTTGAATACTTTTCTCTGAAAGTAGTTCACAGAACCATTTTAGAGCTCAATCGGCAAAAATGATACATTTAAAGACGAACAGTGCGTATTTGCGAATATGATGTGTTTGTATCGTACAAACATCTATGCATACGACCCTCGGAACGCAAATAAATAGAAAAAACCACTTTTACTCAGAATTTTCATGTGATTTTGACCTCGAAATCGTGTATTGTTCAACCTAGATATGTTTTTTTTTTGGGGTCACACATGAAATGTGTAATTTAATGGCGTCGGAAACGGATTTCAAGGCTTTGAACGAGAGAAAAACAGAAGATTTTTGGAAACTGGCTGTTAAATAGTACATCGAGAGTTTAAGCTCATGAATGAGTTTATTGTTACAAAGTCATTATGTTTTTGTATTCTTAGACTCGAAGAGATGAAAAATAAGAAGCTGGAGAACAAGGGCTGCATTTAGACTGAAATATTTTTAAATCATTTCACTGCTTCAAAAAGTTCGAAACGTCCGATCTTCTCCTTGTACAGTCATCAAAATCATGAAAAATACTCAAAATTTCTCTTGAGGCACAAAAAAATAAAATTTTTGTTTTCAACTGTTCCGTGTTTGTATTTCTTCAAAACGAACGGGGCTTTGTCGCGGCAACAAATAATGTTCTCATCTCCTGGCTTAACAATTTTCAACAATGATTTACTTGAAAAATATCTCAATGGGAAGACAAAACACTTGAGCCCAATTTTTTAATTCGAAGCAATTTTCGGAAGCTCAATAATTTTTCGAGTGGTAGTTTTGATGAGAATCGAAAAATTGCTGAAAATCTATCGATCTGAAATTTTTTCTTTTGTCTGAATAGAAAATTGTAGAAAAAGTGATAGGTTCAACTAATAATGGTTGTTTTGAAGGTACGGCCGATCTCAATGCAATTTACGCATATTCAGAGGCGAGTTGAAAATTCCGCGGTAGTTTTAACGCGTCCAGAGCGTTTTGAATCAAAGTTTCGATCTTACAAACGAATCTCAAGCTCATTAAAAATATATTAGAGCCACACGCTCGGAAAATATTTTTGTTGATTTCTATTTTTGGTTTCGTATTTTCAAGGAAATTTCACAAAAATTTCAAAACATATCAAAAATAACATGTTTAACCACGAAAAACTAAAATTCTTGCAAATCCCTATACACAAAAATGGCTATTCTAAACGTAAAGCTTCGAAAATCTCTCAAAAAATAGTATGAACAGTCCGAGGTTCCATTGTCCGCTGGGTAATTGCCATGTTGTTGTTTTTTTCCTTCTTTTCTTTCTTTTTTTGCTGAACGCATCAAGGAGAGCTGCGCCACTGGAAAATCGCTGCCCATTAAAGGTCTTGGCTGGCAGTTGGTACCTCAAACCGTGTCACTTAATTGCCGCCCGACTGAAACGAGGAAGAAAAAAAGTTTAAGTTGAACTAAATGTCAAGTTTAGTGCCTTCACGGTCTTTTTTTTCTAGTTGTCTTCAGCTTGAATCTTTTTTTTTTATTATAAAGCACCCGACCCAAAACAGCTCGTGCGAGCTTTGAGATTTTCAGTTTTGTCCCGATCGTATGGCTCAAAGCCATTCTGCATGCGACCGAGCGATCCTTATAAAGCCTAATTTTGAGTTTTTTATCCACTCATCGAAAAACTAAGTGAACTTTAGTTTCAGTTTGATAACCGAATCTTTGACGACTTTCCATTCAACATGAACTTTACGACCGGTGATTACAGTTTTTATCTTAATACTTTTACGTTGTGTGCCATTTAGATTTCCTTCCTTTTTGCATTCCTTTCTCGCCTTTGTCAAGCTGGCAAACAGACCTTATCAGTCTCAAGCCGCGAAACTCTTTCGAGCAGTTTTTCTTTCTTCACGTTTCTCATAAAGTGGGGGAAGAGGGATTGATAATCTTGAAAATTAGATTTTTTTTTTAGAATTTAGGAGAAATATCAGTTTTATTTCAAGTTGGTTTGAAGTTTTTACTAGCCTTACAAATATCTTTTTCTTTGTCATTGGAACTTGCAAAGTTTTTGACTGAAAAAAACTTCAAAGTTTCAAACCCCAGAAAGCTTCATTTCATGAAGATGCTGAAAAAAAATTTATATATTTAAAGAAGACGTTAGAATATAGAGTCTTCAAGGCTCGATGCCAACTTTTTGGTGAAGTTTGCAAATCGTAAAAGCATTCAATGATAAAAAAAGCATAAATAAGAAAAAAATATTTCAAAAGGAAAAAAACAACCGGTCAAAAAAAAAATTGATGCGAAAATTAAAAACCAACGTGTGGAGATCTGCCTCGTGTAGACGGTCCTCCTCGTCTGGGGGTACTGCCGCTGCTGCTTTGTACTGAAAACGTGGGCGGTGGTCACGTCGCGGTCCTGAAACCACACGTTTCCTGTTTTGGGTTTGAAAAAATGGGATTGCAGCAAAAATAATCCATTATAACGTCTGGAAGTTAGTGGAGACGTGAGGATTGATTTAGAAGAGTAAGAGGGAACTATTCTCATTATAATTCTTTCTAGGTAATCCCTCATATAAATACTCAGAACCTAGCCTGTCAAGGGATATTTCAAAACCCAAATGACTTGTTTGAAAAAAAAAAACAAAAATTTGAACATCCTAGACAAGGATGAAAGAAAGGTTTCGAGCGCGTGTTTAGTGTTTGTTTGTGGGTGGAGAGCTCTTTTTCGTGTGTCCCTTCTGCCCTACGGAGACACCGTCGCTCGTTTTCACAATCCTTCGCCTCGTTCCGGATATCTCCTCGCACTGTCTCCGCCAACAAGCACTTCAGAACTTGGTTGTGTCCTAGACACAGAAAAAGAACAAAAAAAAACAGTGATATTAGCTCTCGAACCCGTTGCAGAGAGGGCCGCTTGACCTTAAAAAGGCGAGTTTAAAAAAAATCACAAGCAAGCTTTTTCTGGATGAAACTCGGTTTAGGCCGGGAAAACTTAGACTCCAGAACTTGGCTAGTCTTGAACAGACTGAAAAAAAGAAATAAAAAAGCAGCGATATTAACCCTCGGATACCTTGTAGAGAAGGCCGCTTGACCTTGAAATGACAAGTTGAGAGAAAAATCCTATGATTTTTTGAAAAATAAGAAAAACCCCAAATCAAGTCGGAGCAAGTTGACCACACTCCACATATTGCCAGCTTCAAACAGAAAAAACCAAATAATGATTATAGTTTTTCTTTACCGAGCTGTTTTTGAGCTCTGAAAGTATTTTTCAAGCCTTTAACTAGGAGTCTTATTTTCAAGAAAGAAAAAAACCAAAAAACTGTTAAAAAGAATAAATTTTCGAAATTATCGTTTTAGGAAATTTAAATGAAATCACTTTATTTGATAGGAAAATTATTTTAAGACGAAAAAAAGGATGAAAAAACTTCCTATCGGTAGCGCGTCCTCAAAAACGTGAAAAAAGATTCAGAAAGGAAAATTTTTCAAATACGAAGCGGATTATGCATTTGCATAAATCGCTTACAACGTGACTTGTTGCGACTTTTGAGCTCAAACGGTTTTGATTCCAACAAAGTCGTGGAGTTTCAAAAAAACATAACTGTACAGTTTATTCCTGTTTCAATGAAAATTTAAAAAAAAAGGTAAAAGGATTGCGTCAAGGCAACACGCAAAAAAAAAGCGAGGAGGACAACAAAAGCGGCCAAAACACGAAACGAACCGGATAATCGAGGTCGCAGAAAGTTATAAACAGCGTGCACAGCGGTTTTTCTCCAGCTGGACCTGCCGTAGAGGATTTGGTCATCGCTGGGATGTTGTGGGTGTTGAAAGTTCTCCTGGAATTTTGACTTGGATATGAGGACTTTCTTCTGATTTTTTTTTTCGGAGTTTTGGCATAATTATTTTCACCGTCAGCTTGGGATAAATTATTCGAGAAACATTAAAACTTTGATTATTGCACAATAAATCTCTACCTTGATGTTAAAAGGTTGAAACTTTTGGCAAAATTTGAAAAGGATCAAGACTTCGCGGTCACTTTGCGCTTGGAATAGAGTCGTATCCTGTGCGGAAGTCGTTTCAGGTCTGGTGAAGCTATTTTTCGCGCTACGAAAGTAAAATAGGTTTTTTGTGAGCTACCAGCTTTCTTTGAAGTCGCTGGTTTCAGCTACTCTTTCATATGATCAGTCGCTGGTTTTTCAAAATTTCATCACGATCTCAAAAAAATGAAAATTACCTTTGCGCCTTGTAAAATGTCAACTGCGACATTTCGACTTCCATTTTCTTCCTCATCGAGAGTTTGTTATAATTCACAAAATATCAATGAGTCTGACAGAAATTCTAAATATACGCAAAACGGCCAAATGAAAGTTTTGAAAAGAAGAGTGCTCACTCCAACAAAAACATCGATTCGAAAAATCTATTCAACCAAACCAAGCAATTTATCAACAATACATTTCAATGGATGGCTATAAATCACTGCATTGGATGGCTTTTCAACGAGGGAACTGTTGCAAAAGCACAATCTACAGTAAAAAGAAACGAAAATTTGTTTTTCAAAGGATGTTGAACAATGGTTTTTCCTTCACCTCGGAAGAAGTTTGAGTCATCTTTGGTGACGAAATGAGATTCTTTGTTGGAAAAATTGAATGAAAATAACTTTTTCCGATTAGCTGACAAGGTAGGTCTTTTTACATTGCGGTTGACAATTTCGTGTAATTTCGTCAGAAAACTTCTTGAGGTACAGTATGAAAGTTCTGAAAATCTAGCACAATTTCTTTTAGAAAAAAAGAGTTCTAAGCTTCAAAATAGAGCTTTTTAACGGGTTCTATAATCTGTGTGCCAAGACTTTGAATTTCACCGAACGACATTCCGTTCTTCCGCTGCGCGAAGCTTCTTTGCAAGTCTCGGTCTCGCTTTGAATTGGTTCTCATTTCTGATGGATGGACTGTTCCAAGAAGAACACGTGTTGGCCGAGTTCTTGAAGAAAAAAAAAATAAAGGCGCCGCCGAGCGGAACAGCGGAATGTCGTTCGGTGAAATTTCAAGTCGTGGTAGATTGTAAGAGGTTTCCAAAAAAAAAAATGATCAAAAAATATTCAAATTAGTAGATATCTGCCGTGAGGCTTTGAACCCTTATATCACAAAAATACAGCTTTTGGGCAGCTTGAGACTTTCAAGACCTTTATCTGGTACATCAAGAAGGGTCGGTCAGTTTAAAGAAAATCCGAAACGCTAAGTAAAATGACCGTCCTTGAGTGTAGATAGAAGTATTTCAGCTTTACGATATTGCTAATTTTGCACAGATTGATAATGAAAGAGAAAACGAAAAACTCACTCTTTTCTCGAAGTTATTGAGCTCATTTTCAGCGGCAGCTGGCCTCAAAGCTGTTCGCGTTGGCCAAAAAAGATCGCTTCAAATCCAATTTTCGGCTGGCTAGTTGTACAGTTTTTCTCAATGTTAGGAAGCGCCAACACAGAAGTCGACGGCAAAACTGTGATAGTCGGAAAACGTTGCAAAATGCGTCGTTGAATAGAAAATGAGGACTTTGCGAGCCGAAAAGCAGATTAAGTTCGCGTTGAAACGCCATAGCGTCGCAATTGAAACGTCAACTTGCCAGTCTTCTTTCAGTATTTGGACGAAATATACCGCCGCTTTGCTTCGAAGACGGGAGATTCAAGCCGTGCTTGGGCCAGTCGCGTAACATCATCCGCTTTTTTTCAGACTTTGTACGAAGGCATTTGATATGAAAACCACACAAAACGCCTAAGCATTGCAACTCATTATTAAAAAAAAAAGACTTTGAAAATTTTCTTCCACTTGTAGTTTCAGTTCGAGACATCGTTATACTCCAACTTCTTTTGAGGCCAATTGATTATGATTTTCTAACTTGCCCTTCACTACTCCGAATTGAGGCTCTCCATGGGACAAGATGATGAAATACGGCAAGGCAAACTGTAATTCCAAGCTTTCTATGGGAGTTTTCAACTGATTGTCGTAACTTGAAATTTTTAGACAAGCTGGGATGATATTTATTCTAGATTAAAAAATGTTCTTCCGCATTTGACTTCTTCTTTATTAAAAACTGTGAAACTTTTTTTGTTCAATGTTACAACGATTTTTCACACGTTATGGAATTTTTTTAATATATTAAATTGATATTTGGTTCTATTCTCGGATTAGAAGCACCGGAAGAGGTTCAAGTGTTTTTTGACGTCTTTTGATGAGCTCGTGATCTGAAACTTGTTACAAGAATGGGTCTAGGGGGCCTTCTGCTCCCTTTCCGTGTTGAAACGTAGAAGAGAAAGGTTTCTGCTTGGGCTGACTTGGTCAACAACTTTGACAAGGAATTTCTCACTCGGTCCGATTGTAATTTATTGATTGGCCATCTTGGGTCAGTTTTGCAGTGTTCGCGACATATATTGACGGTTCTCAAGTTGGCGACTGTGAGCCGAAGCGCCAGTCGCTCACACCTCACAGTGTTTGTCTTTTTTTGCAATTGCCGCCCGCTTCTCTTTTTTCTATGGAAATATATTTGTTGTTGATGACAATGGCAACATTTCACATGTAAAAGTATTGAGAATGGTTTCCAATCAGCATCCCATTGGGAAAAGAAAACTTTCTTGCTTTGATAATTCACATGCATTTTACTATCAGAAGATGTAAATAATTTTTGCTTCTCACGCTCCGTAACAGTTTGACTTTTGACTCGACTTCTCAGAGCTTTTGCCAAAATCCGAACATAGCTACAATCTATCTACAGCAAAGTCAAGGTTAGTGTCGTCAAATAGCTGATTCACGGTTAGCTCAGGAAACTAAGGGGGCGTGGCCTATATGCTCACTCCACCAACCAGGCAGTGTCTCTTTTCTTATTGTACCAGGTCCCTTTTTTCGACGGCTCAAGCTAACCGTGAACCAGCTATACCTATCAGAAGGCATCTAGAAAGAAAACGTAACGAGGATTCAAAAAAATTAAAATACTGTTTTCGTTTTTTTCTTTGGTTTTTTGAAAAAAGGTGATGACGATAAGTGCTTAGAGAATTCGCTTTTTTTTTGTAAACATAATGTGAAGAATTTTATTGAAGATTTTTTGTTGAGCAAATGAATCAATAAATTAGGGGTGTGGGAAATTATAAAACAGTCTACCGCGATAAAAATGTTTTTAAAATTCACATGAATTAAAACAATGGGAAATGACAATTATCGGAGATATTGAAAAACTCAGCAACGTTTGTCTATAGGGGAAAACCGACAAGTTTCTTCTAGTCCATTAATTCTACCAATGGCTCTGGCCCTTCCTGGTTCTCGTCTAAGCCAATGTAGTCTCCGGCGTCGACCTCTTCAATTTTCACGACCGTGATCGTTGTCGCGCACCTGAAATTATATGAGCGATATACAAAATGTTTAATCTGCACATAATCTCACTAACCTGTAAATCATATTCCAGAAATAACATTGGTAGAAAAAATGTGGATAAGGGAAACCAAAAGGTGGCGGCGCGTAAACTGCATATTTTGCGTTGCTTTAAAATTTTGATTACAATAGTTTCTTTTTTTACAAAACTCACTCTGAAAAATTCAATGAAGAACGTGGATGTTGTGTGTCAGCGTCATAGGAACACGTCACGGCGCTTGGGTTGCTCTCTGCGACTGTCGTTTCCCAAGGATAACTTGCGTCGAGTTGTGGGTTTTCCTTGAAATCACGTCGCCGTTTTTTGTAAGGTTCACAGTCGCCAGCTAAACACAAATAATTTTTTTTTTCCTAGCATGTTCTGATGCTGTGAGACAAGCAGAAAATGGATATTAATGATGAATCAAGTTCAAATATTCATTCACGCTTTGAAATGAGACTAACCGTGTGGCAAAGGGCCGTTTTGAGCGGCTGTGTGATAAACTGTTTTCAGGTAAACCACATCATTGTCTTCAGAAATATGCCCTGAATAAAATTTATTTTTTCAAAAGTTTTTATTCTGAGAAACTTTCACAGTCATTTGCAAGACATTACTTAATAGTGGAGAGTCTTGAAGTCTTTTTCTAATGTGTATTTTTAATATAATTTCAAAAAGAAAACTATATAAAAATTTTTTTACCTTTGGGCGGTGTAGAAGGATTATTTTCTTGACATGGTTCTTTCTCTTCTTCATTTCCAGCTACGGTTATTTCCTCTCGCTTTTCAGCAGTTTTGCTTGTCGCCGAGAAGTTGCGCTTGACCATTCTCTGAAACATTGAATACTGCTTATTTCAAAAATTTATTGGTTCTAAAAAAGCAAATAGCAAAAAAATGTTGCAACGCTTCAAGCAACAAGGTTTTGAGTTCATTTTGAAATATTGATTTTTGCTCCAGAAGATTCCCTGTTTTCAAATAAATGGTTCATGGTTACCTTGTCGTGGGACGAAAATGGACAAAGGCAGAGACGTTGTTCACAAGTTGATGAAAAGAATAATGCAGTTGTAATTTGAGGGCGAGCGGAGAACGATAATCGCTCACACCAAAAGACTGCTGCTTGCTCGAAGGTAACCTCTTGGCTGGCCGTGCAACTAAGGCACACTTTCGCGCTTGCGCTCGAGACCCACCGCGCCTTTTTGTGGGCCGCGGTCAAATCTTTGATCAACCTCACATTTCTGTTTCTGTTCAATATCGGACTTGCTTTTCCAATTTTTCAGTTTTTTTGAGAGACTTTTACACTGAAAAATAACCTTAAGAAATCAAAATTTGCAGTTCCAATTTTCAACTTCAAATAGTCTCAACGCACATGAATTGACCTTTTTCCTGCTGAGATAAAAAAAAGAACATATTGGGGTTTTTTTCAATAAAAACATATAGATTTAAAATATTTGATTGCACTTTTATAGAATCCATGAAGTTTTCATTGTCGTCTTTCAAATCCAAAACTTTTTTATAGAAATTCTAAAAAGGCTATAGATAACTTTCTTTTCGAAGAAAATGTAGATTTTCAAAGCTGCCGAGGATTTCTAACTTCAAAATGGAAAATTTTCAGATCCAGATGATTGCAGTTCTGGTATATCGTAGCCCTGAAAGCCTGGTGGAACCGTAACAAGCTCTTCGTTCGTTGAAAAATGTGTCTTCCCAAACTGAAGCTCGAGAAGACAGTAACTCGAGAAGACAGTAACTCTCCTATGAATAGACTGTTTTGGTTGACTGAGAAAAATACATAGATTTCTAGGTCTCTACATTTTTTGGAGATTTCGTTTCAGCGTGGTCTTTATCTTCTGGAGTCCTTGATGTCGATTTGTTCTTATTTGATCTTGTCGTGTTCTTTTCTGAGTGTTTTCCAGAAATAATCCAATAATCCAAATAAGTAAATATTCAAATCTAAAATTTTTAGGTTTTCCGGGACCTTGACGACAAGGAATAACATTATTCGATTTTTCAGGTTGCAGTCCTGTTCTAGAGACGATGAAGCTGTCGAAGTCGTACTCGACCTTGCTTTGAGACGTGAGACGTCTTTCCGAAATCTGGAAGTCATGAATGATGGTGAAAAACCACAGCTTATTTTTCTCAACTTCTGAGGATCAAGAAGCGACACGTGAAAGGTTTTTTTTTTGAATGTTTGAATTTTTATCACCTCCGCTTCATTCTGTTAAACTATACATATGATTTGAATAAAAAGATATGTTTTGTGAAGCAAGCCGTAGTAAAAATCTAATAACCATTCGGCATCGGTCCAATTCAATATCTAATTAAGCTTAATGAGGAGATACTCATTCTTCTTCCTCACGCGAATGTCTCTGCACGACCTCCAACCAGAAAATTAGCTTTTTTTTAGGTGATTAACCTTTTCACCTGAAAAAGACATCTTTTGAAACCTCCCACCTCAATTTCATTGAAAAAATCTCTAAAGAAACGTCATCGATGTGACGTTTCAGGCGTGCTAATGGCTTTAATTTGTTTTCCGTTCTGAGAAGCCCTAAGAATGGGCTCTTTTTCTTCGTTAGTCAAACTTTGCTAGATCTACTGTGGTATCAAGAAGGTTTTGCGTCACTGAGCAATTTTTCTTTTTTTTTTTATGACCAACCATTTGTTACCGCCCATTTTTCGTTTTTAGTAGGTTTTTCTCCATTCACGTCGGGTAGAGTCTTCTGAAAAGGACTTGGCTCATGTTTCAATATTTTCGAATGTTTCTTAGGATCGTCCAATATTTTTTTTACTCGACGAGCTCTTGAGTCTCAACCTGCCGAGTATTCTCACAAAAATTTGCTTGTGAGTCAAGGAAGACCACTGAAAGGAACTTGGAGACTGAAGGACGAGATTTTTTCAATTTCACGCACAATATCCAAAAGTAATTTTTTGAATGCTCAGAAAGTTTTAGAGTCGAAAATATCTTTCTTTTTGGTCAAAAGTGAACATATATAGGATTGTTTTATATCCTGACTTTAAATCAATTTTCAAAGATTCAAAAAAGTTCGACCTATTCTCAAAAACTTCAAAAGTAATTTCCAGACACCTGAGAGTCAATCTCTCTAGCTTTTTTTATTAGAATTTCACCTGGTTAATTTTGAAAGCTTAAACAGAAGGCAAAACTTCTGAATTTCCAGAAATTCATTCAGGTTCTAAGTTGTATCAATATTTTCCCTTGAAAATCTTTCTGAACTTCCGAATTCATCATTTTTAGTGCACAGCTCAATATAGACGGTTTGTAGAATACTTTTTCTGTAATCTTTTGCCAATTTACTCTATTCTCTGCTAGCTCCACGAAAAAAAGAATTCAAAACGTATGAGCGCTCTTTTTGATGAGCCCTACGACTTCCTTGAATATTGCTTCAAGTTCACGGTGAATGAACTATTTTTCATGACCGGCCCACTTGACAAAATTTCGAGCGTTTTTTCAGCTTTTCATAGCAACTCTTGGGTTATACTTAAAATCCCAACTTTTCGGACAAAATCTGAAAAAAGGTGTTTTCGTAGTAGTCAGTCACCTTTTCTTACTAAAAAACGTGTGAATCAACTATATTTCACAAAACACTGGTTTTTTTGAAGTGGAAAACTTGAAACTCAACGTGATCCAAAAAGAAAAGTGGTATGTTAGCCATTTTTCAAAATTCTTATTGCCTCTCAGAAAGCCTTAGATCCCATAATAGAAAGAAAACCAGAAGCCCTACAAGAGGAAATAACTTTTTTGAAAAATTGTTATTTCTTTCTTGCTTTCGGAAAGAATTTCCGTGTCGTCTTGACAATTTTTTCAGAATCCCTCTGAGGTGAGCCACACACGAAAAAAAGGTTTTCCACTTGGTTTGTGTTCGTCTCTTTTTTTTTGTTGAAATTCATTTGCCGAGTATATTAACGTTGGATGCCCGCCTCTTTCAGAGTTCGATTATCGTCATCGTTTCCCAGTTGTGCTCGGCCGAGTAACAAGTCATTTCCAGGGCGCTTATAAAAAAGAAATGTCGCACGGAAATAACTCGTCAGCCGTTTTCGTTCTGCTCGGCTTTCTTTTATTCGTCAATTCTTGTAAGTTTCAGGTTACTTTATCGTTTAAGAAAAATCAAGTTTTGGTTGAAAATTGCTCTGCTATTTCAGGTTACGGTTTCGAGCCAGTGGGCCAACTTCCGCAGACTTGCTCCGAAGACGAGATCGCTCAAAAAGCTTGCCAATGCTGCAAACAGGATTGTTGGTACGGAGTCGTTGAGGTGGGAACATTTCGAAGTTTGGAAGCAGAAAGTTCTGAAAAACTTCGATTAGTTTTAAGGATTTCACTGAAACCTTAAAAAGGACATTCTGGTCAATTTTCATTTAAATTTAAGCAGGACTTGGAAGGACTTCCAACTCTGAAAAAAATTGTATCCTTTTCTTAAACTTCACAGCAGTCCTCTCTAGCTTCTGCATAGCTTATTATTACCGCTGTGCAAACTTAGAAACGTCATGTTTCTATGGGAAAACTTTTTGGGTTAGAATCAGGTGTTTCAAAGGGCATCTTGAAAAACTTCAAGTCGATCTATTCAGCTAGATTTTCAACTGAAAAATCCAAAAAAAAAACGTTTTTGAGTGTTTTCTAAAAAGCGTTCAAAAGTTCCTTTTTTCAAACAGCAGACCAGTTATTTTTAGCTCAACCTTTTCTAAGAGCTTCTAATTCTGTTCTTAAAGTTCTTCCTCACGCTTGAGCAATTAACGTCAAATACAACTATTTCCGGCATAAACAACTGCTGAGAGACCAGTATCTTGTTGTCTACTGCATTTGACATTGAAAAATGGCTGGAATAGAGAAATAAAGCATTTCGACGGCTTTACAAGTGATGTTTAAAAAGAAGGATTGAAAAAAATGATTATATTTGTCTTCAAAAGGTATAATTAAAGCAGAGAAAAGTGACGTTTTTCATGATGCCAGAAGAAATGGTAAAAAAATTTATGAGGCTTTTGAGTCTCAAAAACTTACTTTTTTTGTCCTGAAACTCGAGCTCTGAAAGTTTGACTATGATAAAAAAAATTCCTAAAACCACTAAGAAAAACTTTTTTGGTTCTTTTCAAAGCTTCGTTGAGTTTTAGGTCTAGTAATACTATCCAGTATTATAAAGTTTATAAGTAGCCTAGAAAGATTTACCCGAAGCTTCAATTTAAAAAATTAGGAACCCCTCAAGTTCAGTTTTTCTCAGAATCCGATCTTGGAAGGATTTTCAAGTTTTAAATATTTTTCTCAAGGCTTTTAAAAACTTAAATGAATCGGTAACCACGCATTGTTCATTCATTGATATCTTGAGAGTTATCTAGTGAGGCTTTTCAGTTGATCAGCTAAACAGTTGGTTGAAAAAAGTAGCACGGGAGCTTCTTGATAGTTTTACAATTCTTTTTTTCAGTTTGCCACGAATCTGCTGCAACACATGCCAGGCGAAGGCGGCCAGCAGGAATCCCTCGACACTCTGAGGCTCACCCGGAAGTGCATCGTATCCGAATGTGCCGAACATTGTCCGAACATCTTCAAAAGCAAATAATTCAATCGAACCAAGTTATAACTTTCAATAACGCCTGTTTTCGCTTTTCAATGTGTGATGTGTGATGTCTTGTCTGACTATGATAAAGTTGTTACCTTAGTTTGAAAGCTGTCATTGAACATTTTATCAAGCCGGCGGTGAATGAACTGAAACCGCAAAAAGTTAGCGACACGATCTCAGAGTTTTCGTCTTGTTTGATTCAGCTTGGTTCAATGGGCAGTGTCTTGATGAGCTCGAAATAGGAGATGATGGAGGTTGAACTTGGATGCTGAACTTTTATCTGAATGAAAGTGTAGAAGTCGAATGAAATCTATCGAAATATAATATTTTGGGATCCAAACAGTTTTTTTTAAATTTTTTCAGGCCGTAGTGATCTTGTAAAGCAATGCCGAGAAAATTTGACATATGAGTTCTGAATACAAATTGAACACGGCTTTTTTTGAAGCATAGAAATTTAAGAAACAAAAAATTCAGAATGATCTTCCTCGCCGATGACCGCCTTTTTGTCGGAAAAATGGATTATCCCAACTCCTCGACGTATTTTCCGCTACGAAACTCCAAAGAACGCAAATCAAGATTTTCAAATACCAGAGAGGCATGGTGACCTCAATGAGGTCTTTGATGTCCAAAGCAACAAAGACAAAAGAGATCTATGATAGAAAAAACTCTTCAGGGGTCACTATATTTTTTCGCGCCCCTTTTTTGAATCTGCAGGAGCCAGAGGTCGTCCAACTTGTCGGTCGTTCATTCTCTTCGAGCTCACCTGTCACTGATGGTCTTCGCTTCTTCTTTCTGATTTAATATTATTTATTTTTTTCTTCTCATTTCTAAAAAAATTTATAGTTAAGGCTTATAAAGAAGTTTCCTCAATCTATCTCTAGAGTAGGGTTAATTCAAGCTTCGTCAGATTACTTTCGAAAGAGCAAAATTGTTTGAAAGAAAAAAAATATTAAAAATAAGTTCATTCTTGAAGTGGCCCATTTAGCGTTTTTTTCCAGTTTGAAAGCTTCTCACAGTAAAGCTTTGGGAGTTTAGACATTCAATTTATTGCAGAAAAAGAACAATTAAGATTAGTTAAAAAAACTCGAAGAGAACCTTAATAAAAAAATATTATTAATTTTTTTCACTGCAAATGGACTTTTTTTCTGAAATAGTCTTTTTCATAACCAGCTGGCTTCACTTTTTGAGATTTCGCTTTGTCGACGCCGTCCATCATGAGATTTTGAGCAAAATGAATGATATTGACGGCCGTTCATTAACAAAAAAGCTATTTCCAAAAATAGTCCATTCGCTGCAGTTTTGCATTTAGTAAAAGGATTCGCTTGATTAATAACAAAATTTTATGAAAATGGAAACACAAGCTTCCAGACTGTCTGTATTTGTTGAACGAGCTCTTCTGTATCCTATTTTCCGTCGATTTCTCCACGTTCTTTATTGGTTCTACTTTTCCTGTGATTTTGTAAGTTTTAAGAAAATTTATGAAGTAGAGGTTTTTTCTCACGAAAATCCACGATTTTTGAAAATAGTCCATTCAGTGCTTATTTGCATTAAAATGAAAATTTAACTTTCATGAAGAGGGTGAATGTGAATAAAAAATTTTCAGGCTTTATTTTTCCCTATTTCTTTTCAGACCGTTGTTGATTCAATCGTTTACTTACCACGTCCACTCGAATCAAAATGAACTATCATTTCAATCCAATGCCTTTTCACGGTAACTACCAGCAAATACGGCCTACGTGAGTTTGGTTTCATTAGGGATAGTTAAATAATATTTTCATACTCTGAAAGTTTTCAAGCCAGTGAGCTGGAATAAAATGTTACAATGTCTTATATCAAATCGAATAATTTATCAGATTTTTTTTGGATAGTTTGTTTCAGATATCCAGGACAGAGTCTGGTCACACTCGATTCGCCAGATGCAGCTTATTCGATTATACGTTTTGTAAGCCTTTTTTTCTTTTTGGCGAATTCGAATAGCTTTTTCTCCTTCCTCAATTTGAAAAAAAAACCGAGGTGAAGAATATTTTTAACAGTTTTGCCAAGATTGAGAAAGAAATAGACAAATTTTCGAATTTTCAATTTTGCAGGGACACGACGGAATCGACCTTTTAAACACATCTAATGGCGACGTTGAATACTACGAAACGAACGACGAGTCATTAACTGTGAGTGCCAGTTGATTTTTCTTTGACTTTCTGGAATTTTGCAGAATTTTATGAAACTGGGTTGTTACTGGTCCGGAAATGAGACAATCATCGCTTGGTTCTTCGATGACAACAACTTTTGCCTCTGGCAAATCGAATTGAATATTGACCATCTCAACCAGCGTCTGTATCCTATGAAGCGAAAGTTGGTTTTTCTTTTATCCACAAAAAAGTATGAGGCTTCTCATTCTGATTCATTTCATTGTTTCAGAAGCAGTTAGAGAAGTTCACTTTTAAATTGATTTACAGCTCTTACTACACCCAGCCTTTTACAACCAGCGATGTTTTTTACTTGAACGTAGATGTCCAGCCGCTTGTTTTGAACCAAAAACGTAATTCAAGGAGATTTTTCAACAAAGCTTCGATTAATAAAACTCAGAATACTTTGCTCTCTACGGGTTCGATAAAACGAGCTTACAAAACGACTGCGCTCTTATTTGTGTCCCTTGGACCATAAGGTTCGAGCGGCCAAAAGTGTTTCAGGTAATTTAAGCGCTTCGCATTCCTTTCAAATTCGAAGCTGAAAACACCTATCAAATTATTTTATTTAACTGAAACGGTTTTTTTTTTCTAATCCTTGAGTTTGGAATAAACTCATGTGAATTTTTTATAAACACAATTTAGTTTTTTTTTCAGTTCGACTCCAAAAATTGGTTCGGCTGCACAGATCATTTCAAGATAGACACGGGCGAGTTTCCGAGGATTTTTTTTTTGTAAATATTTTTTCAGATGTCCTCGCCACCTTCAGCTATGAGAGTCTCTTTCATTTTGTTCTGACTTGCGGTAAGCTAAGATTTGAAATAAAAAAATCGAAATAAAAAAATTTTTTTCAGGCGGGCAAACCAAGATCGTCCGCAGCAGTTTCCTCATTGGACAGTCATATGCAACCCGTGCAAGTAAAACAGAACCTTTTGAATTTCTCGATTAACAACTCTTTTAATTCCTGCACGCAAATTTCTATCTACTTTAAATATGACTTGCGTTGAGAGCAAGAATGAATAGCCTTCGTCAGAAAATTCTAGAGCCGTTTTAATTTTTTTTTGATAGCAATACTTGAGAAATCTGACCGTTAAGATCAAGTAAGCACATGATACTTTTAGAAAACTTTCAACCTGAAGTAGAAACATTTAGTTTGAGACGGAAAATTGAATTTAACAGGCGAGGTCGTCGTCACCTCGCTCTCGTTGGAAGGCCTGATTGTTGACCGAGTCCGCCGCTTGAGAACATTTGAACAGAAACTGGTTTGATTTATTTTTGAAAAATGCTGAAAAGTGTATAACTTTAGGCAATTTTCCTAGATAATCACAATTTCGTGGGGTTCAACGCCGCTGATGGGCGGGCAGTTGGTTTCTACTTGATAAACCACTCTGCTTTGGGACCTTGGTAATTTTTTTCGCAATATAGAAAAAAATCAATATTTCATTGCGTCATTATATTCTTACCGTATACTCAGAAAAAAATTTTTTTACCTGCTTGAGACTTGTCTGAATAATCAAAAAAAGTCTGAGCTCTTGTTTTTTTTTTTGAGGAAAGCTTTCCACCACAGAGAAGAATAATCTTATTTTCCGAGAAAACTTTATTCTTTGAAAAAATGAAACTATCGGCAAAAAGAAGTACGTCTATCCTTTCCGAATTGTGAGGCATGTTCCCTAAAGGGGACACTTTTGCAAGCTTTAGTGGCCCCTATAGGGGTTGGTTCGGCAGCCCCTACAGGGGACCACTCTGAAGTTTCTGAGTTCTCAGAGTAAAAACATATATTTTGAGCTTTAAAAAAGTCTAGTTGAATGAAAAACCTCAACCTCGATTTTTTTTTTCCGAACCTTTGTCAATCTAAAATGTCTGGTTGCGAAGAATTGACTACAGATCCTTTTGAAAATTTGCAGGGAGTTTTTCGGACAAGGGGGTCTCCACGTTGCTTGCCCCATCAACGCGGAGTCTCACTTGAGGGGAGTTCTGGATCCGGCTCCCGATGAACTTCTCGCCTTCCTCTCGTCCACCGTCAACGTCATTACAGTACAGTACCGTTTTGTGAACGATCAATCTTGATATGTCTTGTTGTCGAGCCATGGTGTGAGAATAATTCCAAAAGATATTAGCTCTCAGTTGTTTTTTCACGACCAGTTTTTCCTTCGGATCAAGTAAGAGTTCATTCCATGGCTGGAGTTTCTCCTGTGAATGATTTTTTATGTATTTGTTACTGTTATTCTCTCAGTCTTTGACTTATTCATGCTCAATACTCTCATTCGCTTTTTCTTGTCCATTGGTTTTTATTTGATCAGTTCTTGTGATTCCTACTCGCATTTCAACCACCCCAAGCTTTTCCGAAACTTCTTCAAGTCAATGTATATAGTTTATTGTTTTGCCGATTCTTTTATTTTCTTGCCACATAGTCAAATGACGTTAAACTTCTTGTTCTTCCTTCTCTCAATCTAACTACAGTTTCAATGTTAAATAGTGTTCTCCAGATGTTTCATAAATATTCTCACTTGTAATTTTTGTATCGCGTCGAAGAATTCGAGAAGGATGTGCATAAAGGATCCTTAAAAGCGATCTTTTTGCAAAGTATGTGGTACAGAAAATGTGCACAGAAGATCCTTAAAAGCGATCTTTTTGCAGAATGTATGCCACAAAAGAAATATCTGCAAAGCGTCATATAATGCAAAGAAAAAACCGGATTAAAATGCCAAGGAAAAATCTAGAAACTGTTTTTCGTCGGATTTTGAGTACAAAAGCCATTACTGAGCATTCTTGGCTCATTTTCAACAGGAATTATTATTCTTCACAGGTTCTAAACAGGCTTCTTATTTTTTTTGAGTATTCAAACCAGGAGTTTCTCTAACAAAAGAATTATAGCCAGATCCTCGCCAGACAAGATCCTCGTTAGTTCAGTAGTAGACCAAGAATTTCCTATTCATTTTGTTTCAAGATTCTTATCTCAAGGGAAAATATCTTCTTAAGGAGTAGAACTAAATAAAAAACCATCATAGTTTGGCCAGCTTTTTGATTTAAAAACTTACAAGTCCAGGAAAAAAGAAAATGGATATCTCGGCTATCTCATTTTATCTGGAGAGGGCTTTTCAGTTTTCGATCCCACTCACAAATTTTTTTTAAAATTGGCCTGAACACTCATCGATGTACTAGAACAAGATCCTGGAAGTTTTAACTTGCAGAGCTTCTCATTTTTGAAAAACGAGAGTTGAAAACCCTAAAATAGCCTAAATTGACGGATTTTGAAGCTTCTTTTGACTTTGAGGTTTCATTTCCCAAAAACTAGAAAGTTTTGCAGATTGACAGTTACAAGATCATTTTTTGGTGCATCTAAAACTTCTGTGACTTATATGAAAAAAATTTTTTTCAAGATTTTTATCAAAGTTTTGAAACTTGCTACTACAGTAAACTAGTCTTTTTGGAGGTAAAAACTTTTTAGAATTGAGCGAGGCATCAATGTTTCCCAATTTTCAAAAATAATATCTCCAAAAATGAAGCTTGCCCAATGAGCGACAAAAAAGGATCTTTATTAAGTTTTTCACAAAACTTCGGACACAATAATCAATACTCCCAAATTTCACTTGAAGTTATACTTTCTAAAATAACTTTCCTAACTGTGCGCTTTTTTATTGGAACGACTTATCAATTTGTTTAAAAAAGTTTATTCATGAAAAAAGCATATTATGCAACTGTAAGATTGAATTATGAACGTTACGAGAAAGAGAGAAAATCTTTTGTGTTGCAGAATAAAGCATGCGTCGAGGTTATTATTATAATCATTATGGTAGGAAGAAGGAGGAGCCGAGAAAAATATATTAGATGATAACAAAATTTACAGCAAAAAAATATTAAGCAGGAACATCATATACAACATAGGAAACAGTAAGTTTGTAACGTCATCACAAGTATACCCCTCTATTGGACAGGAAAAAAAAACAATTTGAGTTAAATTACATCAGAAATCAACGGTTGAGGAAAAAAACTATGACACGATGTCATTTGTAGAATCGGGTTTTAAATTATAGTCACATCATGATTGATTTGCGAGAGGGGCGGTCCAAAGAGCTGAGGGAATCGTAACTCTCTTCCGATGCTCCGCTGTCCGATCGCTGCAACTCAGAACTGAGATCAATAATGAGCCGCCACTTCTTTTGTCAATTTACCTTGCCATCGGCCTTGACTGTGACAAAGTTATTCGTGGCCGCCACGTGCTTCTTCAACTGTTCGTTCTCCCTTATAAGTCGTTCGATCTCGCGCTTTTGCTTCTCGATTATCTCCTGGAATGCTCGTTATTGAAATGTTTTGGCTGAAGAAATTGACTTCAAAGTCTTTTAAAATTTAAAAGCGCACTGCTAACTCTCAAAAAAAATTTTTTGAAGCAATTTTTCAAACAAGACTTAAACCAAAATTTACCTGCTGTTGGCGCTGTTGGTCAAAAGGACGGTCGTGCCAATATTCGTTGCCGGCATTTCTGAAAAAAACATTTTGTCCTTCATGCGTCATTAGATTATCCAAAACGAAACGCTGGCAAAAAACCTTATTTCAAAATTGCAACAGACCTGAAACGGTTTGCGCTTTTTTTGGTTAAAAATGCGTATTTTCTTTCAGTATACTTTCGAATAAATTTATGAATTGAGTGGGAAAATAATCAGATACTATCACAGTTACTTTAATACCATTAACAGGACTGATTGAAGTTTAAATTTACCTGTCCCAGTCATCCGGAACATCAACGACCGTAGGCCTCAACAGAGCGGAATTTCGCATTGCTCTTGGGTTGGTCCTTGGCAAGCTCAACTTGTTGCTCCGCGAAGTCGTATCACAGTCAGGAGGTACAGCGTAGACCTTCAAATGCGATTTTTAGCTAGTTTCAATAATTTATGAGCTTTTTTACTTAAGAATGGACAATAAGGAAGCTAAATAGTGCATTTCTGATTGGAAACGATAAAGTGAAGTTTTATAATTCCTAAGCTTCTCAAAGCGGAAAGTAAAAGTGTCCCAACAAGGCCTTTTTCCATCTTGAAAATACCGGTTTTTCGAAAAATTTCAAATGAATTTATCTCAAATAACATGACAACTCCCGCTTCAAAACCCTTAAGAGGCCACTTTAAAGATTCTGGATCCTTACCGGCTGATAGTGATAATTGTGCATGTCGGGGTCGTACGGAGGCGGACTGGGTCGTTTTTGAGCGTAAACGGCGTTCGGATACGACGTCGCAAGAGGCATGATTATAGATTCTTTAGGCTCCGGTGGTACATATCCTGACGGTCCTGGCCCGAAAACTGGGTTTGCTATCGACAGAGCTGCAACTCGTTCCACCGGCGAGGAGGACGACGAGTTACTGTAGCTAAATTTCGACTTTTTCTTGAATGATGAGAAATTTTAACAAACCTGCTCTGATTATTGCTCTGGTATCCACTGGAAGCCGGCTGGCTGCTGCTGGGAGAAGCGTCGGTTCGTGGGAGTCGCTTGCGGTTGCGATTAGCACGATTTCTCTCTTCTCGCATCTGAAAAATTCAATTTTTGATCTCCCGAATCTTTGATTATTCTCACATCTCCATCGCTATCCGTGTCATCGCGAGCTTCGCCACTACTTGTAGTCTTGTCGCTGGTTCGGCTACTCGAAGTTCCTGTTTCATCGCTGATTCGTCCTGATTTGCGGCTTCCGGGCGTCTGGAAATGCTCATTTTCTCCTGCGAAAGATGGAGTTTTCAAACTTGGAACGCAGAAGACAAAACATAATCATCAGCCGTCAGAAGATGGGTGGCTGGTCGACTTGTGGCAGATCTTCCCATCACAGTAGCCTGACCAGTTGGTGGAGTACTACGATAGGCTGGGAGGTTTTCGTTTCGAGGTCTGAAAGTACGAACTCTTTGGTCCAACTAAGCTTCCAACTTTTCTTACCTCAAGACTTGCTGTGGACTGTTCTCGTAGTCACTACTGTTCTGATGCATCACGGGCGAGTGATAAGCGTTCGGGTTATCAGAACGCCGTTTATGCTCAGCCAAATCATGCAGAATGGACTTCACATCGCAAAGAGCCTTGTTTGACATATTCTTCTCTTGCAACTGAAATTTACTCATTCTATTGGGAACTTCTTCAATTTATCATACCAGTGGAGTCCAAGTCTCTTCAAGATAAGCTCCAAGCAAGCTCAGCTCTTTCCCGACGTCCACCACCGCTTCAGTCACCTTTTCGTTCGCTGAGCCTCTGAAAATATTTTTTTATTCATTTGTTAATTCTAGAAGGCTAACCCTGTAGAAATGCGGTTCAGGAAATCTTTCATTCGTTGCCATTCCCTCTCGACGAACTCGTTCATGAACTCCATGTAATGCTCCTTTCCGCCGAACTTGGTGAAGTTGGCAAGATTCTGGAGAGTCTTGGCGATCAACGTCAGGTTTCTGGCAGTGCCGCCGCAAGGATACTCAGAAACCTGTAAAGATATTGAGAGTAGAACAAATTTTCACTAAATTTTTCGTTTTGGTAATTTAAGAGGACTGTGCTTTTTTATGCTACAAGGTGAAGTCGAGCGCGAAAAGTTTTAAGTCGGGCGCACTGATCAGTTGAATGATCAAAGAGTACGACGTGGTTTTTGTGACAATAAATGAGACTCACAATATTGAAAAGACTGGGACTGAGAATGGCTGGACAGAGGAATCGCAAAAATATCGAGGATGAAATCAAGGTGTCTGCCAAAGATCCTCGATTCTGGGCGTCCAATCGACACCGGAGAACGCAGAAGACGTCACGCAGCTCTGGTGGGAGCGAGTGAGCACTAAGAATTTTAAACTTGAAAAATAATCAAATAACGATGATAAAAACCTGTTGAGAATTTGTGTCCAGGCGACTTCGACAAACTTCATGAGAAGAGCCCGGTTCTTCTCGAGAACTCCAGACGAGACGTTGCTCAACTTCTGTGGGTCGACCTCACAAGAGTCCTCGCTCTTGAGCACCATCCGGATGAAGTCCGACAAGGTTGACTGCAAATTGTTTCTCTCATTTTCTAAGTTCTGAGTTGCATCTCTCACCTGCAAATATTCGTCGGCTACAAGCTTCATGAAGGATTCCATCGCTTTTGTTGCCAAGGAGTTCCCACGGAACATCAGGTGGTCATTATCTAATAATTCCACTTGGACAATTGATTAAAAGTAAAAAGTTACCTAGTTGCTCAACTTCTTTCATGATCAAGTCGCAGAGGAACTCTTTGACCAGCTTCTGCTTGTAGAGAACTCTGACAAGGGAAGTGGCAAAGTCTTCTTTCTGACGGACGCTGAGAACTGGTTCCAATTGCTCGCAAAGAGGCAGGTAGCTGTAGGAAAGAAGCTGGAGCAGGTCGTCGTAGGCTCTCATTGGCAAGACGACCACACTCTGCCATCGGGCCTGAACGAAATTTGATTATAACCGAAAAAAATGATTAAAGCTACCTTGATTCTCAAGGAGGTCTGATCCTGAATGCTGGCCTTGGCTCCGAGAGCCGACGCGATTCGACTTCCAGTTTCACTGGTAGTGTTCACGGTGTACCTGTAATTAAAATTGAGATTAATCTAGGAATATTTAAAGTCAGGGCCCATGCTTATGATCCTATTGAAAGTTTCATGCCAATTTTTGAGGAATTTCATTTTATTTCTTCGCATTCGGCCGCCCATGGAGTGGCTCGATGGCTGAACCACAATTTTTCCTTTGCACCCGACCCAATACGACTTGCGTTCTTTAACATTAAATTAAAGAGCCAAAATCAAATTACACAATTCCTATTCTCCTCTAGCCAATAAACTTGCGTAAGTTCAAATCACACCTACAGTACTCGCCAAACAACGACGTGATACTGACATAATTCTTCCGACTCTTGAAATTCCACCAAAGCATTTTAAAAATATTGCTTCGGCTGTCGGAAAAGTCAGCCGGCATGACGCCGAAATAATTGCAGGCCGGCACCAAAGCCACCGAATCGGTGACCCGACGATTCGCCGGTCGCATACAACTGTCCCAAGGTTCAAGCGTGCCGCAACATTGTCGCGACATCTAATTTGGAACTTTTTTTTTGAATGAGAACGGAAAACACGACAGAAGCGCGGCGATTGATAAGGGAAGATAGAAGTGAGTCATGAAAAAAATAAAAAAAGGACACTTTTTTCAAAAAAATCCCAAATTTTTTTCTTAAATTTGCATTTATTTTTTTGAGTTGAAATTTGAAAGCTACTGGCAGAAAAAAATTAAAAAAATAGAGAAAAATCAAAAAAATTAAACTGAAAAAAACATGGCGAAAAAAACCGAGAAAAAAAGAAGAATAAATGCGTTTAAATCCTAGAATTCTAGTCTCATCCATAATATCATAATTTTATGATTTTTGGAAGTTATGATCAAATAATTTTATAAAGAGAAAAAATTTAAGAGTCAAAATTTTCAGCCATGCAGACTGCGAATTGCAGGAGCAAATAAAGAAACATGGCTCATGGTTTCGTTTTCTGACAGCTAAATGTCAAAAAGCCGGACATTTGGCGGCGAACGGTCCATGAGCGGCTAGTTCAACTCAAAAATTATTGGACTATGGGAAGGGAAAAAGAGATATTTGAAAATTTTCATATTTCCCAAATCAGAAAGGGCAGTAGCGTATCTTGTGGAAAATGTGTAGTTCTCCTGTTCTCCTCAAGGAAAAGGCAACTGACAAAGGATTGTAAAACGAACGAGTCTGGAACCAATTATTTCAAGTGAAAAGCGCCAGAAACGGGAAAGTCATTTTGAGACATGTTTTTGGTATTCTGATAAAAAATATAGCCTAGATCTTGCAATAGCGTTAGATTTTTGAAAATTTGCAGAGGAAAAAAAATCGTTGTCGCCACTATCAGAAAAATTTTTTGAAGTGTAAAGCGATGAAACAGGGAAGTAATTATGAGACATGTTTTTGGTCTGTTGGAAGAATTCCGCGTATCTCTGTTTTGACGGCTATGATTTTTTTCTCTTAAACTAAAACAAATGATTGAAGTTGCCGATATTCACCCCAAGCGAATCTCGGAACAGCTCAATGACGTCGGAACGTTTTGAAACATTCAGAAGGCCTCGAAAAGATCGAATTGTTTGCGAAAAAGGTCACATCAAAACGCCCACGACACGTTTTTTATCACTTGATTGACACTAAAAGGTATTGGAGAATCGGTTCTGTAATTACTACTGGTTTCGAACATCCGGCCACTCGTTGGGAGAAATGGGATAGCCATTGCAGATTTCTAGTTTTGCAAGCGACTTTTTTTCTTAGAGGGCATATCTAGGAATTCATCATTTTTCAAGAGGGCTATGATACATGGAAAAGCTCTTCTGTTTCAAATTTTCAACACCTACGTCAGACCTATATTGGAATATTGTTCTGAAGTTTTTAACCCACCTATTAACTCTGACCTTTGCTACAAGCTTGAATCCCCACTCAGAATTTTTTCCCGCAAAGTTTGCATTAGGTCGAACCTATCCTTTGATTCCTATTCAGATCGTCTAGAGCAATTTCAACAAAACCCCACTGTACATTAGACGAGTTATTTCTGATCTCCTCACTCTCCAAAAAAATTGTTTCTGGTCATGATCACTTTCCTCAATTCGAAAAATTTTTGCCCTCAGATCCAATTTAAGGCGAAATCCACTTCGGCTACGTTCTCAAGGTCAGTTTTTCTAACAACTTTTTTTCAAAACGATTCCTATTTGGAATTAACTTACATCCAAATATCAGTTCACACTTCCACCTAATTCTTTGAAAAAATTATTGGTCGTTTTACCTCGCAACGAATTTTTTACCTCTATTCCACCAAGACTTTACTGATCTCAATTTTTTGTTTTTTACTTCAACTTTTTTTCTTTCCTCATTTAAATTGTAGATCGAAGTGAACTCGTTGGGGTTCACACTGATCTGTGAATAAATTATTATTATTCAAAGCTGTTCAAAGCTTCCTGCGAGTACTGAACTCTTTTTTTCCGAATTTCCATAGTTCATTCACCTAACCTTCATCTCAAAACCATGAAAACTAACCATCGTTCGACGGGATTTTTGCTGGCGAGTTGATCGATGCTGATCGTGATGTAGCCAAGCAACGTGGCGCGGTCTTTTTTCTTCTTCGCGTCGCCATCGCGGTAAATACTCACGCAGACTTCGTCAATTTTCGGGAGCATTCTGAAGTTTGAAATTATTTTTATTTGTTGCAATTTTGACGTCAGTTTCATACAGTCTCAGCTTTTTGTTTGAAATATATATTTCAATCTTTCACTAGCCATTATTTCTTTAATCTTGATCAAATTCCAAAAAACTAACGAGAAATCGAAGTGCTCTCCCCAGAAAACATTGTCGGTGCGAGTCTTGGACGAAGTCCTGGCGTAGAGCGTTTTATCAAGACACAACTCGCAATAGAATCTGCAACTTTTCTGTTTGCCTTCAAGTTGATCAAAAATTGGATTATCTTGAATAGTGAAGCTTCCGAAAAACTCCAGAAAAAAAACAAATAGAACTTGTTTTTCTCTGTGCAAACACTAGAAATGTAAGCTAACCAACCGTTTTTTGGCTGGAAGGCCTTTCGCCTCAAGTATCCAAATAAGGAGGCCATTCTCGACGCGACGTTGGACGTCTCGTCGTGGATTCATCGTTCGCCTCAGGCTGAAAAAATTCATTTGTTCTCTCGAGTATCGTAATCAAGAAATGAGAGGGAGGAGAAGGAATAATGAATGTCGCAATAACCGAGACGACGCACACAATTGCGTGGGCAATTCGAGGATAATTTGTTGGATATATGTGGACAAGAGCACAGAATAGCAAAAAAGAACGTGGGAGGAAGGAAACGATAGGACGTGGGCATTCAGAATCTATTTAGGAGCCCCTCAGGACAAGCTGTAAATTATATGCGATTTTTGATTCGAGAAAAAATTTTTCCGATTTCAGCTGTTTTGACCCAAGAGGAAATAGCTAAAGCCTCGGTTGGTTGCTTCCAATAAGCTTCAAGTTGTTTTGAAAAAATATTAATATTTTTTGATATATCAAATCTTTTTCAGGTTTCCGATGATCTCAAAGAAGGTCCACGAAAAAAATTTTCAACTTGTTTTTTGTTTTTAAGCTCTTCAGCCCTGCTTTTCTCCGACTGACAGTCATAAAAAAATCCAATTAATATTTGCTCTATAGTATCGTTATTTGAAAAATAGAAAGAAAATCACCAAAACTTTTCGCAAATTTACTTCAAGAAAACCTACTTCTTCAGACTATCTCAGTGTCAAACCGCCAATTAAACTTTTTACGACGTTTCGCCTAGTTTCTCCGTTCGCTTTGCATTCAAATCGCAGAAAGAAACGGAATAAATCGGCCAGAAAAGCTGGCACAAAGAATAATTAAGCGAGGTGACCCACAACATTACCAGGTGCACACGGTGAGCACAAACACACGAAAGAGCTTCCCGGCCTAATTCGCCGATCGGCGAACCGGCAAACGTGAAAACCAGCAATCATGTTATTGCGACCGACCAAAAGTGGTTATGAAATTGAGATTGATGATTTTGGATACGAGAGTGGAAAAATAAATCTTCATATACGTGTGTTTCCGATGTTTAAATTCCCCTTTTTGAAAATTTGTTCTGTTGAGGTCATTTTGGCCCTTGAACTGTATTATTATCCGTATTGAATAAACGATGATGCTCAACTTTTTTTTCTCTTCGATCCAACAGGGAAACTTTCCAAAAAACCCCGGCTATATCCTTATTGAAATCTAGCCTGTTCTGGTAGTGCGCTAGAGCTTCTTAGTCACCGAAATCTGGGCCATTTTTTGTTTAATCGATGAAAATAGTCGTGAAGTTCTTTAAAACCAAACAGATTTTGCGGCTTATTATAATAGATATTATGATATTGCATGAAAATTTCATCATTTGATTCCGACAACAATTTTTTTTTCAATTATAAGTGAGGTAGCTCGGGATCACATAAAAACAGCTACATTTGCCATGAGCTCTCAATTTAAAGCTATAAAATGTCTAATTTCACTTTCAAATGATAGCTGTAACATTCCGCAAAAAATATTAGGAAAAAAACAAATGGACAATAAATATAGAGTCATCTCGTCAATGACGAGCGCGTGTGTCCGGGTTGGATCGTCCAGTGCCGCGCCGCATTATTATATGGACACCGATGACTGCGCACGGTCAACAACAACGTCTCCAATTACGTTGTCCAGAAAAAAAATAGTTTTTGCCAAGCTGCTCAATTGGTGTTTGAAATGAGACTGGATATGGTTTAGTTATCATTTGCCAAAGGTTGAGCGAAAAAAAATTTGATTGAATTCTGACTATTTTTCTTTGTGAATTCGCCTTCCTAAATTCATCCGCAGGTTTCGATCCTCAAAATAGAAAATCAGGTTATTGACACCCTTAGTGAGGGAAAACTGTAATCTCATGAAAAAAGTCATTATTTCAGACCTTTGTCCAAAAAAAGGTAATCATGAAAAATACCGAATAAAATCGAAAAAATTTCCTTACTTTGGAAAATTGAAGTCTTTTATACCATCTAAGAAACCTGAATGTGCTCTACATTGAAAACAGCTAAAAATAGATTTCTAGAAGTACTTTGCTGACAAAAATAAGAACAAGGATAATCAAGAATCGACGAAAAAAGAACAAAAACAGAAGGACGAGCCTTCGGGAATGAATTAATGGTGCAATGCGGGACGCATCTCATTTCAAAAACATGCGCAATTTTCAGCTGGCAGGTTGGTAATTGTTCTACGAGGCGAAAAGGAGGACGGATTACTGAAAGCTTCTGTATTGGCCCTAAAGAGGCCGAGCGAAGACGGGTTACCGCCATAATAAGCCGCAAAATTGAAATTAGCGCATTTGCGATTGGGAAGAAGAAATGTGTAAATGGACTGAAAGGCATGGGAAAAACACAGTTTTGGTAACTTTTTTGGAAAATGTCAAAACAGTTGATTAGGGACACGGTATGTTCGGTCCAACCTTTTGTATAATCGAGAAAAAACCAGCAAAATTTTCTTTTTTCTTTGTCCACTCGGAAATTTTGGAATCTGTCAAAAATCTTCAGTTCTCATTCGAGTTATAAAAAGATGTACTATCAGAGTGAAATTAGTCTAAAACATGACAAAAAGCTTTGAGCCATTCTCAGTGCGGCCGTAGACATAGAAAGATAAGAGCTTTTTTTGAAATTGAGCGACTGATTTTTTTCCTAGAGAAATATTTAAAATTGCGCCTAGACATTAAAAAAAAACAACTTTTGCTACGAATTCGAGAAAAGTTTTTAGAGGTAAAAAGCATCTCTTTTTAAAGGACTTAATAGAACTAGATGAAATCGAATATCCGACTCTTTCCTAAACTGAACGCCGCAACGGTTGCTCCTAAATGGTTGGTAAACACTTCATTCACACCTTTTCGCCCACTAAGTGGGCCCAACGGAGAGAAGCTTACATGTAGCTTGACCTGAACTCTGATGGATTTCCTCTCGAAGGAAGGAAAATTCACCAAACACAAAAAATATGGAAAAAAAACGACGTGGTTGGTGACGCGCAAAAGACAAACGACTCGTTTGCGCACCCAGATTCATCATATTGGTCTCGAGAATTGGAAAGAAAACGGATGAAAAAAAGGTTTTTTGTCGGTCACAAAAATATGGCACCAAGGTTCAAATTTTGAAAACCAGAAAAGAGGGTTTTATGGTTCAAGTAACAAAAAAGACCAAAAAAAAACAGCTTAAGACGATTCTTTGAAAATCGAAAAGTTCAGATTGCAGAGATATAGAAAGTCAATTTTTCAAAAAAATAAAGTCTGCTGAGAAATTTTTTTCCATTTTTTTCGTAGTGATTTTCGAGTGATTCAAAAACGAAAACCTTTATTTTTAAAGAATAAAGACTTTCTTGAACAGATAGAGAGGCCTAAAAAATTCAAACCAAGCCCAGAAAATCAGAGCAGAACTCAAGTGAACCTTTACCTTGCAAGAAATGGTTACTGGGTTAAATTGTGAAAAAACAACGTATGGGAGGGGAAAATCCAAACAGGTGCCGCGAAGGCGTCGCACCAAACGCCATCAATCACAAGAAGACGTGGAAATGTCGACCACATGCCGGTGGCTAATTGAGAGCCGCTCTGGGAAAACTCTCTGCCACCTACAGTTGTCAAAGTTTTTCGACACCGGTCGTGTGAAGAACGTGATTTTCGATAGTTACAATAATTTTCCTTATTCAAATAGATCGTTTTATCTATTTTATGACGTCTGATTAGAAATTTTCAACGAAAAAAAAAGAAATGTGATTGAAGGTAATTTATTTCTACTCAAAACTTGAAAAGCAAAAAAATTCAGAATTCGCTCAAAGGTGGCTAATTTTGAAAGCGTAAGCCTTTTTCGATCAAAAAAATTAGAGTCCATCAGAGTTATTGAAAACTTTGAAAAAAAAAGACGCTCTAGGAAATCTCTCAGAAACGAAAATCCCTGCCGAAATTGAAAAAACAAGATTTCAGAGTAAATTAACAAAAAACGGTTTTAGGCGGAAAAATGAGCAAGAAGCAGGAAAGTGAACTAGGAACAAAGATTCTCAATTTCTCAGCCAATTATCAAGAGAAGAGGAAAAGCCTAGTACAATACAGCGCACGATATTACTTTGCGAACGAATATAAATAATAAAGTGAAAGAAAGAAGAAGAGGAATGGCAACTCTTACCGGCCCACGGCCCCATGGTATTATTATCTACGCAAGGACGTGTGAAATGCCAAAATAAATAAATAAGAGGAGGCGTGGTGGCGGTGGAAGAACTGGCGAAGGAGGAAGATTTGAAGAGGCGCTAGAATGGAGATCTTCCCTCTCCGAGTGGACGTTTCTTCTCAAAAAGGAAGGCCTCCCTCCGGCCAAATAACGAAACTGTGTGGCGGCGCAAATGAAAGAAAAAAATGAAGAGGATCAGCTTCTGACAGTAGCCAGAATTGGCCTTTTCTCATTTTTCTTTTACTGGTTCTTCTTGGAGCTTGTTTGAAGACTAATGATGTTGAGGAAAATTGAGTTATACTGAGAAATTGTTGAAGCAGGCGTTTTCTGACTCGAAAACTCTTAATTATGGGTGGAAAATAATTGGCCTGAGGTTCTTAGTTTGAGTTTTTACTGTATATTTAATTGGGGAAAGTTTTTATTTTTTTCAACAAACTTCGATAGAAGTAAAATCAGAACTATCTAAGAAAAGGCGAAATTCGAAAACTTTGAGTAATCCTGATAAATCTCGTTGATGTCGATTTTTTTGAGAACAATGTCCATTATTCAAAGTTTAGGCCTATTAATTTCATATTTTTAAAAATTTTACTCATGCTTCTGAGCTTTGACACGTTTTTATCGAGCAGAATTCAATAAAAAAATCTCCTTCTATGGGTTTGAAACAATTTTGGATGAATACACAGCCACTTGATCAATTTTCAGATCTCCACCTCCTTATTTCGACTTTTTTCTGAGATTTAAACTGGGTATCAATCTTCTTGATGTCTATCCTCTCCTCGCCAATCGAAAAAAAAAACTTTTGGGGCATCGGATCGGAACATTATCGCAAGAACAACTACACGACCCAAAATACGGAGGACAACATTTAGAAACGGAGGAGGAGGGAAAAAGAATTGGAATTGAGTTCATAATGGAAGGGCGCGCTGGAGGACCAGAACCTGCAAGCGGTCGGGCAGGTGGAGATAATCTCCCGAAGCGACGGAAAAAAAATTGAAAACCCGTGAGGAGGAACGGTTAGCTTGTGCAAACGAAAGTTTTCAGATTGGAACTTTGATGAAAATGTTTTGGGAGGCTAATTTTGGAACAGGGAAGCTATGAACCAAATAAATAATTTTGGAACTGTATAAAGGAGAAATTTGGAACAATAAATACTGAATTCGATCCCCGCACTGAATTTTTTTTTTATCATCTCACTCTAAATTTCATTTTTCATATTTCCCTCCACATGAGCACTGTTAAAGAATGAAAGATGCGCCGGACCAAAAACAGCTTGCGCGCGGAGATATCAAAAAGACTAGAGCAAGCTCCTAAATATGGATTTGCTCCCTCAAACTACGAAGATAAAATCTTTGTGAAACCATGGAAATTTTTGGACTGTTAAAACGGCTGGAAGAAAAAAATAAAAAAAAATTTGGGTTCCATTTAACTGATCTGAAAGTATGCTCAATATATAGAGCGAGCTGGAAAGTTCCAGAAAAAGACACTACAAGAATAATTTTCCTGTCTCTCGAGCCAACTTCTCAAACATACTAGCCGCTCACACGATTCTCAAGCCTTTTTATTTGCGCCGAGACGGTTTTTCACAGCTCTCGGGTGATTCTGGGCGAAAAAGCAAACAGTTCCCTACGATTACCAATTGAAATCAAAATAAAACAAGAGTAGACGGAAATAGCCACAGGAGCTGGTATAAATAGTCGAGTCAGGTGAGCAAATTCGAAAACTTTAAAGACGACTACCATTTTTAGCAACATAATGACGCGAGGTAATACCTATTTTCGGCCCTAATTCGGAGTTTGGAGGCGTCAAAGAGCAAGTTTGTCGTCATGAAGATCGGGTATCTCATCTTTGAAAATGAAAAAGGAGGTGGTGGAGGTAGAAAATGAGACCAAAAAACAAGTAAAACGCGTGGGTTGCGATATTATCTAGCGTTTGGTCAGGTTATAAGTCTGTTGACCAGAAACCTTGTTTTTTAAGCTTGGGAAAGTCTTTGGGAAGTCTTTTAGTCTGCTGACTTGAAACCTGTAAAACTCGAGAGTAGGCTTTAAATTTTGAAACGCTGAACTTTTGAACTGATTATGACGATTCCGTTCATCAAAAAATCATTTTTTGAATGTCCATCGTTCCGAAATCTCGTAGAGTTCACAGTACAGTCCCTATTTACTAGCGGAAATGTTCCGAAAAATTCAAAACTTTGACCAGAACTTTTTCACAGCTACTAAATAACCTGCAAAATGTCTTACTTTCAACAAAAGGGGTCCTTTCGGAAAGCTATAAGCGTGAAGAAAAATATTAGAAAAACTTCAGAAAACCGCTTTTCCTGAATGAAACTAACTGTACTCAAAAAACATATACGCTCAAAAAAAAGCATAAATGGTGAGATAGGGAGAAGATGCACTTCCAAGAGGATTCAGATTGAATTTCCTGGCGGATCCTCGCCGCAAACGAATTTTGCGTACGCGCACATCATCCACTACGCACTCTCGCTTCATTGTTTCCATTAGGCAAACGCGGCTAACTTTGTAATCGTATCTGCCCACACTTTTCCTGCGTTTCCGATCAGCTTCCTAAAGCCTCGACTTGACGCCCAAAAACTAAAATGAGATCAAGATTTTTGATTTTTGACTACGCGATTTTGATTTTTTATCAAAGTGTTACAGTATGATCAGAAAAGTTAAAAAAAAGACACCTTTCAAATATTCAATTTTTGCTATGATTTTTTTTCACCAATTGAAGTGAGCTTTTCTTGGCGGAAATTTGAAAACCGAAAGGTCTGATTGAGATTCTTCCTGATCAAAAGTCTTTTTGTGAGAATTTGAGAATTAATAAGGCTATCAAAATCTGAAATAAGAACCAAATATTCATTTCAAGATGTTCGTAACAAAAACCAAAAAATGTCTATTTTGGTCCTTCGCGAATTTTCCAGATTTTTTGGACTACCGTTATAGAAAATCAAGCTCCTCCCAAAAAAAATCTAAGAACAAAAATTGCTCCTAAATAAACGGAAAAGAGCCGATTTGAATTGCAAATGAAACGGCGGAGTGCTTTTCCAAGGCATCGGTCCCAGAACAACGGAGGGCGAGGTTGATGAGGTGTGAACAACGTCTTCTGGTCTTCTGGAATGAGGAGAAAAACGCCACCTGGGGATTTTATTTCAAATCTTCGGCAGGCTGAAACCACCTCAGGAAAAAAAGCCGCGTGTTTGGTGCCAAAACGACACAGCAAGGTCACACCTAGTCGGAAAAATCGCCCCGACTCGCCAGATGCTATCGTCTGGTCACAGCTACTTGCGGAGGGGCCGAATTTTTTTTTCCATTTTGAAAAATGAACTGAACTCGATGGTTGGTTTTGGGCCGAAAACAAACGTTGATGGGTCAGTGGCTTTCTTTTCCGAGGGGTTAAGGAGCCGTAAAGAAGATTTAGAGGTCAGGTACCGGTTCTCCCCATTGAAGTGTTCCAAGGCTCTCGAAAAAAATATTCCTTTCCGGCGGGAGATTGAGAATGGTTCGAAAATACTGGAAAAAACGAGTAACTTTTTTTAGATTTGTATCTCGAAACTTTGTGAAAAAAATTTGAAAAAAACTACGGAAAAAAATTAGTATTTTAGAGAGTTTTTGTTTTGTTCTGTCAATTTTTTTCATGTGAAAACGGTAACTGAAAAAAGGCAAAAATGAAAAAAATCAAAATTAATTCCAAAAGAACTTAACCGACTGATGAGTTTTTTAGCGGAAGCGAAGTGTTTCCTCACTACTTTTCAGTTCTCATTGTAAAAGAAAACATTTACAAGCCTCAAGGGCCGATTCTCACTACTCGGACCATAAAAAGTTCTGAGATCTCCAAGAAAAAAACATTGAGATCCTTGAGAAATTTTAGGGCTCTTTTTTTTTCTTTTTTACGCCCCATACATCTCTTCTCCTTTTCGGAACTTCTTTGTCGAAAAGTACACAGAAGTTTTCAAAACTGCACTTTCAAAAAATTATAAAATAGCTATGAATACGGTCAAAATGATGACAAGAACGGCCAGGACGAAAAAAGGAAATGAATAAATAAACAGCTGCACAAGTAATATCCGCCCCGAACGAGGTAATGAAATCGTCATGAAAATTCTCATCGCAAGAGATACTGTATCTCAGCGCCAGCCGTGGTTAGTTTATGACATAATTTTGCGCTAAGTGCCGGTTTTATTGTGGACCCTTCGAAGCTTTTTTGTAGAAAGATCTCGTCAATAATTCAACTGAAAGGATGTTAGATTAGGGTAAGGTTTGAAAATAAAAGATCTAAGTTCATTGAAGATAAGGATAATCCCCCTTGTTAATTTGATGCAGATAACCTAAACGTCAAAGGCAAATAATATAAAATCAATATAAAATCAAGCGTCCTCGAAAAAACCCGAAAATAATGAAAATCAGGTAATTCCGTTCAATTTTGGAAGTGTTCTCTTCAATTTTTTGCGTAAATCTCAGATTTGAGAAAATTCTATCGAAACATAGATCTGTGAGAAAATAAAAAAGTTAACATTTAACAAAAGTTAACAAGTTAACAAAAATAACCTATCTAATAATGAATCTGTGGAAAAACAAAAAGTTAAAAATTCGGCGCGAAAACTGAAACTGAGCATACCTCCTTTTTATCAGGAAAAACATAACCTAAAACAAAAAAAGGTTAGAAAAGGTTCATTTTGCACTTTTTGAATCGAGCTTGGTTCAAGTTTTCAGCCTTAAAAGATGAAATTTTCCTGTTCTTCACACTAATTCACATGAGTAAATTGAACAGGAACATAAAGGTGAAAGCCAAAAGAAAAAAAAATCCTCGATGTCCAATCGGTCAACCTCGGATCGAATCGATATTTGGCGGTAGGAGGTGAGGTCAGTGAAGTCGAAAAAGAGGAGAGCGACACCGTCGGCCAGTCCTCCCCGCGTGCACCACGTCAGGCAGGCCCGTGTGTGCGTTTTGCATAATGGCTCGAGCCGCACAGTCACCTTGGGTGAAGCGCCAAAGGGCCCGCAAACATGCGTAGTTATGTTCTTCCCGACGCATTCAGGCCGTATGGCAAATTGCATGGGCAAACATTAAAAACGTGGCCTTCGGGCGCCGGTTCAGTTAGGGACCGCAGAGCCACGCCCACTTCGCTGTTCAAAAAACTTCGTCATTTTCGTTGCATTTTGGTTCTTTTTTATATTTTAAAATAGTTTTCTTGTACCGATTTGGGAAAAAGTTGGGGGAAACATACAATCGGCTATGCCTAACAATCCTACATAAAAGAAAATACTGAAAAATAAGAAATAAGAATGTACGACGACAGTTTTTTTAAAAACGCATTTGTGGCCGAAAAACGGATAAAAAAATCCCGTTTTTTTCTTGAAAGTTTCTGGGCAACTTTTTTTATTCTTGAACATCATAAAGCAACTAAAAAAACGCATATTCTGGCAAAAAAAATAAAAAAATTCTATGGTTGGCCTCAAAAAAATAACGCAATTTGAAAATCGCGATTTTTCGAAATTCCTTATTTTCGAAAAAAACGCAATCGATAATTACTGATTATATTTTTTTAAACGGTTGTTTGAAGTTGTTTGCAAATTTTTAAAAAAATAGAAAAAAAATAAGGTTTTTCATCGATTATATAGTTTATATGAAAGCTTAAAAATTTTTCGTTTTTTTATAACGCTTTGAAAACGGCCCAAAGCGTTCTGGGCAAGTTTTTTTATTTCATAATATCAAAGATTAGACATTTCTCTACAACATATCAAAAAATAAAAAAATTCCTAGGATGGCCCGAAAAGTATTGTTAATTTAAACGCTCGAAAGTAATTTTTAAAACTGCGCGTCGCTGGGAATCTGCAGACACCGCGAAGGCCACGAAATTTTTCGAAAGCGTGAAGAAGGTTTTTTTAAAACTATTTATGTATTCTATTCAAGTTTTCTCATTTTATTGTGGCTTTATAGTTGCTTTTTACTCATTTCATAATTGGAATCTTTTTTTCCTATATCATTATATCCATTATAGCAGCGAGAAAAAGTATTAAATTTCGCTTTTACTCAACTTTTTCTTGAATTTTTTTACAGAATGTCAAGTAAAGAATTCTGAAAAAAATTGTCTACGTACACTCCATGTAGACGCACGAACTTTAGAGAAAAAAATAAAAGAAGTAGAAAAGTCAAAAAGTAAAAAAACGCTTTCGCCCTTTTTTTAAAAAAACTCTCTGAAAAAAAGGACTTGGTGATTATTTACATATTTTTTTCAGTAAATTTCTTAGTAGACTGTTTCATTTTTTTAATTCGGTTTAATGCTGTTCGTCCTTCGCAAAGGTCTATTTTGTCGGTTATTTTCTTTTTTTACAAATGCATTGAAACTTTGTTCAAAACTCGCTTTTCAGCAGCGTGAGTGCTTGAAGAGTAGGCTGATATTGAAAAAAAGAGCAATGTTCAATATGAAAAACTCTAATATTTCATTTAAAACTTCTAAAAAAACTCAAATAAATATGTTTTCGAAACGTCTCCTGCGTGAATTAACGCACAGCAAGGAGCGCGCGGCATCTATAAACACGCCCCTTTTCCTGCGACCCTGACGAAAGTTTCTACACAAAAAAATGGTTCCCCCGATTTCGCCACTTTTTTTGCTTATAACTTTTTTTCATTTTTTTCATATTTTTTTCTTTTTCTGTTTTTCGCAGTTAGCTATCGATTGCCATCAGCTTTCTTTTTCATATAGGTTTCAACTTTATATCACTGACTTTGGAAATTGGCCTGCGGTCCCTAGGTTCAGTCCTGTTCTTTTCGAATTGTTGTTTTGTTAGGTTAAGCTGAGATATTCAAACCTTTGACAGGTTTCCAGCTTTTTTTCAGTTTTGAGATGTTTAAAAATCCAAGAGATATCATCGTTTCACTTTTGAGATGTTTCAAAATTCAAGAGATATTCATCGTAATTTTAAGAACGCTAGAGTGGTCTCTAGACGGAGATGAAACAGCCTCGAGAAAAAATAGTGCTTACCATAGTGGTAAAATTTAGGGATCCCTAACGGGGTTTGGGATCAACGTAATTTTTTGAGTTTTCCGCGTATGAATGATTGCTTTTTCACAAAGAAATCATATAAACTAGCCCCTTTCTCTTGAAGTGATTATTTTTGTAAGCTTCTGAGTTCCCTAGGGGGGTGGTAAAGGGTTTGCCTTTGATTGCCCTTCAGGTCTCCCCTCTCTGGCGTTCCGAAGGTCCCTGAATCTGCCAAAAAATGGACGTTTTTAATTCTTATCATTCATCAAAGGCTACCGATTTATCGAAACTCTTTCAAGCTACAAAAATATAAAAATTTTACAATAATTTGTTTTGAAAAATGCTACAGCAAGTTTTCAGGAGGCTGTTTCAATTTAATGGACTGAACACTAAGTTAATTTATTTGATTTTCAAAAATCAATGGTACTGGATGAAATCTCATGAAAATTTCGGGAGCTGATTGCTTGGCTATTGCGACATTCCTCATTCTCCTAGTCAGAACTACAGAAAAAAACTAACTTCTCCATCCACTTTGCGCGCTCAAGAGGGGTCCTGCAGGCGTAGTAAGTGTTGGCGACGCGGAAGCAGTTGGGCACGTCGAGCACTGAAGGATGGACTGGGTGGAGTCGGGCGTCGTCCCCTGCAAATTGCTTTTTGCTGATTAATTTCTACTCTTTTGTTCTTGTCGAACTCATTTGTCTGAGTTCATTCACTCGATTAGACCTTTATCCGTTTGGAAGCCGGAAAAATTTTGGATATTCACGTGAAACGCGTGAGGATCAGTAGATGTGGACTTGATGAATGGTTTAAGCTATAGTTCATTAATCGCTGGTATCGAAAAAAAAAGATGAGGCTTCCGTGGAGGAGTGTGAAAAAAAGTTTCAGAGGTCTCTGCAACGTTTTTTTCCAAGCCAGCGGTGAATAAAGTAAAAATCAAGTCGGAAAAAAAACCTAAAAGACTATAGAGAGAAAAATTCTGAAGCGAAAATCTTTTGGGTTGTTTACTTTATCAAAAACGGTTGATGTCAAACTGTAGAATGAGATCAAAACGACGAAGTGAGCTCGGCTTTGGGATTGGATCTTTTTCAATGAATCTTAACCGAACTATCTCTTGTTTGTAATCTAAAAATGATCAAAACCTACGATAAGTTCGAAAAGAAGAGGTGAAAGCACTCATTGGAAAAGTCCCAAAGTGCCGCTGAGGCTTGATTGGAACTCTCCGACAGTACGAAAAGATGATCCGATTTTACGATAAGCTTAGAAAAAAGGACAAGGTGAGATCAAAGCACTAATTGGAGCGGCGGCACTAAGAGCTCGAGCTCCAATTCATCGAAAGAGGCGCGGCTGTTGGTCGACACGATCAAATCATCGCACGTCGGGGTGTTATGACGAGCCATTACAACTCACCAAGGTTGATCATATGTGTGGCTGCGGCGTAACTGAGCAGCGATTCGTGAGACCTGCTCGCCCTCAGATTTCCTTCTTTTGGCGGACTGCTGACATGGCGCCGAGGAGGTGGTCCGAAGCCTGAGGCTGAGTCGTTCCGTGGCGCGTCGACACGGTGCAGAGTGCTGAAAAATTGGAATCATATTGACTTTAACCTTAACTTTGACGTTTCCTGGTGAAAAAACTTCCAATAAAGAATCCTGGATAACTTCAGACAAAAATATGTAAACTTTATTCCCACTAAATAATCTCAGATTGAAAACTCTTCAACCATTGGGCCATTAATTGAAGAAATCCCCTCAACTTATCAATTAATCTTCTTAGGCGACAGTTCCGAGTAGTTCAATTATTTCACAATCTTGCCAAATTCAATCAGAACACTCTGAAGCCTTGTTGAACCAAACGACAAGAAAAAAGCTTCCAGGTAAGAAAAAAAAATCGGTTTCGAATACAAACTGGGAATGGACATTTTGAGGTTTATGGAGTTTTAGAAAACCTCAATGATCCCTTCAAATAATATTTAAAATCTTCACATTTCGTCCACAAAACAAACCTGGCCTTAGTGTCATTAACCGTGTAGGTTGCACTGTTTGCCCGTATGGTGAACATTCTCTTCATGCGATAATATTCTGATAACTTTGCCGAACATAAAAATTGTAGAGAAAGAATGGAAAAAATGTAATGTCGAAGGTCAGGATGGGAATGTCGCAAAATGATGAATGGCAAGAGAAAATTTTGAACATTTTGTGGAAAAAAATCTCTTGCAATTACAAAAGACAGGTTTTGGACTATTATTTAATAGGAGCGGGGCACAAAAGAAGTGTTCTGAAAGCGAATAAAAAAATGTACTGGAAATGTCAAATCTTTAGTATTTTGAAGTCTAAAAGTAAACATTTTTGAAAAATCTTAGCAGGTTGATAGGTTAGCTAGGTAAGTTGATAATATCATCTTTCAAGGAAATACTGATGAGAATGGATTCAAACAAAGGCTGTTTTTTTAAATACATCGCGAAAAAAATGAATAAACAAGAAAAAAAGTAAAAAAATTTTTTTGTTCAAGCTGATTGAGCCTAATTTTTAAATGATTAATAAGCTAGCCATTTTTTTGAGCGACTGAAAGTTTTTTTCAATCATTTTTTTAAAACTTTCAAAAACGATTTATCAAAAATCATAGTAAAAAAAATTGCGTTTAGTAGAAATAATCTCAACCGAGAGCTCTACTATGAGATGACTCCAGCGTTAGAAAAAAAACAGTATCATTCAAATTTTCACTTTTTTGGAACTTTCAAAAAGTCAAGAAACACGAGCTCTAATAGTTCCTTGGTTCTGAACAGTTTTTGAAGAAATCTGCAGTTTTGACTAGGAAGACCTCTAACTACAAAGCAAGTCAAAACAATTTTTTTAAGAAGTCGAGAGAGGATAAATATCAAAAAAAAAAAAATCGAATTTGGATATCTGAAATGAGGAGAAGTGTGGAGAAAAATGCAAAGTGAAGGGACGGATTACTGCCTTCGACGGCCAGTTTCAACGCCGCCATTCCATTCCGGACCATGGATAAATGCAGGCGGAGGGCCGATCTTTTCCTCTCGAAAGTTAACTCGGCGGGGGATCCGACGACTTTTGAACTTCGCGCACGGGGGTTAAGCTTCTTTGCGTAATCTTCAGCGCGGAGGCGGCGGCCTTGGGTTATTCCTATACCCTATATCGCTGTCGCGCATCTTAATTGTTTTTGACAGGTTGTAGCCGTTTGTCATCCAACTATCTATTGGTCACCGCAAAAAGACGATAATTTTGGAGAGGAAAAGCTTTGAACAGACTGAGGTGACTTTCTGAAACTAGTATTTCTTAAAAATTTTTTTACTTTTGTGGATTTTAGTTGATTTATTTTTTCGCTACGAAAGTAAAAAAATATACCTAATAAGCTCACAACTTTCAGAAAATCGGAAAGCTAGACTCTCGAAAAACTATAGTGTATAATAAGTGACAAAGATCGTTAAAAAATCAAAACTTTACAGTGGCTCGTTAAAATCGCCGTCAGTTGCTGTCGTATTGTTCACATAAAAAACTTGAAAACATAGGGTTCCAAGTTTAAAACAACAATTTCTGGCGTGACTATAAATCAACGAAAAAATGAAGAATGGGAGAAAAGAATGTTACAATTACTTGTTGCTTCCGGGAAAGAATATAAAACGAGTTTTGAAAAGTTGTGTAGTTCTTTCCTAAGAAAAGAGAGAAATTGTTTTCTCAAAGAAATGCAAACCGAAAACCGTATAGCCGCGTTTGAAATGGCTCAAAGAGTTGAATGAAAGTGATTAACTGGATAAAAGGAAAAATCCTCTAATGATTTCAACTGCCTAAGCCATTCCAAGAGCTGCCAGGCGTTGGTCTCCTATTTCGACTGACCCCCAATCGAACGTCATAAAAACCAGGAAAAGCCGAAAATTACCGCTTGGATTTGTAGACGATGCGTCCTCGAACAAGTCGTGGATTAGCGACGTTTTTCTCGCGATTCGGAGACAAACACTGCATGCCGAGGAGCTCGGGCGAGCCGTCAAGAGCAATGTGAGTGGCACGGAGTTGGGCCAGGCCAGAAGGTCGATCGAGTAAGGCTGAAGCCAGCGACATGGCCGGTCGGCCGGATGAGTTTGGTACTCGGAACGAGCGATTGTACATATTTGTCAGTTGGAAATTGAGGATGGAAAGATGAAGAAGCTGGCTGGATGGCTGAGAAGTGTCACAGATGATAATGAATTTCGCGCATAAATAGATGGGTGTAAATCGGACAAGGTGCCGCGCCGCGAGATGTTCTCGATTTGAATTGCGGTCGCCGAACTCAAGAAACTTGAATATTGAAAGGAAAATGCAAATTTCGATTATGTTCTTGGGAAACCGTTCCGAATTCGAATGAAAAGGGAATATTTTGAATATGTGGTTTGTATTGTTAAGATGACGTTGCAGGAAGAAAAGAAATACAAACAAAAAAATAGAAAGAAACTCGGTTGGGTTGAATTTTTTTGAAATTGAAAAAAAATTTCTCAGACAAACTTTTTAAATAACATCTAGCTAAAAATATTCATGCTCAAAAAAATTTGAATCAAAAAAATTAGGAGCTGTTCTTTGCAACTGAAAATTGAAAAATCTCGAGGCCCTTGTTAATAAAAAAAAGGCAAAATCTAAAAGAACTGTTTCAAAATTATCCAAAAAAGGAAAATATTTGGAACGATGACGTTCCGAAAAATTTTTTTGCCCGAAATAATGTAAACATGTTTTTGAAGAAAATTATTTTGGGATGAAATCTAATAATTTCACGTCTGGATTGAAATAAACAAACTGAAGTGAATGGAAATGGAGTACCAGCGAAAAGACGACAAAATCAAGAAAAACTTTCAGAATACAAATATGAGACTTTCATCAGACTAGAGGTTAGTTGTACATGTTCTTTTTCGGACCTGGAACAATAAAAATTCGAAAAATTGTTTTTTCTATCAGTATAGTATATTCATAAAACTTCAACGGCTTGTTTGAAGAAGCACATGCAGAAAATTTTTGGTAATTCGATACTTTTGCGCTTTTAAGAATTACTGACACGATTCATGAACAGAAGAACTTTCAGTGAATATACTATATAGATATATAATTTTTCCGAAAAAAATATCACGGATATTGATTTTTATAGAAAAAAAAACAAACTCTTGTCCCAGCAGGTCCAATTTTGAATCGCAAAAAAATGTCTCGTCCTAGGACGTCTGCAAATTATTTCAAAAAAGAGAACTGTGAGTTTCTCGCGTCTTAGCGTCGAGATGAGCTCATAACGACACATCGGTGGTCAAATCGGAACACAAGTGGCAAAAGAAGGTTATGAGGTTCGAGCGCAAAAGTTTTTGTTGAGGAAAAGAAAGCGAGAAACAGATGCGCGAAAAGAGAGAGCCGTAAAATTATAACGAGCGGAAATTTATTTTTTTATAGTTACAAATATAGGGTTTGTTACCAGACGCCGCAGAATTTGTTTTTCTTCGTGGAAACTAATAAAATTGTGAAAGGCAATCGCCCACACTTGAACGCTAAAAATGGCTGAAAAATCGGATTTTCTCCATGAAACTAAATTTAGTCGAAACTGAGCTAATCACTTTTCCAAACTCTATGAAAAATTATTTTTCTCGTGGGTATGCGTGGGTCGCGTGCAACATAAGTTTCAGGGCAAAGTGCCACACGGCTTTTTTTTTTCCTCTTCTTTTTCTTGTTGTGAGCGTAGAGGTTAGGCAAAATGAGATGTGGAGCAGCTTTGTTTTGTGTAAAACATGCTGGCGACTCGGAAAGCCGTGGGAAGACTACTTGCCTCCGAATATTAGTGTTTCTAATTGAAACATCTTTTATTTTTAGAAAAAAATGGTGCCAGGTAGGAATCCGAAAGGAATGAAATTCTGAGAAATTTAGGCATATGGCTTCTATGAAAACGCTTCGAGAAAAGAAAGAGGAAGTTGAAATCTTTGAAAGGAGATCAGAAGGCGAAAGGAAATATAAGAGAAACGCCTTCTGTTTATAAATAGGAAAAAAATTCTCGCGCTTGAAACTCGAAATTGTTTACGGTTTTAAAATAAACATTTTTTTTGCGAACAAAACACGAAGTTGAAAAAAATGGTTTGACTGAGATTGGATAGATCAATGTTAAAAATAAATTTTTTTTTGATTTGTCGATCATTTCCTTTTGATAACTTCAAAAACAATGCTAGGAAGAAGAAAAAATCCATTATTTTTCTGGACTCTAATATAAATCTTCATCGTTTCACAGACTTTGAAGCGAAAAGCCCACACTCATTTACTGATTGTAGTAGAAATGAGTAAAGATTTTTTTGCAAAGATTGATAATGATTAGAAATGACCACTACAAACAGCTGCAAACGGCTTATTTTTTTGCAAAAAATCGGAATAAATAAATTCTTGAGCTCAGAAACTTAATTCTATTTAAAGAAAAAGCTACAAAGACTATCATTCGTGAACTTATTGAGGCTTTTGAAAATCTAGGATGTCTGAAAAAAACTCTCTTAGTTGTTCAGTCTTCAAAAAGTCTCTAAGACTTAAGAATAATCAATTACTGTTGTATCGAAATGGAAAGTATTGCGGAAGACACGATTGCGCAACAAAATAGATGTATGAATGTTACGAATGTTATGCCATGGGTTTTGGCACGGAACTGGTAGGATCAACGGGGATAAAGGGCGAAAACGAAAATTTGTTGGGTTGACACGCGTAAAGAAAAGGAAATCAAAGCTGCCGCCATTGAAGGAAAAAGTCTCTTTAAACAGGGTGTACTTGACTTGGAACCTTGTATTTCCCAGTTTTTTTTCTGCGTAAAAATCAAGCTTTTTCTTACATGGCTGGTTGAGGGCTTTCGGTTGTTTTACGCCTAATTTTTCGTAAATCGGTTAAAGAGTTATTTATTTTTAGTTTTGAATACTAAACCGCTCGATGAAAAATGGGTCGTTATGCAATGAAAAACAACTTATAAAAATTTAAGATTTTGAGATTTTTTCTGAGATAGATTTGAATGGACTATTTACCTTTTTTCTTTAGGAAAATTTCTTTCTACACTTTTTATTAGAAAAAATAACCTCGTGAATGATTCTCAAAAAAAGAGTTTAGCTGGTAATGAACGTAGCTGATTCACCAAGAAAATCCAACAAAACTTGAGTTTGAACTAATTTCTGATAAAAACAAGCTTCACCAGGTATACACTTGTGAAGCAGACGTTTTGAGAGACTCAAAGATGAGGCCAATAAAAAAGGTTGGTCAAGGGCCAGCGTAATGATCTTCGACATTTTTTACAGAGACAATTGCTCGGACTCGCTGCCTCCTGAATGATAGATCACACCGGATGCCAATCAACACTCCTCCCGCTAATTTTTACACCTAGAAGTCGAAAAAAAGTCTCCACTATGTTCCTCGAATATCGAAAACTTTTGAACGTTTCCATAAATGAAAACTAACTTTTGATTGGCTTCCAGAAGACCTTTCTCCATTTTGCTGACGCTCTTCGTCCGCTTGAGCGGATTCGTCCTGAATGGCCGAGACAGCAGATTCTGAAAATCATTTGTTTCACCCAATGAATTATGAATCGAGTAGAGATAGGGCTTGCAAAACTGTACAAATAGACAAGAAATGCGGAATGAGTTTTGAAAGTTTGTTATCAAAAGTGAGTCATCAGAGACTATGTCGTAAAGGTTCTCCTAGAGTTTGTCATTGTTGGAATTGCCGCCCACTGAGAAAAGGTAGGGAAACTTAGTCTATTCATAGATCATTCTGAAATCAAAAGCTTTTTTTCATTTTTATTATTTCTGAAGATGCAAAAAAAAGATATCGGTTTTTAAACTACAATAAATTTTCAATTTACACTCATTCAGATTAAGTTTTCTTTAGGATCAAGCTAGGTACGTCAAATTCAACGCCTGCGCCCGACCATAAAACGACTTGCGCACTGGCTTTGGAATATTAGGCAAACTCAGAACTGCGTGGCAGTCATTCCACATGCGGCCAAAGTTCAAAACAGGCAAATAAAATATATTTTTCTACTGGAAAATTATCAAAAAAATCGAAAAAAACTCTAGAGCATAGAAAAGATCAAAATGTTAAAATGATTTTTTTCTGAGCTTGGATTCATACGCAAAACTATAAAACTTTTCCACTTAAAACAGGAAATTTCTGATTTTTTTCAAATTTAATTCATTCACTGATTTTTTTAAAAAAATTATGAAAATTAAGAATTAAAAAAACTCACGGCGATCCTTTGCGGCGCAGTTGTGTCGGACGGATTCTGGTGGACATTGAACTGCAATTCCCATTTGTAGGCGATCAATGTACCCAGGTCAGTCTGGATGAACACCCTTGGGTCAGCATCAACCATTGCTAGGCAATGGCGAGCTTCTGTTGGCGCCATGATAACGCGAAATGAATCACTATTTTCCGTTCCCCCTTTTTATCAATTCCAAAACACTTTATTCAATTTCCTCTAAATTTTTTTATTTTTGACCTAGTGTTTCTCATGATTTTATGGTCTTGCCTATCGATAAACAAATCAAAATTATAAAAAACGTTACTTTTTTCGAAAAATGTGAGACGAACATTTGGACGATTGGTTGTGGATGAAAACAAGGAAACGAATGAGGTTACCTCTGATAATCAAAAAATGTCCGGAATTATCTTGTTTATCACAGCGACAAACGAAAATAATAACGGTCTAATGCACTCGAAATGCAAATTTTACAATGTTTTTCTTGCAATTTGAAATAGGACAAAGGTCTCCATAAAACTTTCAAAAGGCTTGTTTTTTTCAAGGTTTTTTGAATTTTTTTAATTAGTTTTTTTCAGCTGTTTTGAAAGCTCAAAAAAATTGTTAATTAGATATAAAACAGTTTGGAACTGCTTTGATAGGTTTTGCATTAAAAAAATAGCGATTTATAGTTTGTATTTGAAAGCGGAATATATAGAAAATGATTAGAGTAGATCAAAAAAATATCGAAACTTTGAAAATCTGAGAAAGAAGAGTGTTGAGCGAAAAAAATTCAGTCTCCACAGTGGGTTTTGATAAATTGATTCACATGAGCTCCATATATTGATAAAACATCACTTATCAGTACAGAAATCAAATAAGCAGATCATTACCTCTAAAGATTACAAGGAGAAAAAACGACTTGATTTCTACTGATAATTTCTACTAAAAGTCCTAAGAACTTTCAAAATTTAGTGGAAACTCTGGTATTGGCTTCAATATTAACGCAAAAGCTTTTTTTTTTCGAAACTCCGACTTCTAGGAAATCAACAAGTTAAACCATTTCCGGACAATCCTTTTAGACCAACCCCCAGATTCCAACAAAAACATACCCCGTAGGCGTTTTGGACAATGTTCAGATTCTGTGATGAGCCTGAGAGTCGTGTGGAGAGGTTGTGCGAGGAGGACGACATCCTGCCATGGAGCGGATGGAGAGTTGGCGCCATCGAAGTTCTGCCTGACCACCCACGGCGGTCCAGCGACTCGCCGCAAATATCGTCGTGCAGCGCATCTGCAACCGCTTTGTTTAATGATTTCATTTGGCTTTTTGGGCGCCGTTTTGCACCATTTCCGGTCTAATCTCTCTAATACGGCCCTGCGGTAGGCATGCCTTGAAGTTCCATTTTCAATGATTTTCTACAGAGGGTGATTGAGGGTTCTTTAATAAAGTTTGCTGGCTTCACTAAGAATAACTGACGAGATAAATGCGAGCTCGGTGGCGGTACATTGACTAACTCGCAAAAATGTCGCTTTTTTCTAGGCGCGATCCCGCATTTATCTTGCATTTCGGAAATTTTCAAATTGCGAGAGAAACGCGAGCTCGCGCCTAGAAAAATGCGAGCTCGCGCCCAAACAAATGCGAAACCGGCGCGAGAAAAAATGCGAGATGTTTGCGAGCTCGTCAATGTACCGCCAGTGTCTCGCGTTTATCTCGGCAGTTATTCTTAGTGTTGAGAAAGAAACGACTTATTATTTTTAAGTAGTGGGAAAGCCGTTCTACATGCCGCCGTGTCTTAGCAGTTTCGTTGGATTTAGGCATCCCTTCGAAGAAGTTTTCAAGAGACCATGAAATTACCAAAAATACCCAATTTTTCCTTTTCTGTTGGAATTCTGATGTCCAGAAGATCATAATCCACAATATCTCCTTCATAGCCAAGTGCACTGGTCTTGCCTCTCCCACTCTCGATTCTCCGCGAATAAGAAAAGCTTTTCGAGACAAAAGGTGTTTTAATTTGGGCATGGTAGGCTGCATCAAAACCATTCATGCGTTATTGAACAAAGAACGCAGAAGAGTGATTTGAAACGTAAAAAGCCGAAAATGCGCGGAAAATTCGTGCGAAAAAGGGTCTTAGGCAAACGTTCGTGATGGTCGCCTGTTAAATCATTTTTGCGCAGAAAAATTCTGAAATATAGTCTAGTGAAGCAGTAATGTTATGATAGATAATCTTTAATAAAGAATGAATGCTCTTATAGTCATCAGGACGCCAGAAATGAAAAAAATCATCAAAATCCAAAATTTTCACTTTTTCAAGTTCACTAAGACTTTTCTCTTTTTCCGACTCAAACTCAAGAACCTCACTTGCTCAGCAAGATGTTAACTCGAACAGCCGTAGGTGCTTGTTTTAGTGAGTTTCGAGGCCAATATTGGGCAAACAGGCCGCCGCGGAGAAGTACAAAGCGATGGAGAGACGATGCAAGTTGCAAGTTGGCTCAGAACATACACACTGTCTCCTCCGCAAGACGTGTACCTCACAACAACAACAGAACATCGGCGCTTTTCCTCACGATTCACTTCAGTCACTCAAATTAAGAGCGCTGGTCTTTGAGGATTAGCGAAAAAGTTTGATTCTCACAGGAACTTCTTTCTCATTGAACCTTCCTGGTTAATTAGTGAATTTTGGAAAAATGGATCAGAAAATAAATTGATAATTGAAGTTCATGTTGAGCCCATTATTCAAAAAAAGACTAGTGACGCATGAAGATATGAGTGAAACGTTATGAGGAAAATTTGTAAATTAAAAATGAAGCTTTTTTCAAAGTATTCAGCAAAAATCAAAAAGTTAAATTCGAAAAAAAAACTTCAAACTTTATTGTCCGAAAAAGGGTACAAAAGAGCGGTTTCAATAAAATTATAGAAGGTTGAAAACCTAATAATTTCTTCTGAAAGTTCAAAATCGTTCAGAAGCAATTAGCGGTGTACCATGAGACATTCAAAAATAGTTCCGAAATCAGAATGATCCGTTTAATTAACCTCTTCGAAGCTCCAAAAAAAAAAAGATTTTTCCTTTTGTATCTCATTCTCAATATCGAAATTCCTACATCCCGCTATGTTTCATCAAGTTCTTGAAAATTACGACAGGAATTGATGGAACGGCAACGGATTGAACAAACATCGGGGAAAAAATGTGGTTGCGTGGTTAATTGCTGGAAATTTCAAGGCTTTGTTTGATTGGTCAAGGATGCGCTACTGTACCAAGCCTTTATGTAGTTTTTCGAAAGCAGAGTAAACGAAAAATCAAAGAATCTCCGCATAACTAGGAAAATAGAACTCGAAGCCAAAACATGCTTCTAAAAAGATTGGAGCTTCTTATCAGACAAAGACTTTCTTCAGCTAGTGATGAAAAAACGGGCCCAATTTTTTGCAAGAAAATCAAAAAATATTACCGATTTCGCTCAGATCATAATCAACAGGTGGAATATGCTCCTCAGGTATAATATTCAGTGAATAAGTACTGTGAGAGTACCAAGGCGTGGAGCTAATCCTCCGCATTACAACTCAGAAAAATAGCCGTGACCTTGTTGGTTGATTATGATTATGATTATGATCAATGGAAGAAGAAGAGGGACAGAGAATGGTATTTTTTCGCAGGGACAGTGAGTCTGGTCACTCATTTACTCCGCCCCCACCTCTTTCTCTTGTCTCTGGTCTGCCCTGTAATTCTCCTGTCTTTGTACAGTGCCTCTTCAATTCTTGACTCATATCTGCGCTTCTTCGCCTTGTTCTCTTCTCTTTCCGACGGCTTTATTCATTCCGCCGCAATCACGGCTTTGATGTTGCGATTCTCGCCAAACGGCTACTTTTATTGGTTATTGAGGTCAGGGGCTTGAAAATGAAGGGAGAGCAAGCAATGATAGTTTGCTTGGAAGTCAGGATGGCAATGAGGAAACGAAGTTGTATTCATGTCGAAAAGGTTTCTATTATCGATATAGGCTCAAAATTCGTCTACTCATGACTTTAATGCAATTAGTAGTTGTTGAAAAAACATCAAAAAAGCTTTGTTTCGAGGCGATTCCATATGAACTTCAAAATTTGAAAAACCTTCTATCGTGTAACTTCAAAAAAACACCTCCAATGAGATCCTTTTTTGCTCATTTTTCTTGATAAATGAGTCATTCTAGCCTTATAGTTCTGTTTTCAAGAGTCCTCGCTACGTCATCATTCATCCAGTCGCAAAACCGGCAATTAAGAGAGGTTGCGGACCGACCGGCGGCCTGATGGAATCACACGCAATCAGGTGCGCGCCGTTGATCCTCCACCCGGCCGGCCTTTCCACTAATTTGCATGCGACCGTGCAGATTCGGCCTCGAGATACAAACTCTGTTGATGGCAAAAGTTCGCTTCTGAATTCTGACTGTTTTAGTTGGTTTGGTTGATGGACAGTGGGATCGAGAAGACCTTGGGACTGTAATTGTACTTTTTTCGCTTCGAACTCAACTCGGAGTCAGGCAAGGAAAAATCTGGCTTAGGTGTTCCCAAGATTAGGAGGCGAAGTGGATTGCTATTCAAAAAAGTATGATTTCTCCAGTTTTTTGAAAATTTAGCCCAAGAGTCCTTCGAAGGCAAGAAGTCAAAAATGTTTAACCTAATGATTCTCGTTGGTTCAAAATTCAGAATTTCTATCCGATTTCATGGCTCATCCATTCATTAAATAATTGAAGCCACCTTCTTATTCTTCAGGTAAAATAATCTCCAAAACTAAGTTATTATAAAATATTCATAAAATGATCAAAAAATTCTACTTCAATGAAAATATTGGCTTAAAGCCATTTTGAAAGTCCCTCTCACAGCTCCAAAATGCCCATCTTTCCTGAAACAGATTTCTGATCATTTCTGTTGTTTTTCCTGCCAGTCCAACCAAAAAGGAATAAATCTACCTATTACCTGCCGCGCGATTGGCAGATAAAAAAACATGTCGGCGGAAATGCCGGCATCCCATTTGCTAGGATATGACCATGGAAATGGGAAACTATAACTTGAGAGGTTCTCTTTCCGCTCTCTTTTATGTGCCGATGTCAGGTTGAGAATTTATTCAAGGCAATGCTTACCTACCAGTCGAGGTCAGATTTACGCCTAATTGCTGTCAATTTATTGAGGATGAACGGCAGATCCTTACCGGTTTCTTTACTAAGCAAGTTGAAAAAAAGTGATTTTCCGTCTCTTCCTTTATAAAAAAATAAGATTCCTTAAATTCATATAAAATAAGAAACCCTCATTCTACTTTTTTGTCAACAAACATCAACTTGAAACCGATAATCTTCCCTTTATTTAAACTTGAAACGGGTCATTAGAGAAACACAAACTCGACGTTTGTTGTCACTCAAAAATGATACTTTTTGACTTTCTGATGTCAATTTCAAAGAAAAAAAATCCGTTTTTATAAAGGTGTTTCTTTTTCCACTATTTCGCTCTCAAGTTCTGTTCGAAGCCAAAAAGACAAAAAATTTGCCAATTTTCAATCTGTTTGACAAGCATTTTGTTTGCCTCTGAATACAAACAGAGATGCCCCTGCTCTCAAAACTTTGATCGTGAGGATTCGATGTGAGATTCCGGGAGCTCGTGAGAAAATTGGCAATTTTTGCTTGGGACAAGTGTTTGTGAGGCCGACGACAGAGACGCCAGTGGCTGCCCCGCCGTCCATCTTGTCGTGATATCTCGAGGTGGTTGGTTGACATTCTCGTTTTTCCCGCCGCGCTTCGGGCTCTCAAAGGCGTCTACCCTTCACAAATCTTCGCTCATTTACTCTGAGGGAGCTTTTACAACAAATTTCTTTGATGAGGTCCCAATTTATTGAGGAGGAGAGGCTTCAGCTGATTTCGTGAGCAAAAGACCGAATATTGGACTTGACTGGAGCTCTAGGAGAAAGGTCACATCAAGTTATGCCCTAGGTTTTTCGAAAAATTGGAACCTAAGAATGAGTCTGAGAAGCTTCTTACTCACTTTTTTAAGAGCCTAATCAAAAAAAACTTGAACATTCTTTAAAAAAAGAAGCTTTCAAGTGCATATTTGAAGTCAGCTTGAAAAAAAGTTTTCTTCAAAAAGTAAACTTATTTCAGCCTTTTTCTCTAAAAAAATTTTTAACTCATTTCCAATGGAATTTGATATTATTGGAGTTCGGCTGAATTAATATTAGTATATTCAAGATACAACACCTAATTTTAAAACATGAATTTTTCTCTTCCAGCCCCAACTGACGTCGTTATCAACTCAGAAAAAAAAAATCAACTTTTAAGATCCCTCAAAAGACGTCAATCTCATCAACTAAACAAAAGAAACTTGATAAAGACCACTGACATTCATCAAGTGTAAAACAAACAGAAATGAAGCTAATAAAGTGGGCAAAGACAATTCGAAGTTAGGCTTTTCTTGCGTAGAATGAAGGAGGAAGAAGTTGATTTCGCGTTTTTTAGCTCATTTATATCTCAATATTGTGGCTGTGAAGATGATTATATTAGATTAAAATTTGAAAATGGGGAAACTTATAGATACTGCTCAGGAAAAAATGAATTCAGAAAAATACTCTATTTGGCTTTTTTTCGGATTTAACTCTGGTTTGAGGAAAACAAATATTTTTGAATTTCCTGAATTATTTTCATTAAGCACAAGTTTTACAAGAAAATAGTCAGATCGAGCGTTTTTAAAAAGGATCTCTTAACGTTTAAACATGTTTTTCTAACTAATAGGTTTAGTCATCTCAGAAAAAAATCTCTTCAGGACCCATGGAATATAATAAATTATTTCGAACTGGTAAAAAAAGATTCAAAGCCGATTTTTCTTAGAATAACTTTCTTTGAAGTTCAAGGCCTCATAAATATCGTTTTTTCAGCGTATCAATAGAAATCTAACAACCTTTCTCTTGAACCTTGAATAGTCCATTTCATTCATTTCTAAAGTACTCGGGTCAAGCGATTCAAAAGGGGGTTTTTAATGGAGTCGCGGCGAACCAACGACCGTTCTCATACGACAAGAGAGCTATTGTGAAACAGACCTGGTGTCGGGCCCCAATTGAAAAATATTACATGAAAAGACAAGGTTGATTCAAGTGCGACCAGTTTGGTTAAACCTCAAATCCGCTTGATCGACACTTTTTTAGCCGATAGAATGGGTGAGAATCTGTACTTTGAGACGATTTCTGAGTTTTTTTTTAACAAAGTTTTGTACTTCCTACTAGAAGTTTCGGAATAAGGTGCAGATACAAAATTTCGGTGCGTATTTGTAGTTTTAAAATAAAATTTGAAACTGGCTTCCTACGTTTCACTGTTTCGAGTTTAACAAGGTCCTTTTTTGTAGTTTTCTATGAAACATCAAGGCCACGAATACAACGTTTTTCAGAACTTCCCTTGACTTTTCCTGCAAAAATAATCAACATTTTAATTCTTGAAAATTTAAAGTTTACTTAGAACTTTAAAAAAAAATAATACGTAAGCATCTCTGAAGTCCGTCACCTTCAAATACAGTTCCACTATACATTTTGAGGCCAATTTTTAACTGAAACCTTCAAAATCCCCCAAGGACAATTACCGATTGAATTGCTCGGCGCTTTCGCGGAAATGAGTTTTTTTCCTCTCTCTTTCTGTGGGCGGATTGGCTGATTTTTTGGCTTTGCATCTGCCTCAAAATTTTGTCCAGTGTCCATTTCAATATATTCCATTTCGACGCAAAAGATCGTTGAATGCGATCCGAAAATGGTGAAGATAACGGCGGCGAAAAGCCCCTCGCTGGCGGTCAGGTCAGCCGCATGGTTATGAGGGCGGCTTTGGATGATGGAAAAAAAAATAACGTTGAAAAGTCAGTCAGCCAGGTCGAGAAAAATCTCGTGGCCGGCGCCGGCTTTTGACTGGCAGGAAACTCGACACCTGTACGAACCGGGCAGGTTGGTGGGTGGGAGGCCGCCGAACAACAGACAGATTCGCCTGCTTGGTTGACAACAATGGGCAGCAAGTGACGAACGAACGGCCAGTTGAATGGAACTTTTTTCTCGACAACAAGAAAAAGTACTTGCGGTAGATCTACATGTCTTCTTTTTCCAGGCTCAGATGAGATGACAGAATCATTAGTAAGTTCATTAGGGAGATCTTTGAAGTCCTTAAAAATGGATTTTGAACCGCATTTACAGATGTAAGGTCTTTGAAACAGTGAGTCGAGATACCCTAGCTTTCCTTTTTTGTGTGTGGTGCTTTTGAAAGTTTTTTTCAAATGTCTTTTTTCTATGAGGAAAAATCCAACTTGCCCCCAAAACTTTTCAAGCGAGACTTGTAAGAGTCCAAAAAAACATTTTTTCATGTTCCATAAAAATTGCATCGGGTGAATCTTAATAACTCAATTATTCTGCCAAGCAAGAGTTGAATAGACGTGTTTTTAGTACTTTCTCTGAGAAAAAAAAAATCTAATTGGCTTCATTTTCTCGCTGTACTTGTAGCTTGGAACCCCTATTACAAGCTACGGAAAATTGAATAATCATCCAAGAAAAAAGAAAAACCCCATAACGAAACTGCCCGTGTTATCTTTCCGGCGTCAGGAAAAAGGCACCTTTTTACAGATTTAGTGCAATCAGGCGTGATCAATCATTTCTGTCCCACGACAGAGGAAGAGCGAGATTCATTCAGCAAGCGTTAATGATAAATATGAATTGGAATGCAAGGAACCAAGTGTCCAAAAGGTTTGGAAAACGGAGAAAATCACGAGGTAATCAGAAAAAAAGAAAGACTTAACTTTCCGAAACAGGATTTCCGGGCATTTTTGATTCGCCAAATTTATGCTTGCTTACAAATTAAAACTTCACTTTAAGCCCAGCTATATTTTTTTAGTTTTTAATTTTTTGAATAATTATAAAAATAATCGAGACGACCAGAGCACTCAAAATATTCGAAAAACAAATTTTTTTCAGAAGTCGGGAAAAATCTCTAGTATGTCAGATTCAGGTCTTTTTGACTTTCTGCTGATATACACCAAAAATCAGAGCGGAATTTGTATTGACTTACAATGATTGAATAACTTAAAAAAGATCAGAGCACAAAGGAGTTGCCTAAAAACCAGAAGAACTATCATAGAAAAAAACGAACCTTTCAAAAATGGGACTTTCTGACAGTCGCTTTCAATCCTTGTTAATCGAACTGCGTGAAGCGGAGTGTCGGAAGGATTAAACAAATAGTAGAATAAAGCGGTCAACTTGCTCCAAATCCATAGGACGGCAGCATAAGGGTAGTAGCAAATAGAATTCGAAGCCATTTTGAATTTCACATCATTTCACGGCCAGCCAATTAATTGACAAGTAATAATGAGACTAAGTTTTGATACAGACAGAAGAGGTTTCGGGGGAGCAGGCGTCGGCTTGGAAAAAAAAGGGATGGGCGGAACGCCAAACTCCGCCCAATTTGTTCGCCTCCGACCGACAAATTGCGTCGCCGGTGGTGGCCGCCGAGAGGTGCGAAATTCGAAAAAATAAAAGAAAAGAAAATTCCTAAGCTGTTGCAAGTTGATATGATGAACTGAACCGGGGCTAGAGGTGATAAGGCGGGAAGATGAATGCGTGCGCGATAAATCAGTCCAGAGGAACAGGGTTCGTCGCTTTCCACCGTCGCTATGAATCAAGCGATGTGTTCGTTTGTTTTGTCTCAGTAATTGACTGGCTTTCTGTTTTCTTAGGCCGTATAGATATTCCTAAGACGAGGGATCTAGGACTCTTAGATATTCAATTTAGACATGATTAATGATGAAAAAAATCAGTTGTCAGGCCAAATTTCCAACTTTCTGTAGTGGAAGATGGGTTTTAATCAAAAAATCTTTGCACTCTGAAAGTATTTTAGAAGTTTCTGGTTTACTCCTTTTGACAGATAAAAAACGTGGGAACTTCAGGCTCCAAAATCACCTGGAAATTAGAAATATTGGAAGTTGAAATAATTTGGAATATTGGAAATTTTTGACTTTTTTTCAAAAGGGTCTAGAGTTGTGATTTATTGCAGTTTTGAATATGCTGCCATAATTCCTTCCTTTAGCCATTTTTAACAAAAATTGTCATTTCAAATCCAAAAAAAAATTTTTGGTTTCTGCCTAACTTTGCTGTTCAAAGTAGATCCTAAAAAGAGCTTTCGCCGTAATTTAACCAAATCAGACAGTTCCTGCGAACTTTTTTATCTCAAACTTCTCGCCAAGTTTCTCAAACCGGTTTCGTTTCCCCTACAGCATTCAATAACTGTTTTCACTCGGACATTGTTCACCTTATCATTCGTCGCCAAAAGCTATTAGCCCCTCGTTAGGAATTTACCAAAAAGAAAAAGAAAAGAAAGAAGAAGAGAAGAAACGTCGTCTTTTCCAGGAAAGAGTGACAGTACACAGTAATTGCAGAGGAGAACTCGTCTTCTAACGACCAAATAATAGCCTTCTTCAGGAAAAAAGGAATTTGTCTTTTATTTCCTTCTTAGTTTCATTTCGTAACATAAGATAGCCTTCACTTGACTCAAAAAAAGAAACTTGAAATGCTCAATTTCAAACAGCCGACTCGTTTCCGTATGCAAAGAAGTTTGGGAAATTGTTAGAGAAACTGCGTTTGATGTTGTCCAGTTTCCGGCGCTTCCAGAAAAAAGGAACAAAATTCGGGCAACGACACGAGTTTAGAGTAGAAACATCAGCTCTTTGAACTATTAGGGCTCAAATAAGCTCTTTTCATAAAATATAGCTTCAAGTCAATTAGAGGATTAGTTAAACGCTAGAAAAGTCTTCGAAGCTTAGTGCATTGTGAAAAGATGGCCGTTTGCTTCTTTTTTTTTTCTTTGGTGAACAATAAAGTCTTTTCCAAAAGAAAGGAGGTGCTTTAGAAGACTTCTATTTCTACAAAACATATTTATTTCTTGTTACTAAGCGTGCATGGAATGACTCAATCCATCAGCCTTTTACTTGATTCAACCGACTCAAAACGACTTTCGCGTTTAGTTATAAGAAATCATTAGAGCAAGTTTTCAGATACTTCGAACCCTTTTTTTAGCTTTAAAATTTCTTACTCAAAAAGTGAATGAGTTCCCACATCTCCTCCAGTAGTCATATACCAAGTTTCACAACCCTTCTTCCGTCCTTTTTCATTACCATAAATGGATTTCAAAACCATTTCGAAAGAGGACCTTGAGGGTCGGCGCCAAAAAAAAGGCGCATCTGAATGTGATGCCGTTCATTTGCCATCCGATCCTACCACCAAACGGAGAAAAAAAAAATCGAGACGGCATAAATTTTCTCTTGAAACTTGAATTTTGAAACTCGATCGCCTGGCTTCACGCTGAGCGCATCTTTTTTGATTCATATTATTCTACGCGATTTGATGAATCGTCGGTAAAATCGTGATAAAACAAACCTCGAACACTGCCATATTTTGATGGGAGGAATTCGAGGGTTTCCATTTTTCCCACAGTTGCTATAAAGTATTTTTGATTTGTATGGCATAAAGATTCACGGACGGAACGAAAGAAAAAAAGAATGAAAAAAATCAGTTTTCGAGGGTTTGAAATGTACAGTTAACTATAATGAAGGAGGAACATGCATATATCAAACAAAAATTTAACTATATGATTTCTGAAAAAAATGCCCTTAAAAAAATCAAGTATATCATAAATGGACCCTATGTTAAATTTAAGTACTTCATGAGAAAGAAAAATAATGATCTGCACAGTGAAACTATTATTGAGGAAATAAAGTCATAAAAACTGGAAAATAAAAAAATGAAAGATAATTTGATACTTGCACAGAAAATCTCGAGAAAGACTTTGAAGGAGCATAAGAAAGTCTCATGAAGGTCTCCGAACGAAGAGCTATTCAGTGTGTTATTTTCTTTCATTCAAAAATTTGGCGCCTTTGAAAAACGTTGCAAGGATTTTTGTAGCGACTACAATAGAGATAAATCAAATCTTATCGTTATAAGTAAAAGTCATTAAACTTATTCAAAAAACTAAATAAGGCAAAAATGAACAGAAATCCAAAAAGAGAGCGAAATGAGGCGACAAAAACGGTTCTGGTGGAGGCTCTCCGCAGCGTCAAAACGTCTGATTTTTTGAAAATTGCGCACTCTCTCGCCCGTATCCTCCGAGAACAATGCCTTTTTTGCCCTTCACTGCGATCGACTGATCAAATGTTTGGGAGCAAATGAAAAAAAAAAGATGAGAAAGGGAAGATTGATAACACAACGTTTAGAAGAATTGCGGAAATGATTTTTCTTTTTTTATTTATTGTTCCTCATAGAATCCGAACAAAGAACCCCTACTATACTTTTTTCCAAGAGTTTTTTTGGATATTTTTTTATTTTTTTGCAGTTTACCTGAGGGGCTTGAAATATTAAAGCAGGCTGAAACAGCAAAGACGTCTAACTTTTTCAATTTCTAAAGTCGACAGGGTGCTAGAGAAAAAAATTTCAAAAAAAGATGAAAATGTGAGTGTCGGATCTTAGTAAAAAAAGTATAATAATATGCTTGGCGGCTTTTTAGACGCTGGAAAGTGAGAATAGAATTAGCACGTGTCAGGAAATAAATCAACGATTTGATGCGACGTTAATACGAACTCCTACATTAAATATTTGATGTCAATACTAAAAGCAACCGAAACAGCAAGGTCATTTATTCCTAACTTTTTTGTCCGTCTGAATAACTCCAGAAAGAAAAAATTTGCGAACATTCGATTCGAAAGTAAACGCCTCATTTGAATTTGCCCTTGTAAGAATGCATAATTAGATGCGAGGAATGCTTTGAAACTTCGCTTTCTTTAGAAATTTGATCAGTTTTTAACAAAAAAATCAAGGTTATGAAAAAAATGATTTCATTAGATCAAAAAGATCTAAATTTTTTTCAGGTGTTAGAACTGAATAGAAATAGATAGATGGTGACAAAATGAAGTGGGATTTTTTAAGGACAAAAGCGAGAAGATCAGAAAACTGCTTCTTTTTGAACTAAGGGTGTTATGAGGGACGGAAAAATTGATACTTTGCTCAAAATTGCAGCTAGCGTGAGCCCCAAAATGTTTCATATGGAGGATAACTTCACTAATAATCCCTTATCATTATTTTTAACTCAGAAAATCCTGAAAAGTTCGAATATTCAAAAAATAAAGCTGGACCTTACGACATTTGAACGATCCCAACGATTTGAAAAAAAATTTTTAGAATCGAAATCGTGGTTGATAAGAAAAAAAAATTAAAAAAATTCGAGAAAATCATCTTCCAGGGCTCAAAAAAAGCTCATGGAGAACAAAAAAATTCTTTTTAAATTTAGCCGCGATTTGTAAAAATTGTTTGCACTGAAAAAATGGTTGGGAATTTCCTAAAGACTATAAATTCTCTTGAAAAAAGAGTACCCATGAGTTAACTGGCTAAGCGCCAGCCAACCCATAACCAATACCATACGCAATTCGAGTCGCGCCAACCGTAATTAGCATTGTGGAGGTGTCTTGGAAATGTGTCACGTATAAATAAGGAGTCGGAGAGGGTCAGCCGAACGGAAAATGCCAAAAACAGTGCTCAATTGACATTTACAGCAACAATTTGCAACCGACAATTTCCTCTTCTGTGAAAAACACGCCCAAAGGCATGAATAGTGTTGGCAGAAAGATTTTCCGAGGTTACATTGTTTCAGGAAGTTTGGCAAGGGACGCTAATTATATACCTTATTCACGACCGGTTTTTGAGGTGTTTGAAAGAGCTCAGGTGACTTTTTTCCAAAGTTTAGTTAAAGTTAAACTTTTTCCAGCTGCTTTCAAGTTAACAAGAAAAAAAGATAAAATTGAAAAAATTGTTTGAATTTTTTTCAAAAGGACAGTTGAACGTGAATGACACTAAAAAAATAAAATTTAAAAAAAGTGCCGAAGAGAAACGGAGTATCGCTGTTCCGAAATTGCTAGGTAAATAGTGTAAAAGCTATTATCCTACAAACACTTTCTTGAAAACAAGCTAACAAAACAGAAAAAATTTCGTGTACGTCGCCAACAAAATTCAGAGAGACCGCATTTTAAGAGGATTAGGGTACACCTCGTAGACAGTTCAACAATAATTTCCGATTTAAAAGCAGGAAAATGACGTTGTGAAGCTTTTTGATGTTCCACTGAAGTTATTTGTTCTTAGAAATTCAGCAAACGAATCGGAGAAACTTTTAATGATCGAAGTGAATTAAATTCACGAATTTTTTAAGAGAGAGGAAACCTTACTGGATTCAAAAACGAAACAAACTTTCACGGCAGCTTCAAATTAACCTGATAGAAGA